ATTATGACACCATATACATAGAATGTGCTTATGATAGTAGGGATTGACCAGTTAAAGTTCTAACTATCGACAAAGGGAAGTCACTTACTTACTTACTCACTCACTTACTTACCTACTTACTTACTTACTAACTTACTTACTTACCTACTTACTTACTTACTTACTTACTAACTTACTTACCTACTTACTTACCAACTTACTTACTTAATTACTTACTTATGCACTTACTTACTTACTTATGCACTTACGTCTGCTACCCCAAATATAGCATAGGTCGCCGACTATTCCTGGTTAGTGGATTTTAAAGATATAACTTTTTGTGGGATTGAATGGCTAAACCCATGTCCAACCCTCCTCCTTGATCGAAGCTTGGGAACGGCAGTAACTCCCGAAGGGCTCGAATGTAAATTATGTAAGAAAAATTAAAAATCAGTGACTAAGTGTATAAATCAATATGAATAATGTCAGTGAATTTGTGGCGTATCTGTTTTTCAATGTTCAATTTTTGTACGGCGCTAAATATTTTTGAACATTTTTCCATTCATTTACTGAATGAATGTTGCCTATCGTATCATAATTTTTATTTCAATCTACAACCTTCACCTCATTTTTTTTCATCCAGCAAGTTGAGTTGTATTACATCTGCATATTCCTCGAAGACATATGCCAATAGCTTTATATAACTGAAATTTAATCCTTAGTAAAAATCATGCCCTCATTTGCATCTTTGTAACCAATAAATGTACATAAAAAAATTCTTGGAAATATTAAATATCTCAATTTTATTGAACTTTGCAGAAAAAAAAAAGATAAAATAACCTCACATTTTAAAACAGTTCATCAAAATAAAATATTCTTGGGAAAATTTAAACTTTAAGCTAAGAAAAATTCTCATATTTTATTTTGTTTCTAAAATGTAATCATATCGGTAATCATTTCTGGTGTTTAAAAGAATTCTAAATAAATTTATTTTATCAACAATCGTATTTATATGTATATATATAAAAGATTCCCACGTTGTGAAAATTAGAACAACACCGATATAAGTGAACAATAGTGTTGCTTACGATTAGATCGTCATCAGGGTTTATACTCGACAATACACATGAATATTTATGATGAAAATGTTAAACCAATCAAGGCAATTTTTGGGTCAGTAATCACAATGAAATGAAATAGATTACGTCACTACACATAATAGACAAAAGTACAAGTTGATAGTAGGAAGACAGGTGTACTAATATTAGTCATCAAAATAAAGTACAATGGTTAGGCATTCGGGTTCGAATCCTGCTAGGTGTAGGAGTCGTGGATGAGCATTGCCACTGATGAGTAGTGTCATACCAGAACGAAACGGCCGTTTTTCAGTGCTTCCAGGTTTTTAATGGCGGTCTAACAATGATTGATTGATGAGTTCAAATGTGTAAAAACACTAATCTCCATAACTCTAATTGAAAATACAATGACAGAAGTTCTGGTCAATAGTTGGTCAAACCTCGTGGATAAATAGACTTAAAATAATCTTTACAAAACAATAAAACTATTACGTAATAAGAAGTATGTAAATAATTAAATAGTAAAGAAGAATATAAAAGGGAAGAGGCAAAAAATTACAAACAAATTCAGGATGCTAATAATAACAAAAATAAAATAAACATACAAAACTTTTGTTGAAACGTTGGTTAAGTTATATCCGGCCACTCAAGGGATAAGGGTGTCACGAAATTCTTCCGAACACATAAGTTGGGGTTGAATGTACGTATTCCTATGGCCTCTTCTATATGTAGTAGACGGGATCGAACTCCGTTAAGAAATGATGGGTATTTACGATAGATCACTGGAAATGATTCAGATTTATCTACAATATGACCACTATCAACCAGATGTGCCAAGATAGAACTGCGTATTGTTTTTATCTGGCCCTTCATAAACCATACTGGGAGATGTTCACTCATTCGTTGGTTAAGTTGTCTGCTAGTGTGTCCGATATAGCTATCTCCGAAGGTGCAGCTAAATTTTTAAATGTTGAGCTACTGATGAAATTTATGTTATCGTATTTTTCTTACTGATATCAGTACATCCGTCTTCCTACTATCCACTTGTAGTTTTGCTTATTATATGTAGTGACGTAATCTATTTCATTGTCATAATCGACTCAAATTGCCTTGATTGGTTTAACATTTTCATATGACGATCTGATTGAAAACAACAATATTGGTCGGTTATATCGGTGTTGTTCTAATGTTACTAGAACCCATTAATTAAATGACTTGGTTGTAAGTTGAAGTTCAACAATGTTTTCTTCGAATTGAATAAAATGTATTATAGATACCTAAGAAAAGTATTTTTATTGAAAATAAAAGGATAAGATTTTTAAAATTAAAAGTAAAACTGAAAAAGAATGAAAATCAGGATTTAAAAGAAAAATTGTTCAGTTATAATTTACAAAATTTAACAAACAAATTTACCCCAGTTAGATCGTAAAAAAATTATTCAAACGATCCAAACTTTGTGTTCACTAACAATTGGTTGTGTACGCTGACTTCAAATAATCATCATTCATCATTCAATGGTCAGCATTTCTGTGTTTCTCGAATTTATTTACTTTGAAGAAAAAAAGCTAAAGTCGATGCATTTCGCTTTTCACTGTCTAAAAATCCCAAAGTTGACATTTCTATCAGAATGTGTATATTATGAACGTTAGATTGTGCCTCCCCTATTCACCAATGCGAATCTTGCTTTCTTCTTCTTCTCAATTTTTTTCTCCTCCATTTTTGTACAAAAATGAAATGGCGGTCATTGTTGTTGTTGTTGTTTGTTGATTTTTTTTGCGATTACCAAATTTCAGCCGAAGAAAAAATAAAAATTATTATCATATTGAAACAATTAATCGATTCATGCTTTCAAAAATGTGTAACTTAACAATCTTCACAACCCCGTAATGCAAATTACCTGTGCTCACTAGTGACTAGCTTCGTGAGGAATCTTCTCCGATTTCTAGTGGGAAGACGTGACCAGTGAAGTTCAACCTGTTCGGGTGTAGGCAGTGTCTACCGAAGACTGTGTATGAGGTTGCGCGACTCCGTGAATTTGATCAAGTTCGACATTAACACCGTTAGATACCGGCTCAGTGGTCTAACGGTTAGGGCGTTTGCGCACAATACCGAAGGTCCTGGGTTCGAATCCTGCGGGGTGCAGGAGTCGTGGATGCGCACTGCTGAGGAGTCCCATACCAGGACGAAATGGCTGTGTTTCAGTGCTTCCAGGTTTCTAATGGTGGTCTAACATTGATCGATTCATGCTTTCAAAAATGTGTCGCTTAACAATCTTCACAACCCCGTAATGCAAATTAGAAAGTCAAAACGTTACAGAAAATGGGAAAATATAACCGCTGAAATTCCTGTAGCCTTTTTTTTATGAAGGATTCTTGTCAGATTGGAGGTGTTTTAGCCACATCTACAACTGATTGTACACGTCTCAAGAATGATAGAATAAACACACTAGTATGCATAGCCAATGATTACTGATCTGTGCTCTATAAGTGTTCATGGGTGTAGTAAGCTAAGTGGCTAGATGGTGAGTTTTGTCTCACTAAAAAAAAAGAGAAGAATATAAATACCGTTATCATCACATGCTTGTTTGATTCAAATTATAAATGTTATCATGCAATTTCATATCACTTGCATATTGCTGAAAGAAATCCCTTGTGTTCTATTGATTGATTGACATCCCTCAACTATTACCATAATAAGTAGTAGTAGTAGTATTAGAAGTAGTAGTAGTAGTAATGAAAATAATAATAGTGCATTCCTTATGCATAACTTGTCGAATATATCAATTTTCAAATCATCCTAATATCATTGTAATTGTATATTTTTTGACTGAGCTATTAAATATTCGAATAATTCCTCATGAATTCGATTTTTTTCTTCACACCTTAACGTCATAACACCAGTTTCGTTCCACAAAACGTCATAGATTTCATCAGGAATTTGATATATATGTGCTAAGGTAAGGATTATTGATCCGTAAGCTGAAAACGATCATATATATATAAATATTCGATCGAATCAAGTAAAACTATTTGTTATGACAATTTTTATTGATTTCACTTACAATAATGTGCTCGTACTTAAGTAGAAAGTTATTTTTAGTAGTGCTTTTATTCACACATACTTTTGTTTGTTGAGTTAAGACTCTCACATTTGTAGAGGAATAGTAAGTACTCTTCTTTTCTCAATTCTAAATTTGGACAAAATGTTTGTTTTACAAAAAAGAAAAAAATGATGAAGAAGACCTATTTTGAATTTTGTAATTTAATTTGAAAAAAAAACAAACAAAACAAATCATTTATTGTTTGGTTTCATCACTTAAACATGGAAACCATAGATACATAAGTTTCAATGTTCAATAATAATAATAATAATATTATTGTTATTAACATTGTGAGAATAAGGAGACAAGAGAAAGACAGTAGTTGAATATAATCAAGATGATGATAGATACGCATAGTGTATTTAATCCGTGTAAAAAAATACTTGAGAACGGAAGTAAAATAGTTACTTGTTTAAACAAGAATGAATGAATGGATAATTATTGGAAATTGAACGAAAAGTAGCTTTCTACAAATATTCAGCCATAATGAGCTTAACACTATGACTATTGGAAATAAGAATAATTCAATCAAGGAGAACTTGATAGTTGCTTTGTTCTGGTAACTGATTCATCAGAAGTGAGTAAGAATGACTCCTTTGAGGGCTAAAGCTAAGTTAACTGAGAAACATAAAGGTGCTAGGTTCAAACTTTGGTGGATTCATTCATGCGAGTGAACTCCTGAAGAGCCCTATACTAGGATGAAACAGCCGTCCAGTCCAATATGGTTTCAATTTATGATAAGAAGCTAACTTTATCAAAAAATAGTCATCATAATTTTTAAATTCGATTCATTTGTTAACATTCTTTTTTTATCATGAATTTCATTTTCATTTTTTAATAAACAGCATCTAATCCATGCTTACATCATAAATGTCGATGGCAAGGTGAAAAATGTCAAGTTGATATTTATGGTCAAGCAAAATGTACATGTCCGGAACCATGTCCACCGATAGTATCACCAGTATGTGGTAGTGATGGAGTAACTTATGATAGTACATGTCATTTAGAAAGAACAGCATGTCAAAAAATGAGAGAAATACGTGTTATTTATTCAGGAGAATGTAGTAAGTTGTAATTTTTTTCTTGATTGAAACTTAGAAAAAGTATATTACTGACAAAATGGTTAGAAGGGTCTATCTAATTGGTTAAACTCTTTATAAAACTATTGATAATCATGAAATAATGAGGGAGTTTTGAGTTGGACAATCATCCATTGAAATATTATTAGCTGTCTTCTCCTGATACTTACACATTCAATCTCTGCGAGGAGCTGAGTAAGGATGGCAGATCAATAGATGAAGTGATGAATCTTCATCAGTTGAGTTGGTTGGGACATGTGTTACGAATGCCTAACCACCGACTGCCTTCTCGAGATATGTTTTGTGGTGTAGGAGTAGGTTGGAAGAAAGTTAATGGCGGCCAGACCAAAACATGGCACAAATCCATGAAGTCACTGACAAGTGGACTGAGTCATGTCGGTAGTTGTCGTCTACCTGGTTGGGTTCCACGAGACGAAAGTTACCGTTGGTTAGAGACCTTGAATAACATGGCTGAAAATCGTTTGCAATGGCTCAGGTGCATTCATTCATTATGTTCTCTCGAATCCTAATCTTCTGGATTCGTCAGCACCTCTTAACTTGTTTTTCCAACCTTATCTCACTGAATTATACTTCTTGAATAATATTTTCAAACCCTAGTCTTCTTCATTACCATTAATACCTCTACTATCTTTATCACTATGGTATTTGATTTGACATTTGCGTCTCTGTGCTAATGTAGTATGGCAACCTGAACTTATGGTACATAAGTACGAAGTTCTAGGTTGCAGGGGGAGCTGCGGGGAGCTGACCAACTTCACGGCGCCATGGTTTTATCTAGATATCTTTCTAGTATCTTTAAACTTTTCACTTACAGCATGTCCATAAATAAATTTTTTAAAAATCATGCCATTATTTTACGACATTTTAAATGGAATTTAATGACTGAAATAATATTTTCGCTAATTATTGATCATAAAAATTCTTTAAAATTCTTAATTTCTAGGAGGATAAAGCCGTCCAAAATTAAATGCTTGCTTTACAGTATCAACTTATTAGTAGGGAAATATTTGATAAAAAGTTTTGGCAAATTATCAGTCTCAATTATGTTAACCTAGAATCGGCTTCAAATGTACTGTTTTTTGACCAACTAACACTATATTACACTGTACTCTAGTACATCCCCTCAATCCATTTTTGTAAGATAAAATAAATCGCACAATATGGAAACATCCAATTCAAACTACCCAGAATGTTTTAAACAACTCTCTTTGAAGTATAACATTGAAAGCCTTTTCCAATAGATTAGTCCATCTTAGTTTTAAACTACCAAGTGGTAGGCAAGTAAATAGAAACAAATAACCTCGGGTAATAAGGTCACCTCGATACCATTTAGGCAGTGAGTTACAATTCGAAGGTTTCTTTATTGTGACCTTGTCAATGTTCATCTTAAAGTGTGTTTTATCATTATATCGTAAATGATATTGATACACTACTAGGGTGACCTAAGTATAACATCATGCATGCTAATACCGACTGACAGTCATTATATCTATTATTGATTGTTAGATCAATGCAATCATTATTTCTAGATGTTATTGGTGCAAATTACTTTGTTTTGTAAAGTCGACTACTCAGTATTTTATATGCTTTAATATGATCACCTCTTGTAATTGGATAATTCAATAATGACATTGATTGATTTATCAACAGTAGGAATAAGGTCTTCCCTCATGCTACAATAGACTGATTACAATTTTCTACAACTGGGGATGAAAGTAGAAACAGAAATAGAAAGCATGAATAAACGAAAGTACAGCATAAATATTGAGAGATGACACAGCTTATTTACGAAAACATACACATAACCTTCAAACATCTATATGCATCTCTTCTGGTCTTCAAATATAATCTGATCACATCATAAATTTTGACATCTAGACAGATCTCTCTTTTTGGTATGAACTTCTAGGTTGGTGCTCTGTTACATACTACTTATATGTGACCTTATGAGTAGCATCCACCATAATAGAATTCTAAATGAATAGTTCCAAAATCAGGATTTTCAATACAAATGTCAAGACAGTTCTACTGTATGGAGTGGAAACTTGGAGAACTACCAAAGCCATCATCCAGAAGATACAAGTGTTTATTAACAGTTGTCTACGCAAAATACTTCGGATTCGTTGGCCAGACACCATCAGCAACAACGAACTGTGGGAGAGAACAAACCAGATTCCAGTGGTGGAGGAAATGAGGAAGCAGTTGTGGAAGTGGATAGGACATACACTACAAAAAGCACCTAACTGCATCACGAGACAAGCCCTCACACGGAACTCTCAAGGCAAAAGGAAAAGAGGAAGGCCAAAGAATACATTACGCCGAGAAATAGAGAAAGATATGAGAGGAATGAACGAACATTGGACAGAACTGGAGAGGGAAGCCGAGGACAGAGTTGGTTGGAGAAAACTGGTTGGGCGGCCTATGCTCGATTGGGGGTAACAGGCGTAAGTAAGTAAGTAAGTAAATGAATAGTTATCACAAAATCAAACGACTATAATTGACATAGCATATATCGAACCATAGTGGTATAATAATGAGCTAGTTGAGCGAAAAAACACATAGATAGCAAAGATTAAGACTGAAAATCACAAAATCACAAAATAAAACTCAAAGCTCAAATGTCAAATATAAGATTTCATAAGATTTATAATCAGTATTCTAAAGATAATCTTCCATTTTTTTTTCTATTGATTTTTCAAGGTGAACCAAATGATTGTATCTTGTTGAATCAACCATGTCAAGGTTATGAAATTTGTTCTCGTATTAAAAATCCCATGGTATACACTTCACACAATCGTAAATTAGATGCATCCGTTTATGATCTGACTAATTCATTTGAAGATACCATACCACAGTGTATATGTCCAACATGCCCAGAACATGGTTTGGGAGGGCAAGTATGTGGATCAGATGGACAAACATATCGTAGTGAATGTCATTTACGATCAAGTGCTTGTCAACGACATTCTACAGATTTAATGGTGAAATCAAGAGGGAAATGTGGTAAGTAGTGATGAGTGTGTGTGTGTGTGTGTGAGTACAGAGTGAGATTTTTTTGTGATAACCAGCATGTACACTGAACATCCCACTCGACGTAAAGACAAAGTGAAATGAAGCGGAAAAGAGGTGATTGAGCGAACTCAATGCGATGAGGCTTGAATAAGTATAAACCGTCAGACAGAAATAGGCTCTATATTTGATAAGTGAAGCAAGTAATGGACATACGTCCTCAAGCAAAAACAACTAAGATTTTCAGTGAATAAGTGACTTAGTCAAAAGACGTGGAATAGTTATTCAGTCCAAAGGTTGGGACAAACCATGTGGGCTTAACATATTGGTTCACACCTACTAATGGTTGTTACTCCTAACAGAGCATAGGCCTCTGACTGGCATTCTCCAACCAACTCTGTCCTGGGTCTTTCGTTTCAGTTCTACCAATTGCTATTCATTCCTTTTAGGTTTGTTCTCAATTCTTGGAGTAGTTCGCTCCTTGGTCTTCCTCTTTTCCTTTAGCCTTGGAAGTTTCTATTTAGTAGACACTACGCTTTTCATTTTACAATAAATACTTTCCGAATTGACTATGCTTGTTGTTTAAAAATTATTCTCTTCGATATATTCAATGATCTGATGAACATTATCATTAAAGCATATGAAATTAAAAGTTACAACAATAATTAAATTAGCATAAACAGGTTACCTTTGTGTTACGTTGCACTCTATTTTTTGTTTGGTATATGAAATAGTTTGGAATTCAATGGGTTTTCCTTATTACTTCTTCTTTCTATCAAAATAATGATGAGATACGCAGCAGCAATCAGTTGACCAATATCAAGGGTCGATAAAAATATATTACGTAATCAAATTAAACAAAAGACTTGGTTGAAGCGAATGTGCTGATGTAGTCTATGGAGCGGGTGAGGTACACAGTGACAGAATGAAGTATATCTCAATGTTTAAACTTGAAATACAACCACTGTCTGACATCTTTGTCTGAAATGCAATTTCTTCAATAGTTCTCACTTTTAATTCCATAATGAATTAAACCTTTAGGATTTAAGTTATGTGGTTTAATATGTGCTGCGTAGTCCGTGTATTCAATAATTTCCCGTTCTCAAACACCTAACAGGTCACTGTTTAGTGCGTTTATCGTCAGCCGGCATTATTCATCACTTCCAACAAGATTGACTTTATAAGTTAAGATACACAGTTTAAAAATTTACATTATGTTTTTTCCGAATGTCATGTTTCTCGATCTTGTGCATATTTACGACTAAGTGCTGAGAAATAAATTCAATTTGATTCAAACTAGTTTCATCTACAAATACATCAACTGAATACTGTGAGAACAACTTTTTCCATCATGCCGTCAGATATCTTTCAATGGCATCATTTTCATTAAAACGATGAGTTCAACATCTTTAGACCACTATTAGAAACCTAGAACTACTGGACGGCTGTTTCATTCTAGTACAGAACTCTTCCTCAGTGCGCATCCACGACTTCCTGATCGGGAATTCGATTCAAGACGAACGCTTAATCTCTAGACTGCCTAATCGGCATCCAACGGTGTTAATATCCAAGGTATTACACAACCCCAGCCATTGTCTTCGGTAAGTAACTGCCTACACCAAACAGGGCTGAACTCCATTGGTTACGGCTTCTCACTTGACGTCCGAGAATTTCCTCACGAAGCTAGTCACTAATGAGCACAATTTTTTGAATGATCTTCTACTATACAATTGTGAAAATTGTTAAGTTTCATTGAAATATTGATCATATTTTGTTTTAATTTAAAAAACTTTTATACAGATGCATGTCAAACAAAACAATGCAAATATTATGCAATATGTCAATTGAGTGCATTCGGTGAACCCCAATGTATTTGTCCAACAGATTGTCTTTATGTAAGTTCTTTTTTTATTTCATAATTTACTTACTTACTTACTTACGCTTGTTACCTTCAATGGAGCATAGGCCGCCCACCAGTTTTCTCCAACCAATTCTGCCCTTAGCTTCCCTTTCCAGTTCTGTCCAATGTCTGTTCATTCCTCTCATATCTTTCTCTATTTCTCGGCTTAATATGTTCCTTGGCCTTCCTCTTTTCCTTTCACGTTGAGGGTTCCATGTGAGGGCTTGTCTTGTGACGCAGTTAGGTGCTTTTCGTAATGTGTGTCCTATCCACTTCTACCTCTTCTTCCTGATTTCCTCCTCCACCGGAATCTGGTTTGTTCTCTCCCACAGTAGATTGTTGCTGATGGTATCTGGCGAACGAATACAAAATTTCATAATTTAACATATTGCGTTTTCTTTTATCCTAATTTCTGGATAATTTACAACAATAAAATCTATTCTAATTTAGTTGAAATTAAAAAGTAACACAGCTTAAAAAAAATAAACCAGTTAACATTCAATTAACTCAACCATAAAATTCACTTTACAGATAAATTAAAGTTTTTATTTGTATTCAAGTATTCAGTTTCGGTTTTTGGTTTTGTGTTGACATCATCAGACTCACATTATTCAGTGTAAAATGTCTACCCAGTTATTTTAAACAATGATAGAATCTATTTAAATTAAATGCATTGAGAGGAAATGATCGATTATAATAGGGTGAAATGATATCAGTCGGTGAAATAGTGCGGAAAATTTGTAGCTTAGTTAGATGATTGTGGTGGTGTTTCATTCTCTGAGCTGGATGGTGTTTCGGTTGTGAAGCTTTCATTGTTCTCTTGCTGAACAATATCATCAACACAAACTTCGGATGGAAGAAGTGAAGTATTCGAATTTCTCCACGTTTGACCCTGTAGTTTGTTTTGTTAACCTCGATCTTGATTGGTTACTGTTGACCTTAAACCTGTCGTTGTGTTGCATCTTTGTTTTGATTGTATCCCCCTTTTGAACTGTCGGTGAAAGATTTCACATCAGACTTATGATTATATTGTAATGTTTTATATTTAGAAACTCTTGTATGGACTTCACTGAATAGTCACTGTAATCATGTCTGTTGTGTTTGGAATGCTTACTCGGGAATTATTGATCCTTCTAGTTCTCAGGTACCCGTTGTTGATGAGTACCAACATAGCACATTGTTGCCTGTAGTAGGCAATCTAAGAAGAATATAAATATTCCAAGAAAGTGGTGTGTGTGTGTGTGTTTTAGAAATGGTATATATCACAAAGAATCGCATGAGAACAAGTACTTTTTTAGTAAAAGACCTGGGACGTTAGATGATTAAATAAATAGCTGAAAGAACATTAGTTTAAGTCTGTTTACCCATATCTAAATAATCTATGTGGTTATATATTTTTTTAACAAATATATTTATCATTATTTAGGTCAGGAAACCAGTTTGTGGAACTGATGGCAAAACATATGAAAACGAGTGTTTCCTGAAAGTGAAATCATGCGCTGATCAACGTGAAGTACATGTTGCTCAAGAAGGATATTGTCGTAAGTGGCTATAATGTATGAATTAAGATAAGGGTTGTTTTATTGTTTCGGTCGTCTCATTTCCTATTTCCTTTATTACTGAAATCAAGAATCAATCATGGTTAGATAACCATTAAGAAACCTGGAAGCACTTGATGGCCGTTTCTTCTTAGTATGGAACTCATGAGAAGTTCGTATCCACAACTCCTGAACCGCATGGATTTCGAACCCAGGATCTTCAGTCTTGCGCACGAACATCTAACCTCTGGAAAGATTGGCAAGCATCCAAAGGTGTCGATGTCTAACTCTGGGGATTCTGCAGTAGTTACTGCCTACACTCGACAGTCTATAGAAAATCATTTTAAAAATACCCTAAATATCAATAGTTTGACCTAACTTTTTTTAAATAGAAAGGAACCAGTAGAAAATTTAAAGTCAACATTTTGTGATCAATATCCTTCCTCAATGAGGAATTTCTTCCACTCTGAAATAAATCATACTCCTTTAACGATTTCAATCCACTGCACTCAACACAAATTCCAGTACAGTAATTTGCTATTGAATGTGTAACAGACACTGAATGAATGGACAATAAGTAGCTAATCACTGGCTTCAATGTAGTTACATCTATCAATAAGATAATGGAAATCTTACAAACTGTGTAAACTGCAATATGCATCTACATGAGAATTGTCTGTTCGAATAATCCAACATGGTGCATCTCAGTATACGGTTTAATAAAGAACACAACATGAATGAAGAGTTCCATTTTCTTTTTTGAACATATTCCCCGAAGACACTTAAACAACAGAAAGGAGTACTCAGAACAGTCCAGTGTCAAAGTATTTCTAGGATGTAGAATATCTAGCTGATTTCATGACGTTTTTCATGGTGATTAATAAACAGCCAAGCTCCAGTCTTCAGAATTTTTTTTTGAAGTTATTGATATCTGATTTATATGTTCATAAGAAAACAGTTAATAGTGTTTCTCCATTGGTAACATAGTAAACCTTTTTTCAACTTGTTTACTTTCGACTAACTGTATTATCAAGTCACTTTTTTAAAACTCACTTGTCGTTTAAGAATTTTATCTTTTTTTTACCAAATGAACTTAACTCAATTTATTCTTACCAATGATTAGCGGGCATCCATTACGTAACCGTAAATACAGTGAAGCACCTCACTTTTATCACTTTTATCATTGTTGAGCTTGTATGCGCATGTACGCTAAGGCATTACTTGCCACCTACAAATAGTTATTTAACTAGCTTTATCGATTAACAGCTTAAATAATTCGATGGCAATATCGACCATACATGTTTAAATTAAATCTGATATTTGCATCGATCATTAAAAGAATTTGAATAATAAAGAAATTGTGGCAATGACTCGTGTTCTCTAGTAGCGGTCATCCAAGCGGAGATATACGGGAAATCGAAGATAACTAAAGTCTAACGCCACAATAAATTGGTGAGCCCGGCGTGATAAGAGGAATAATCAGTGACCACGAATCTATGAATTTAGTAGTGTCAAGAGACAAAAACGATCCATATAAATCGCTTCTAAACAAATATGCCGACTTGACGAAAGTGTCTTACGATAACACGGATCTCAAACATACAGTGCAACATCACATTGTAACAAGAGGCACACCTTGTAACGCACGACCACGACGCCTATACACAAAAAGATTGAACATTGCGAAACAGGAATTCGACAAAATGATGAAACTTGGTACATTACAGCCAGTGAGTAGTCCCTGGGCATCTCCGTTGCATATGGTACAGAAAAATAATGGACAGTACAGACCATGTGTAGATTATAGAGCTCTTAATAAACAAACCGTTGCTGATAGATATCCAGTGCCACATATCCATGACATAACTAACGACATGGAAGGTGGCACTACCTTTTCTAAGATTGACCCTTCGTCCATATCTAGTCGTTCGTGGACTTTCTTCGCTTTTCTGCGTTGATGTCGTTGATGTCACATTTTGGTGATTCGATGGCTTTCGAAGGATTTGTACTTATCAGCTGTTCCTCACTTTCAATAAAAGCTGGTTTGACTCGGTCGACGCTAACTACATCCGTTTTTCCAGCTTTATCAACTGTAATAGTTTTTTTCGTTTCCTCTAATTAGTCTAAATGGACCATCGTAGCTCGGTTGTAAGGGATGCTGCACATTATCTCTTCTGATAAATACATGGGTACTGTCGTTCAGTTTTTTCGGAATATATACCCGATGTTGATCGTTCTTCGGAAGCGTTATTCTAAGATCATTCATGTGTTCTTTTAGACGGTGACTATATCAGTTGGAACACTTTTACTTGAGGTGAAAAACTCTTCTGGTAGACGTAGAGTAGTTCCTTAAACTAACTCTGCATGGCAACATCCAATATCTTGTTTAATTGTCGATCTTAGAACTCAACATCACTAATGGAAGCTTGCTGACCCAATCATCATTGCTAATAACAGCTGTGAGAGATGCTTTCAGTTGTCAGTGTAATCTCTCTACCATACTATTCGCCATCGGATGGTAAGATGTTGTGCGTATACGTTTAATGCCGAGAAGTTCTGTAAGTTGTTGGAAAAGGCGACTTTCGAATTGGGCTCCTCTATCGGTTGTAATATTAGCAGGCATATGGAAGGTGCCACTATCTTTTCTAAGATTGACCTTGTTAGAGCCACAAAAGTATTGAATTTTTTGTTGCCTTCAATGTTCTACAATATTCTTCTACGTAGATAACATCTATTTTCTTCTCTCCACATAAATATCATAGTAAACGTATTCTCGGTGTGAATGTATACATCTCATATTTATCTAACAGTGCGTAAACAACTTATTACATCTTGATATACTGACTTTTTTAAACCTTTATGAATAGGGTAATACATTCAAATGGTTGTCCAATCAAACAAAAACAAATACTCAAAGGCCTGGAGTTTTACAATAGGTAGCCTGTTTTAGTCTCAAGCTACTAATCTATTCTATATCGATTAAAACTCAACTGAATTGGAATTAATTAGAATAAAGATAAGAGCATATGGATTACACTTCACAGCCGTAAAATTAATTACTCCCCAATCAAATATAACATTGCGTGTCCATAGATAATTTAGAATCCAAACTGAGGTTTCGACAGAGGAATAACTCTCAAAGAAGTTTAAATATGCGTCTTGCCCAGTTGAAATCCAAAACAATATTTTTGGGTAAATAACGGTTCTATTATTAATCATAAATATAAATATACATCATTACCTAAACAATATTACCACTGTTATTCCAATTCTCGAAGAGTGCTTCAATTCACAGTCAAAATGCACAATTCTAGTCAAAGCAAGCAACCCAAATCACAAGAGGAACAAATCAATATGGCTGTCGCTATGATTAAGTATCAACTCAAACAACTTAAATGCAGTTCAGTTTAGAAAGAAACACAGAAACTCAGTAAAGGCAAAATAAATAGAAACTATAATAAAATACAAATATTATCATCTTCGAAATGGAATCGAACAGATTAACAAAATGTACAACTGAAGGAATCAATAAAGACATACTACAAATGTATACATGGAGAGATTTTCACAAACAAAGCCTTCCAAAAATGGATCTTACAGATAATACTAAGTATTTAATTAAACTATAAACATGTGTATTTATTTTCATGTAATATCTGTGATTATTATTGATGTTCATAAATTGTTTGCTGTAGACAGACTTAATCAAATTTTCTTTTACATTTTAAAACAATCAATCATTAGGTCCATGCACAGCAGGTTGTCCACTAGGTTTTCAATGTCGTAATGGTCAATGTGTCTGTCGAGATACATGTCCACCGAAACATTCAAGTGAACCTGATGTTTGTGGTACAGATGGGAAACTGTATTCCAGTGAATGTGAACTCAAACGTCAAGCTTGTATTCAACAAACCAATATAGATGTAGATTTGACTGGTGTTAGATGTCGAAGTAAACATTCAAATGTTATACAAGATGCAAATATGAAAATGTCAGGTAGCATACAAGCAGGTATGGAAGCTATTAATAATTTGTAGTCTTTAATAATTTCTACTGTTATAAATATATTTCTTATGGGGTTGCGAAGATTAGTAAGTCACGTATTTGAAATCATGAATCAATCATTGTTAGACCACCATTAGAAACCTGGAAGCACTGAAAGACGGCCGTTTCGTCCTGGTATGGGACTCGACAGCAGTGCATACCCACAACTCCTGTTAATCGCAGGATTCGAACCAAGGACCTTCGGTCTTGCACGCGGATGCCTAACCTCTGAACCAGGACGAAATGATGACTTATGCAACGGGAAATTCTAGGATTGATTGTATGAGTGGTGGCTGTTCTCAATATTTAGGTTTTTCAAAGTTTGTTGAAGTGTACCATGATGTTTTCGAATAATGTTCTATCTTCCAAGTCTCTCAAATTGAGATGCATGGTTGTAGAATATAGTTAAGTTACATTTACAAATTACAAAACTTGTTCGAACGCTATGATTTTCAGCTTATCTAACTTGATTTTATGATGATATCTAATGCAGATACATTACTGGACAGATGATGGCTATGAGTCAGTAACACGAGTCAGTCAGTCAGCAACAACGTAGAGCTTCATACGTACTTACATTAGTTCAAATTGACATGCCACGTTAGCATCGAGAAATTATATTGTTAATTCAAATCCCATAGTAGTAGACATAGTAGAAGTATTACCAGTAATCAGAGAGATTAGGGTTCGAAGATGTTATTCAAGATGTATGATTCAGTGAAATAAATTTAAAAACAGAAGAAGACAGTCAAGAGGAATTCGGAGTATTAAAACTTCAGAGAAGACAATCAATCGATGCATCTGCGCCATTGCAAACTATTTTTCAGCCTTGTCATTCAAAATCTCTAACTATTGGTTACTATTGTCTCATGGACCCTAAACCCAGGTAGCCTACACCTACTAACAAGGCTCAGTCCAGTTGTCATTTAGCTCAATAACATGAAAATGTATTTGCATATGATCGATAAATGACAATAGGAATTTGTTTCCCTAATTTTCACGTCGAAAGTAAAAGATTTTGAAGGCTTTCTGCTTTGCACGCAAACTAGCGTTTATGTACTTCATTGCAGGCGTTTTAAAAATGTTTGTCGGACTCCAGTAAAACTATCGGCTTATCACTTCGATTGATTATTCATTTAAGAATAAAAAATGTAACTGACTGTAAAAGACTTTGAATGTTTTCCGAAATACCACTATCGTACAAATACCCAAGACAATTTATTCTGCAGCTAGTCAGACCATAGGAGGAATCCTCGTCGGGTTTTAAGATCTTTTACAAAACTAACTGTAGATTTGACATGGTTACATTTGTAACTGAATTCAACAAAAATCTACTTTAATTTTAGTGATCAGCCCGAAAATATAGAGTCAAACAGTTGAAAAATGAGACCGTTGTTTACCGATGATGTTTGGAACATTACGTAGCAAATATATTTCATCACACGATCTTGACCTTCACATATAGATTCAGTAGCTGAATAGTGCTGCTCCGACCACGAGGCTGTTAGGATATTCATCCAATATCCTAAGAGAATTATTGGTCTATTCCTATTGGTTATTTCCTACTGGTCAATTTTATGGTCGTCCTAGATATCAATGTCACGTGCTCCGATGTTGTTTCTTATCGGTTGTCCTGATTATCAATGTCACTTCAAATGTTGCTTCTTATTGGTCGTCTTAACTGTCAATATCACAGACTTCGATGCTGTTTCTTATTCGACCAAAATGTATAAATACTCATGATCTGTAACGTTCGATGACCAGGACCAGGACCCAGTCCCGGATCTCTAGTCCGGGATCCAGATTCTCTTCTGGACTCGGACCTCGTACTCTCTGGTTGCTTGTAGAATACAGGTGCTACTTGATATCAAGTCTTCTCATTTTACTCAATATGGGGGTTGGGATAATTTGATTTGTGTATCATGTCGTGTCGCCGGATCTTCGATCCTCGCTCTCGTTTTTCCGACTAGGTAAACTCGTAATAGTTCAAGCATATCAAAATGACATGTTTACAAGCAGGCATAACAGAGGCATTTCAGGTAATCAACTCCATATTCGATAGTTTCTAAGTATAGGCTAATCTCTCAAATATGATATTTAAGTAAAAGAATGTTAAGTTTTACTCAGTAACAATTCCACCTTTTCATCTACTGGTTTCCAGATTTGCATAAGGAAAATGTAACGGTTACACCGTGTCGAAATAAGACAGAACGGTTGTACCGTACGCTTTTTGACTTTAAGCCAATATTTGATCGATTTCTTTTTCGAAAAAAACTTGTACGTTTTAATTAAACATATTCAAACCGATATTTCAACAGCTTTTGTTTTCTTTTCGGTTTAATCACTTAGATGGTGTAAGAGTACCTAGTTGTACATGTAACAAACTTGGTGCACTTTCGGAAGAATGTGATTATTTAGGTAATTGTCGATGTAAATGGCTTGTTGGTGGTTTAAAATGTGATCAATGTCTTGCAAATTATTGGGGTATACAAAACAATCACGAATGTATTCGTAAGTTGTGAAATTTATTAATTTATTTAAAACTAATTAAGTCTCCTTATCTTTTGTATCATTAAAAAAAATTCATCTTTTATTTTTGAAGTTTTGAGAAGATACTGTGCAATTTTTACTCAGTGTTCATATTTTATAAACTGTTAAATTCACACTTGTTTATGATGCTTTTAATGGACAATCGGAGTTAATCAAAGTTTTAAAGCATTACTTTAAAGAAAGTTTAGGTTTAGTGAATAAGAAATAGAATAGTTCACAATGTATTACATAAGACGTAAGAAGGATCATTGGCCTCGTGATATTTGAAAAAACTAGGCTTTCATCGTGAGACATGAAAAAACTCTTCTAAACGAAGACCTTCTAACTCCTAGGGGCAGAATTTAAATGGTTTGAATTATTTTTCTGGTTAATGTTTCTATAGTGAGTTAGTTTTCTATGGGATGGGGTCGCCAACCAACTATGTCCAACCCTCCTCCTTTACCCATGGGTTAGGACCGACAGTATTCCGGAACGGGATTCAGGCCTGCTTCGTTTAAAGGTGACATAGAATACGAATATCTACAGATTCCGGAATTTGTTATTCAGTGAATGTAAACAAACAATTGAACCGGTACACATCTACATAAAAAGTGTTCTCAATGATTTTATCAACCCTAGAAGGTTATTTTCTTGATCAAAACTCATCATATAAACATTTTAATGAACATTTAGTCCTGTTTAGGTAAATTTGAGACGACTAAGGTAATAACTTGTTGGAGATGTTAGATCCCCCCCCGAAACTCACTTCATAAAGGTCCTAGTTTGGGAATTTATTGTGTTTTAGCGCATGTGCTGATCAGTTGAGCTTGAGATTGCATTTCCCACCCTAAAAATCTTTGAATGTTATTGGTTGATGCAGTATTTTAGTACGCTGTTTTTGTGGCTCTCTCAAGGGCGTTTCTATCATGTATAAATAAACTCGATTTGTGTGCTTGTGGACCTCAGTTTTCTTGGTGCTTGTAGAATACACTTTCTACGTCTTGTCAAGACCTTTTGATATCGTTAGTGGGGCTTTAGTTAGCCCGGATCAGAGTAGTCTATAGTATCACTGGATCACTTGTCTTAGCTCTCGTTTACCGACTAAGGTGAATTCGTAATAGCTTTTAAGCATATCAATTGACGAGGCATAACAAATTAGCACTGATCATTTGTAAAAATCCAAAGATCATGGAAAAGTAAGGGATTGAATATTGACTTTTCGGTAGGATAGTGCTTGGTTATTCGTGCACAGCTTCAGGAAATGATTCTGTAGAAAGAACAAATCAACTCCGCTGTTACGTCTTCTTTCTTTCTAATGGAAATCAATTTATTTGTGATGGAATGTATTTTCCCATCTTTCATGTCAAGCCTACGCTGTATACACACAGACTGATCAAATGTAGTCCTTAAATGCTAACACAGAATGAAAATACAATCCCATGCACACAGTCTGTTTATTAACATATTTCAATCATTCTGAAAAAAAGAAGTATGAAATACATCCTAACTACTTTTAATCCAGTAATTATGTCAAAATAAATGTGATCCATTCACATGATGCATCCTTAATTATCCAACCAGTCATAAGTAATTACCTAATAATCTCTGTTGGTAAATTTTACAAACTTATCAACTACAAATAGAATTTTCAATTGAAATTTTCTCCCTTACATTTGTTCGTTTTTTCGTCGACTGTCTTTCATCACAACACAGCATGTTCATGTCATCCACTCGGTTCAATCGGTACATCATGTGATCAAGCAACTGGCCAGTGTACTTGTCGTCCTGGTGTTGTTGGACGACAATGTTCCATGTGTCCAGATGGTAGTCAAGTAACAGAAAATGGTTGTAATGTCAAAGGACAAAATGAAGGTAATGATTCAAGTTACTATTATTATTATTATTACTTACTTACTTACGTAGTGTGTTCTTTGGCCTTCCTCTTTTCCTTTTGCCTTGAGGGTTCCATGTGGGGGCTTGTCTCGTGACGCAGTTAGGTGCTTTTCGTAGTGTGTCCTATCCACTTCCACCGCTTCTTCCTCATTTCCTCCTCCACTGGAATCTCGTTTGTTTTCTACCACAGTTCGTTGTTGCTGATGGTATCCGAAGTATTTTGCGTAGACAACTGTTCATAAACACTTGTATCTTCTGGATGATGCCTTTCGTAGTTCGCCAAGTTTCCGCTCCATACAGTAGAACTGTTTTGACATTTGTATTGAAAATCCTGATTTTGGTTTTGGTTGAATGTTGTTTGGAGTTCCAGATATTTTTCAACTGTAGAAATGCAGCCCTTGCTTTGCCAAACGCGCCCTCACATCTGCATCGGATCCACCTTTCTCGTCGATGATGCTGCCCAGATATGTAAAGGTGTTAAATTATTATTATTACTACTACTTAAATATGACTACTTAGATCTTTTCTCTTAATACTGGCTATCTGCCAGCGAAAATAGTTTTGTAGTGCCTCCACGTATATTCGAGTTCGCTTACATTTAACTTGGTTAAGCCCTTTCGATCAGTTCATTTAGCCAAGCCATTTGTATTGCAACAATTTATATGTACCAATCGTTCTTATTGTTGTTAAGTTTGTATGAGCTCACATGACGTGTTCCACTTGTCATTTGACCTTGTCAATCATTCGTCGCTTTTATTCATGTGTGCCTATTTCGCTTGTCGTATGTCTTCCTTATATTTGCATTACGGGGTTGTGAAGATTGTTAAGTTACACATTTTTGAAACCACGAGTCGATCAATGTTAGACCACCATTAGAAACCTGGAAGCACTGAAACACGGCCGTCTCGTCCTGGTATGGGAATCCTCAGCAGTGCGCATCCACAACTCCTGCACCTCGCAGGATTCGAACACAGGACCTTCGGTATTGTGTGCGAATGCCCTAACCGTTAGACCACTGAGCCGGTATCTGACGGTGTTAGTGTCTAACTTGATCAAATTCACGGAGTTGCGCAACCTCATACACAGTCTTCGGTAGACACTTCCTACACCCGAACAGGTTGAATTTCACTGGTCACGTCTTCCAACTAGAACTCGGAGAAGATTCCTCAAGAAGTTAGTCACTAGTCTTAATTCGTTTTATTCACTACTTCTCCGCTTTGCTTTGTGGTGTGTCAAAAATAAACGTATTCAACAATTCGAGTTCACCTTCTGATTTATAAACCGTCAGATACTAGTTAGTAACGATTGTCTAGACGAGCTAATTACCGACGCAGTAAATCGACACACTACAGTTTAAAATTAACACAGTATAATTATTTATGACAACAAAGAACTAGCCAGAGTTCGATCCCTTATGGTGGGATCGTGGATCCGCACTGCCGTGAAGTTCAATACTAAGACGAAACAGCTATTCATTGGTTACCTAAGTTTGATTGATTCATGTTCTCCATAATATTTAGTCATCTTGATAATAATAATGATAGAAATAATAATAGTCTTAAACTTTTTCTAAATCCCTTACAAGCAGATAATATAAAACATGAAAGTGATATGCCAAAATTGATACCAAAAACAACTGAATCAAATCAAACCAATACATTGAATTCTCAATTATCTGACAAGAAAATAACAACCGAAGATAACAATGAAGAGAATGGACGTTTATTCACTGATACAACTACACTAACTGTTCGTATACCATTTCATATGGATCAACCAAGTGAAATACAAATGACCTTGAGTTTAAATAAAGGCAATGGAATGTTATTACATTATCGTACACCTTCAAGTGAACAAGACAGAATGATTTTACCTAATGTACAAGATCATCAATTCAGTATGGCTATTTCCAATTGGAAAGTTGTGGTAAAGTAAGTTAGTCTACATATATATACATTTTTCTCAACTAGAGTTATGGAGATTGGTGTTTCTTGCAAACTGAAATCATGAATCAATCATCGTTAGACCAGCATTAGAAACATGGAAGCACTGGATGGCTGTTTCGTCCTCATATGGGACTCATACACAATTCCTGCACCTCGCAGGACTAGGACCCAGGACCTTATATCTTGCGCGCGAACGCCTAACTTCTGGACCTCCTGGGCAGGCATCCAACGGTGTGGATGTATAACTCTGATCAGTCTAAAGATTTTGCGCGAGTTTATATATATGGTGTTTACAAATGGAATGCCTGATGTTTCTTAGATTAGCGCATGAAAGAATTGAGGTAATAAGTCTTGATATAGGTAAAATCCTGTGAGCTGAATAGTGAAAATGGCCGTTTACTGTCATGAAGTGAAACCTATTTGGTTAAGGATAGTGAATTCTTAAATACAATATTTCCAAAGGAATCAATTTGCGTACTGACACACTGAATCAAACTAAACTTCATTCATTAACTGTTAGTGGGTTTCTATTTGGATAGATTAATTCCGTATGATGTTGAGGGCATTTTCGTTTGATAAATTTTGTTATTAATAATCACTAAATAACTTATTTAACTAGAAAAACGCTTGAATTCGGGTTCATTCTTTCGAGGATCTGAAAATGTCTAACTCCTAGGAGGATTTTACCCATTTTTGTCATGTATATATATACAATATATCATACAGGTATCATTATTTGATATTACTTTGATCGAAAGTAAATACATTTTTAAACGCATATTTGTTATAGTTTTAAACAGTTGTAAGGATTTCAGATTTCCCGTTGTTGATTTTCAACACTTTCATTGATCAATTACGTTTTCCATATACTTACTCTGTGAGGATTGTTTCAATAAATTGTTTTACAAGTTTTTAAACGGTTGATTGGTGGCTTACAGTATAATACAGCACTCAGGTTCCAACGTCTCTGGATATCGTCATCTAGTTATACCTACTTCCCAGTTTTGATGTCCATAGTGAGCCTTGATGCAAGTACTTTTCTCCTCAAATGTTTAACTTGTGTTATGCTCGTCAGTTGATATACTTGAACTGTTATGAGTTCACCTTAGTCGGTAAACGAGAGCTAAGACAAGTGATCCAGTGACACGATAAGCCACTCTAATTTGAGTGTCCCAAAGCCCTGCTAACGATATCAAAATGTCTTGATATGCCGTATAAAGTGTATTCTACAAGCGCCAGGAAAATCGAGGTCTTGTACATAAGAGGAGGATAAAACTTTACAGACCATGTATATTTATACAGATAGATCGACTTTGAATACTAACCAATACGGAAGAACATTTAAAAATATGTGAACTTGATAGTTTAGGACGACCTTAAATATTGACCAATAGGAGTTGACCAATTGAGTTAAACTCTTAAGCATATTTGTTAAATATCCCAACTTGTTATCTGTCATACTGTAGTGAACGAGAACAGAGGTGGGGGCAACCGCATTGTATTTAAAGAAAATTACAGTGTTACTCAGTGAAATAGGAAAACCATATCGTAAATCGTTAATTTGCCAAATATCAGTTCATCATATCGAACTGGACTGTTCCTGTTGCAGAACATCAATCCATTGTCACTATTCATGCATTTCATACAAATTCCATTGTGTTCTAACTCTTCCTTTCTTGATCTTCCCCCATCTTCTGCTGCCAGACATTATGTTGACGCTCACATCATATACTACTTATAAGTAGCTGGCACCACAATACTACTGAGTTCATATAGATACTAACTCGTTCAACAGACATGAAGTTATCAATACATGTAATAAAAAAATTTATGATTCAATGATCAATAAATTTTTTTCTTAATTAATTTATTTTCTAGATATATTGATGGTCGTGTTCCAAATCGTATTCTACTTGTTTATAGCAAACAAAATCTTACACAACATTATAAACATCATATTCAAGCAGGTATTATGTTAAGTAGACCATGGATAAAAATTGATCAATTCAGTAGAACAACTAAAGAAGATGTGATTGAAAAATGGGCTGATAATCATTATACAAATAATCAACTGACAGCCGGTGATTTTAAGACTATTATCATTGGGCGACAAATCAAAATAGATAATAGTCAAAGGTAAGAAATTTTGTTAAATAGAACAGTGATACAGATAATATTACTTGTATCTTTAATGTGTTATAACCGTTGAAATTTGACGGTTTCAATTTTACATTTCTTTTCGAAATGAAAACAAAGTGATACGATCGTAAGAGAAACTTTGACAAAAATCTTATCAGTGTCAGTCACTCAGCAGCAACGTAGAACTTCGTACGTACGTACGTATGTACATCAGTTCTAGTTGCCATAAAACATTAGCATAAAGACACAACTGTCAGTTCAAATCTCACAATAGTAGAAGTATTAACGGTGATGAAGAAGATTAGGGTTCGAAGATGTTATTCAAGAAGTATAATTCAGTGAAATAAATTTAAAAAGAGAAAGATAAACGAATTTAGGAGATCAGAATTTTAGAGAAGATAAACAATGGATAAATCTGCGCCATTGCAAACGATTTTGAGCCATGTCACTCAAAGTCTCTAACTATCGGTCACTATTGTCTCGTCGACCCTAACTAGGTAGTCTACACCTATTAACAAGGCTCAGCCCAGTTTTCAGTAACTTCATAGATTTGTGCCATGTTTTGGTTTGGCCTCCTCTAGCTTTCGTCCAACCTACTAAAAAATGAGCTAAGGATAACAACGATGTAGAAAATGTGTAAAGTCTAAATTTGTCCAATGTCAAAATTTAGTCATTTTTGAAAAGGACAACTTGAATGAAGTCGTTCTGATGAGAAAACCTATCTAAAGGATTTTAAACATACAGTTGAATAGTTTAAACATAAAGGTATTAACCATTGGATTGTAAATTAGTGATTTAAAGTTATCGTGCCCTATTCAATGTAAGTTTATGATTGTACATAGAAAATGTGCAGTGTTTGTCGAGTCCTATTTTTATATCAATTGTTCTTCAGCTGAGCTCTGCCTGTGATGGGAACTAACTTCATATCGAGTAAATCTCATGAGACTATGGGGATTTTGTGTTAATCAGTAAACAACAAAGACAACAGAACACCGTACACTGGGGGGTAGAACCCAGGACCTTAATCTCTCAGAACGAATTCTCGATCTTCAGATTAGTAGACCATGACTCTATGGCTTACATATCTAGCCTCGGTAACGTTGTAAATTCACACCGCCTAGAAGTCCCATAAAAGGACAAGAGAGCTCTCCAATACTACCTGGATTTAAAATGGTTGTCTGACCAAGACCAGACCATGATGTATGCTGCAAAATCTCATATTACTTTGTTTTAATTAAAAGACACAAAGTTTGTCGCACGACAGTATAATGGAGATCGTTGTTTCACATTGAGATCATGAAAGAATCATCGTTAGACTACGATTAGAAACCTGAAAGCACTTGATAGCCGTTTCGTCTTGGTATAGGATTCATCAGCAGTAGCTACCGAAGATAATCAGTAACGTTGCGCAAAAATCCTTAGATTAAGAAGAGTTAAACATTAACACCGTTGCGTGCCGGGTTAGTGATCCAGAGGTTAAGTTCTCGAGCACAAGACCGAAGGTCTTGAATCCGAACCATACTAGTAGCAGGAGTTGTGGATGAGTTCTACACAAGGATGAGACGAATGTCCAGTGCTTCCGGGTTTCTACTGATGCTTTAACAATGATTTACTTGTTTATTCTAATAACAGGAAGTAAATTTGGATAATATAAACTATGGATGTATAATTAAAGCTAAATTATTCTACTCATAATCTTTTAAAACCACCGTTTACAACTAACTACTTTCATATTTGAATAATATTTTATCAAACGGCTTTCGATCTACTGTGGATAGGTAGTTGATACCTATTACTGTAAAGTGGAATACTCGGACGAAATAGTTATTTAACGTCGTCTGATTTTCAGTAGTTGTTTAACTAATAAGACCAGTTATTATGTTTTATGAAATATAAAAATTCAGCAATAGTCATAAAACTCTTAAATCGACACTTAATATTTTGAAATAAATTTAATTATATCAAAATAGTCATGTTTATTTTAAGTGAAATGTGATTTTTTTTGGGCGTAAAGTAAATAAATAGTGTCACTTATTTTACAAGTACAGATTTATGTAATTGACTTTGAACAGGTGTGTAACTGTACTAGATAGAGTATTGATTTGATCAGAATGCAGAAAACCAAACTATTTTTATGGTTTTTGTGGTTTTTCATATGACATCAAATGATGAAAAGATTTGTGTACTTCTGGGAAATTTTGTAGTTGGCAGGAAACAAAATACTATTTTGTCATCCATAGACTGTAAGCGATAGTGTGATAAATGCAAGATCATTGATGTTTACTATGTGAAGTCTGTACATAACATATAGACCAATGAGTCTTTGTTTCAATCACGTTTTTTCACAGTAAGATTACTTAGTTTAAGATTTATTGAATAATAGAGGCGCCATACCGCATTAGCACAGAGACGCAATCGCTAATAAACGGACCACCCTACCATACATAAAATATATATCGGAACACACAGCATGATTACTGAAACCATTTGGAATAGGTGTGGCACACAAACCAACAGAATCACTTCAATCAATCCTGTGTAGACCAAAGGACAAAAGGACAAAGGAAGAAAAACTAAATATCATCTACAAAATAAATTGCTCAAACTGTGAAAAACACTACATAGGACAAAGTGGACGTCTTCTCCAGCTTTGTTTACGTGAACACCAATTAGCAGTCAAACGCCACGACAATTCTTCGCCTACATCAATACATGCGGACAACTATGGACATACATTCGATTGGAATAATGTGGAAATACTGGATAGGGGGAGGACAAAGAACACTAGGGAATTTTCAGAAGCTTGGTACTCAGGTCACTCAGCAATCAACAAACACATTCACATTGACCCAATTTATCAACCAATCAGGAAAATCGTAAGTGACACAGAATCAAGAAACAGATCAAAAGAAGGATACAATCAAAATACAGGTGCAAACAACGACAGGTTTAAGGTCAACAACAACCAATCAAGATCGAGGTTAACACAACAAGCTACAGGTCAAACGTGGAGAAATTCGAATGCTTCACTTCTATCTGAAGTTTGTGCTGATGATGTTGTTCAGAAGAACAATGATAGCTTTACAACCAAAACATCCAGCTCAGAGAACGAAACACCACCATAATCATCTACCTGAGCTGTAAATTTTCTCCACCATCTCAAAACATTCAAAAATAGCTCAATCTTAAACACTAAGTATTGATTGCCTCATTTCTCCATTGTCTAACATCATTTTGAGAGTAGGTGTTCAATGTTGCAAAGTGTTTTATTCTATTCAAATAACTAAAAAAACTTTTTTTTCTTTAATATCAAGAAGGATAAGGCATTGTCGGAAATGTCATCAGTAATTTTTTTTGTTCAACTTGTAATTTTCTTTTATCAAAGAAAAAAACGAACTAAAATTATATTCATTCTGGCATATTATAGTGTTAGTAGTGTTAGTTTGTATGTTGTACGTCAATTATTAACGCTATTCTTCCGGATAAAAAGATATTTGTAGTTCTATTGCGCTATTTGTCTTTAGTTGGTGTACAGAAAAGACAAATACATATATATATATATATATTCTATTGGTTGGAGATGCTGAAATTTGTTTATGGAAATGCCTTATTTTTCATTTCAGATTATAGTAAGATTTGAATAGAAGTAATTCACAGAAATTGTTGCTAGTTTAGAGTTGTGTCTTTTCTTTTTTGAATGAACTAGGATTATAGTTACTGGTCAGAATTCGACTACATTCAAAGAAAAATTTCAAAGTATACATATACTTTGAATATAGATTAATGTACTTAAGGGTATTGTGTTAAGCATATCTGCTTGAATAATTGTATTGACTAGCAATTAACGCATGGTTTTCATACACATTTTGCTGATAAAAACTTATTTTCAGCTCGATTCACCAAAGGGAGGTCCACAAGACGATAGTAATCGATGGTTAGAGACCGTGAACGACATGGCTCAAAATCGTTTGAAATGGCACAGGTGCATTCACTCGTTGTGTTCTCGCAAATTCTAATCTTTCTGAATTCCTCATCACCTCTATTTTTCTCTTTCACCCTAATCTTCTTCATCACCGTTAATACTCCTACCACTATGAGACTTGAATTGACCATTGTGTCTTTGTACTAATGCAGTATGGTAACTTGAACTGATGTACATACGTATGAAGTTCTACGTTGTAGTTGATTGACTGAGGATTCACTCAAGTTAGTGTTGACAAAGATTTATATAAATTATATGGCAATCTTAATCTCGAACTATGTAGTTTTAGTTTGATATAGAAGAAATGAAAAATGGTTATCAGTAGAATTCAGGACGCATTATTCACCCTATTTGGGACTTTTCAACTAGATGTACTTGCACTACAGGTTTAATGCTCACTCCAGGACTCGAACCACGTTTGTAGTATATAGTGTTAATATTTGCACAGATAAAAAGCATTCGCTCACAAGGGAGTCTAACATGTCATCGCAAATACGTAGATAGACGAAAGAAGTTACCCACGTATTTTTTTAATATACGAATAGTTTACGCTTTACTTTTGTGTAGTTTCAATCAGAACAGTTAAAGAAAGAATAACTAACTAACTCATTATAAACATTATCACTCTAGAATTAGCCAATCAAAAACAGACAACAAAACAGTATTTTGATCAGAAAAATAATCTTGAAATAAGTAACCAGATAAAATATAGTAGTTCATGATAGAAAAGACTGTTTAGTTGTGTGAAATACTGAAGAACTTCAGAATTCCCACAAGACAAGTGATATATCGAACAAGATTTGATTCATAGTAACTCTTAGTGAATGAACTGAATAAAATTTACGCTACTCAAATAAAGACAAAGAATATAAGTTGAAATAAAGCCTATTGATTAAAAGTAAACAATCAAACAATCAATAGCAACGTAGAACTTCGTACGCACGTACATAAGTTCATGTCGCCATACCACGTTAGCACAGAGATGTAATTGTCAATTCGAATCCAATAGTAGTAGAGGTTTTAGAAGTAGTCGGAGAGGTTAGGATTAAAATGTATAAATCAAGAAGTAGAATCTAATGAAATAGACTTAAAAAGATAAAGTGATGAATTAAAAAGTTTAGGGTTGAGAGAACACAAAGAATGAATGCACCGGCGCCATTGCAAACGGTTTTGAACCATGTCATCAATTACTAACATCTCACGGACCCCAACCAGGTAGTCGACATCTACCGACATGACTCAGTCCACTTGTCAGCGACTTCATGGATTTATGCCATGTTTTGATTTGGCCGACCCTAGCTTTCTTCCAACCTACTCCTACACCGCAAAATATGGCTCATCGAGGCAGTCGGTGGGTATGTGTACGTAACACATGTTCCAACCACCTCAACTGATGAAGTTTCAATACTTCATCTATTGATCTGCCATTCTTACCTAGCACCCGTTTCCTAATAACAGCGTTGGTAACTCGGGTATCCCAGGATATACGAACAATGCTTCGAAGACACCTATGATCGAAAACCAGTAACCTACGAATATCTTCTACTCTCACTGGCCATGTTTCATAGCCATAAAGTAAGACGGAGAGAACTACTGCGCAGTACACTCGTCCTTTAGTCAGTATACGGATATCTCGCCTACTCCATAAGTGACGCAGGTTGGCAAAAGCCAGTCGAGCCTTCTGTATCCGTGCTGAGATTTCGTCAGTCACCGGGCCATCAGCACTGATGAGACACTCCCGAGATAAGTGAAGCGGTCTACTCATTCGACTCCCTATCAGTAGATCAGGTACCGATGCAACCTAATCTTGAAGCAACATTTTGCATTTCGAGGGGGAAAACCGCATCCCGAACATGCTTGCATTGTTGCTTAGGGTAGTCAGAAGACTGCATTTTGTCAGCGTCTTCACTGTCATCGGCATATTCTAAGTCAGCAAGAAAAAAGCGAACAACCATTTAAAGATTATTACATTGTGATTGATTCACTAAACATGATTAACTGTAATTTTTTTTTATTAAGAGCTCAAAAAATACTGGTAAACTGTACCATCTATCTTCTGGTATTTTTGATTAATATAATTCACAAAATCTATTTTAAACTACATTACATTGAAGCAAGTTGCATTGCACTTAAGTACTGTGTAAGTGAGTGAATCAGTCCCAACTAGAGATGAATCTAATTTGTATTTGAAAAAAAATAAAACAAAAGTGAACGCCTCAGTTTCTGTGAGAAAAATATTTGTATATTAAACCATTTTTATTGAAATCATAAATCAATCATTGTTTGACCACCATTAAAAACCTGGAAGCATTAGACGGTGGTTTCATCCTATTATGTGGCTATTTAGCAGTGCGCATCCATGATTGTCGCCCATGGGAATCGAAACCGGGATCTTCGATCTCGCTTGCGAACGCCTAACCTCTACACCACCCGAGACGGAGTCCAGCGGTGTTAATGTATAGCTTTGGTCAATCTAAGGCTTTACATAACCTCACAAATTGTCTTTGGTAGGCAAGTGGCTACGCTCGATGGGGATAAAATCCACTGATCATGGCTTCCCACTAGAATGCCAAGAATTTCCTCATAAAGCTAACCAAAAGTTAGCGCATTGTATGCTATTCATCATAGAGTTATGGAGATTGTTGTTTTAGATTGAAATCATGAATCAGTTATTGTTAGACCGTCATCAGAAACCTGGAAGCACTGAAAGGTCGTTTCATCCTAGCAGGGGATTCTTCAGTGATTGATTCATGATTTCAATCTTAAACAACAATCTCCATAACTCTGTGATGAATAGTATTAAGAAACTGTTATTCTTTGCATAAACTTACTCTTCCGCTAGTTATAGTCTTATCAACCTATATATATATATATGGGCGGCCAAACCAAAACATGGCAGAAATCCATGAAGTCACTAATAAGTGGACTGAGTCATGTCGGTAGGTGTCGACTACCTGGTTGTGGCCCGTGAGACCATAGTAATCGATCGTTAGAGACCCTGAATAACATGGCAATGGCTCAGGTGTTCTCTCAAATCCTAAACTTTTTAATTCTTCATCACGTTATCTTGATCTTTTTAAGTCTATTTCACTAGATTCTACATCTTGAATAATATCTTCTAATCCTAACCTCTCCGATTAGAATAATATCTTCTAATCCTAACCTCTCCGATTACTTCTAATACCTTTACTACCTCTTCTACTATTGGATTTGAATTGACAATTATATCTCTGTGCTGATGTGGTATGGCAACATGAACTGATATACGTACATATGAGGTTCTACATTGCTATTGATATATATATATATAATATATATATATATATATATATATATATATATATATATATATATATGTTATTAACTAATGTTATCATTTTTACATGACAGTATTTCAGATGTGAAAGAACATACTGATACACATGAAGATTATGGATTTTCTGGATGCTTAAATAAATTTCTGATTAATGCTGATTCACCAGTGAAACATTTTAGCTTAGATCTTTCTCAAGCTGACAATACAAAATTAACTTGGTTAGGAATTGAACCTACTAATCATCTGTCAACAGATCATATTGAAGCACCATTCTGTTCATCATCGTCATCATCAGTATCATCAACAAATGACCAACCCAATAGTAATCCAATTGAAACTATTCCACCTTCTATACAATCAGATCAAGTTCAAAGGCAAGAGAATTCAATTCATCCAAATATTCCAATCTTATCGAATGAGATTCAATCGAAAAAATGTGAAAATTATGGAATTCTCTCTGTGACATCTAATGAAAAATCTAGGTGTATTTGTCAACCTGGCTGGCAAGGTGATTTATGTGAACAAGGTAGGTAGGTAGGTTGTTAGAACAATGCAAAAATGCAGTTGATCTGAAAATAGGTGATGTATTTGCGCCTTATACATTTCGAATAATCTGGTTACATACATATACTTACTTGTCAAGGCATTTTATATGAAGATGAATAAACGGTCAAATAAACATAAGGTGATAACTGTCAAAAAAAGGAGAGAGAAAATTAACGTTGTATAGAAAAATTTGGATATTGTTACATTACCCTAAGACCACAAAATGACTTACAGATTACCAGGGTTTATTTTAACCTTCAATTTACCCTAGTTAATCTTTAAGCCATTTTATGGCCTAGGGTTAATATAACAATTTCCTATCCTTTCTTATTCTTTCTATATTATGTTAATTTTCTCTCTACTTCATTTAAAATCATCACCATATTTGAACCTTTATTTATTAATTTTCGTATAAAATACCTTGACAAATGTGACATGTATAACCAGACTGTTCTAACTGTATAGCACAAATACATCATCCATTTTCAAATCAACTACATTTTTTCATTGTTATATCGACATTTATAACAGATTGTTTGTGTACACAAAAGGAGAGTTTAAATTTACAAATAGTTAAGACTTCTATAAATCTTAGAATTCACCCTTGAATATTTCTATAAAAAATATTTCGAGAGCTATCTTAATCTCAATCCAGTTCCTTCCAATTTTTGTTCATTCTTCTCATCTCTATCTCCATTTTTTCGGAGTAATGTGTTCTTTAGCCTTCCTCTTCGCCCTTGATATTGAGGGTTCCAAGAAAGGGCTTGATTTGTGACGCAATTAGGTGCTTTTTTTCGTAATGTGTGTCCTACCAACTTCCAGCGATTCTTCCTGATTTCCTCCTCCTCTGGAATCTGGTTTATTCTCTCCCACAGTATGTTGTTGTTGATGGTTTGTGGCAAAAGGGGCTGAAGTATTTGGCGTAGACAACTGTTAATAAACAGTTGTATCTTCTCTATGATGGCTTTGATAGTTCTCCAAGTTGCTGCCCCATACAGTAGAACTGTCTTGATATTTATTTTGAAAATTGTGACTTTGGTGTTGGTTGATAGTTGTTTTGAGTTCCAGATCTTCTTTGGTTGTAAAAATACAGCTCTTGCTTTGCCTATCCCTGCCTTCACATCTGTATCCGATCCACTTTGTTGATTAATGATGCTGCCCAGATAAGTAAAGGTTTTCACATCTCCGTCAAGTGTGATTCGATTTGTGCATTCTATGTTTTATCAGAGAATCTTGCTTTTCCCTTTATGTATGTTGAGATCTGATGGTATACCGGTTGTCTTTTCCTGCATTTGTTTGTGCTTAAGCGATAGAATAGCCAGATCATCTGCTAAGTTCAGATCGTCCAGCTGCATTTATAAGGTCATTTGAGCGCATGCTCAATACTATAAATATTGTTTTTAGATCGATTCTGAAGTGTATTTCAACAGTTTAGCGAATTAACTACAATCAATGCTTGAATTACTATTAAATATCTGCATTACGGAGTTGTGAAGATTGTTAAGTTACACATTTTTGAAACCATGAATCGACCAATGTTAGACCACCATTAGAAATCTGGAAGCACTGAAAGACGGCCGTTTCGTCCTGGTATGGGACTCCTCAACAGTCCGCATCTGGCAAAACATATTATCCAATAGGTGGTGGTTTACTTCGTTATCACAAATTAAACACCGATCTTTTAAATTCTTCTCAAGATTTGAATAGTTACGGTACATTTCATTATTTCGCATATTTTTTTTTTAGCGGTAACCATTATACCACAATTTTCTGGCAATGGATTTATACGATTAGCTGGTCCAACTGGAAAACATGCAATAAAACGTAAAAAATTACACATTGAATTAATTTTCTTAATTACACAACCATCAGGTAAGAAAAGAAATGTTTATATTTACTATGAAATCAATTAAAACTACAGATATCACAGTGTTTTAAAGTTGACTTCACTGCCATTACACTGATTTCAATTCTGGTTATTTGATCAACATTCGTTGTAGTATTTTTCTTAAAAGAATGGTGATGTTACAGGTATTGAAAGCAGTCATTAAGAACTGTTAAAAAAAAGTGTTTCAACTTATTAATAATTTAAATATCAAACTGTCAGTTTACTAGTAATGATACATTCATCATGAAAATGGAAGTGAATGTAGTTAATTTTGTGATGAGAGCACCATAGAGCACTAATGATGTGTATCATACTAGGGACGAAGCAACTGTTCAATTTCTTCCCTAGTTCATAATGGTTATGATGTATTCGGCCCCCTGATCAAATCATTGGTGCGCAATGTCGAGAAGTCGCATAATAAGGCAAACACGTAGTCAGTGCTTCTTGGTTTTCAGTGGTACCTCACTAGAAGTCAGTTAATGACAAATACCATCTAGAAAATACTTACTATGCAAAAAGCCAATATTTTCCACTGTTAACTTAGTTGACAACCTTTTTTTAATGTATTAAGGCCTAGATGATGATTTAACACAAATGTAACGTAAAAATGTGCTAGGAAAGAATAAAACAGACTACTCAAAGAAGCATATATATATGTATATATATTCTGAAAATAATAACAGAATTCATACCAGTTTACAGGCATGACGACACATTCGTCATCATCAAAAAGAACGAGCTGAAGAACATCTACAATCAGATCAACAACGTCTTCGATGACATTAAATTTACGATGGAAAAGGAATCAAACAACAGTCTATCATTCCTGGATGTACTAATTACCAGAACTAACACAGGAAAACTGGAAACTTAAGTATTTCGGAAACCAAAACACACAGACCTAGTTCTCAAATACAGTAGCGAAAATCCAATAACCCACAAAATCAACTGCATACGAACTTTGTTCAAGAGAGCGAAGACACGCTGCAGCACACACGAAGCACTAAAAAACGAGGAAAAACATATGGTGACTATCTTCCAAAAGAACGGCTATCCCCACGCAACTTCATTAAAAAAATATCAACCGAAACCATCATCAGGAACCAATAAACGGATCACCCTACCATACATCAAGGACATATCGGAGCATACAGCACCACTATTAAAACCATTAGAAATAGGTGTGGCACACAAACCAACAGAATCACTTCAATCAATCCTATGTAGACAGAAGAACAAAATGACAAAGGGAGAAAAACCAAATATCATCTACAAAATAAATTGCTTAGACTGTGACAAATACTACATAGGACAAAGTGGACGGCCTCTCCAGCTTCATTTACGTGAACACCATTTAGCAGTCAAACGCCACGACAACGCTTCGCTTATATCAATACACACCGACAATTATGGACGCATATTTGATTGGAACAATGTGGAGATACTGGGTAGGGGGAGGACGAAGAACACTAGAGAAGTTTTAGAAGCTTGGCACTCAGGTCAATCAGCAATTAACAAACACATCGACATTGACCCAATTTATCAACCAATCAGAAAAAAATCATAGGTGACATAGGATCAAGAAACAGATCAAAAGGGTTATACAATCAAAACGAAGGTGAAAACAACGACAAGTTTAAGGTCAACAGCAACAAATCAAGATCGAGGTTAGCAGAACAAGCTACAGGTCAAACGTGGAGAAATTCAAATGCTTCACTTCTGTCTGAAGTTTGTGCTGATGATGTTGTTCAGAAGAACAATGAAACCTCCACAAACAAGACATGCAGCTCAGAGAACCAAACACCACCACCATAATCATCCTCCTGAGCTACAAATCTTCTCCACCATCACAACCAACAACAAAAATGCACTGAACAATTGTTCCCTCTTTGTCTGAAGCTGCCCACCATTGGCCAAACCCACGACTTTTAGGTCTTACGTAGAGAACTCAACCTTTAGACCAATGCTGCTGTAACAAATCGTTTACTTTTTATCACACCAATTTTCTGATAAAACAATGAAATTTACCAGAACACGTAAACTGGAATGCTGGAAAAATTAGTTTTGTCAAATTTAAATTATTTATCAAATCTAATCGACTAATTTAGATTCTCTCTTTAAAGTCGTCTCAATTTTTCAAAGCCTCCAGATCAAATTTTTTGACCATTATTCAGATAAATTTGAACAGGAAGTTCCGAAGTATTTTAATGCGGATATTTGCTATTTTAAATCTTACTTACTGATAGCTTTAAGGAACAGCCATTACTTTTACATAGATTGAAAGAAAATCAGAAAGTTTCCATCACTGAATCTCCAGTCATTTCGTAAAAGGTTGTGAATCACAAATTACTCACTGACTTACATTTTTAGCAGTTCTTCAACATACACAAAGTTTTACAGTAAAAAAGGTAATCTGTAAACAAAACCTTCGTTGTGTACCCCACAGTAATCCTCATCAATGACTCAATCACTTACAAATCATTGGGCCTCTTGATGCTTTCCCAAACTAATCTTCCACTTATTCTTTAAATAACTCTCTCAATAAAACATTTATTCAACTTTGTTATGTTTCCTAAACAAAACCAAACAAAACAACATACCAATCTTTTTTTACAGGTCTACTATTTTTCATTCCACCTAAATCATCACAACAACATGGCAGTCCATTTATAGCAGTTTATGTGGATGAACAAAATTATGTAAATGTGATCTGTCGAACTGGTACCGGTAAATTAGTCAATGAAAATCTTATTCAATTAAAATATAATGAACCAGTACAATTAAATCAATGGAATACGTTGATTATTGATAAATTGCCAAAAATTCTACGTGTTAAAATGAATGGGAATAAAAAACAACGAGTATCGCTGGTGAGTTGTTTCTGTTTTGTTTTTTTCTTTTCTGTCAATCTTTACAAATCACATTGTTGATGTTTGTTTTATTGTGTTTGAGACTGTTGCCTAACATCTTATAAATGCATTACGGGGTTGTGAAGAAGTTATGTTAAGTTACACATTTTGAAATCATGAATCAGTCAATGTTAGACCACTTGAAAGCAGTGAAAGACGGCCGTTTCTTCCTGGTATGGAATGACTCACCAGTGGCAGTGAGCATCCACGACTCCTGCATCTCGCAGGATTCGAACCCAGGATCTTCGGTCTTGCGCACAAATGCCTAACCTTCAGACCACTGAGCCGGTATCTAACGGTGTTAATGTCTAACTTCAATCAATTCATGAAGTTGCACAACCTTATACACTGTCTTCGTTAGTTACTGTCTACACCTGAACAGCTTGAACTTCACTGGTCACGACTTTCCACTAGAACTCAGAGGAGATTCCTCACGAAGCTAGTCACTAGTTGAGTATAGGTAATTGCATTACGGTGTACTGAATCACCGCTGATGAGTCCCATAACAGGACGAAACGGCCGTCTTTCAGTGCTTCCAGGTTTCTAATGGTAGTCTAATATTGATCGATTCATGATTTCAACTATTATAAATGATCAAGAACAACTATATGAATCTATGGAGCATTCTGTGAATAAGTTTACATTGGATTTTAACAACTTTAACTCTGTTTTGATACTTCAATAGAAGTTAGTGTTTGTTTGTACTTGAACAGATCTTCTAGAAGGAAAACGTACCACCAGCGATTAAAACTATCCGGTTTACAGAAAAGTAAAAGAAGATATTGAAGTGCGTGTACTTTTATGTCGTGCCCATAGGGTTTATCTCAACCTTTGGACAATTTATTCAATCCGTTCTTCTCCAGAGTGACTATTTACTCGTCGATCATTCTATCATATCTAGATCGTTTTTTATTCGACTATGTGTACGCATGCTTACTTCGCTTACTAAATGTCAAGCCAATTTTTGTCTGACTATAAATACAGTCATGCTTCATTGTAAAGAGTTGGCTCTCCCATCTCCTTCATTTCGCTTTGCTCTACTTGTATGCTTTTCATTCTCATATCTATCTGTTTCAACGATCGTCTGAAATAAACTCATCGAACTGAATCCGTATTTGGTTACTTATTACCTCCATCGCACAAACAGGACTCGTCTAAGTATGATATACAGAAACTGAAGGGGAGATTTATTTCATAGCATATTTAGATGTTCATATTTATCGAAGTCATACCGTGAGCCACTAAAGTGGTGCGCCTTATTTTTAATTTAAAGCAGCCACCAAAATATTGTCTTTATCTTCTTTATTAGTCATGACTTATGAATTTTTGTATTCCTTTATCAGTCAACTTCAGATGTAACATAAAACTTTGATATACTTACACTGCTTAACATCACTTATGAATCGATGTTTATAGATTGATTTATAGTTCACTTATCGTATTGAATTTCAATAATTGTTTCAGTGTGAGATTTAGTTGAATATGAAAAAGTTCTCTAGTAACGTAGGTCAGCTTAAGTAATTCTATATTAAAGATTAAAAAGCATACATGATCACGTCTTGATTAATCTATGTTTATTTATCTCTTTATTCGGTACATTCAGGATATAAAAATTGATGTTACATTTGAAATTTAACCGTTACTTTACCTTGAACTCATGAATCGATCAATGTTAGACCACCAATAGAAATCTGGAAACACTGGACAGTCCTTTCACCGTACATTCAACCTCATCAGCAGTGCACATCCATGACCCCTGCTCGCGAGAATCGAACCCAGGACTTTCTGTCTCACGTGAACGTTTAACCTCCTAACGCTTAACATAGATCGAAGGTCCTAGGTTCAATTCTTGCGGGTAGTACGAGTCATGGATGCGCACTGCTGATGATTTGGAAAGTAGGATGAACCAGCCGTCCAGTGCTCTAATGGTTGTCTTACATTGATGGATTTATTATTTAAAATTAACTCAACAATCATCACTTTACTGTCCAGTCAGTGTCCTATTTATGAACCCTAATTACTTGAGACAAAAATGTCAAGTTTACTGATATCAGTAAACTTTTCACTAGTATATCAGTCGTATCAATACTGTCCGATGAAATTCATGAATGGACAAGCACAGAAGTGAATACACGAATACCGACTACTGTTTCAGAAAATTGAAATCAAGGAAAAAAATGTAGTCGAACATATAAAATGTTAGTGATCGTCGATACAATCTGAAATCATATTTCAAACATAAATGACGAATAAGATAACGAATTAACTCATCCGCTTAACAGAGACTATAGTGAAGCATGTTCATTAACAATTTCCATCTAACGATTCCTATTACTTTAAAAAACCCAGACAAAGTGATATCTTATCAGTGAAGATAATTTTGAATAAATGTTAAACACAGTTCTTATCATATATACAATCATATCAATTAGAAAAATCAGTTCAAATATTAAATTATTTTGAAAAAATAGCTATTTTAGATTAGAAAAAATTAACAAGTTAAAGTATATTTCTCACTCTAACAAAAAGTGTAAAGTTTTGTAAATTCATCAAGAATTCTAGCTGAAAAATCAATATCTCCTCTAATGGAAGCCGCTTATTATTATGGGCTCCCATTTAGCTAACTATATGAATTTCAATTTAACAATGAATGGCAGAGAAACATTTTTTTAGCCCAACTTTTATTAAGCTACTACCTATATCTTCCATGATGTGACCTACAAGTATTCAGAAAGTCAAAAATGTTTGTCTACTTCAGTTAGTGAGTTTATTGTCAATGCAATTTTTGATATGACCTTGAGAATTAGCGCCTGAGGTTTCAAGTCCAGCGGGTTCAGTTCGTAAGGTGCATGTATGATTTAAAAATTTAGAATGGCGATTATAATAAAATTTCTTTTTAGACCATTTTTTTTGAGAATAAAAGCTTGCTGCCCTACTTCGTATAACTTGCTGTTTGTAAAATAAATAATAATAATAATTATTATTATTTTTATTTATTCAATTTTCAATGATCTAGATCCCATCACAATATAATCGTATGCAAAATCGTCTTCCAAAAGAGGTATGTTGTTAAATACACTACATTATATGGTATTAAACTGAAGTATTTTCAAATGAATTCTTTTGATTGCGACAGAATGATTGTTGTGGGAATATATGATTTTTTAAATAGATGATACTTCGTATATATATATACCTTTCAATCAATATTGACTTTTGAACAGTTGAAGAGATCAGTTTGGCCATCAGACCAATCAAGAACGACAAAGCAGTAAGAACAGACAGCTTTCCACTAGAAGCACCGAAAACAGACGCAGTGGTAACTTTAAAGATGTCGCACGTTCTGTTCAATAAGATTTAAGATGAAGAACTTTAAGATCAACAGGCTGGATTTCGTAAGGATCGATCGTGTACTGACCGAATCGCTACATTACGGATCATTGTGGAACAATCACTTGAATGGAACTCCCCACTATACATCAACTTCATTGACTATGAGAAAGCATTTGATAGCGTGGTTAGAACAACACTATGAAGGCTTCTTAGATACTGCGGCATGCCTGAGAAGATAGTCAACATGATACGGTATTATAGTGACGGATTAAATCGTACACCGAGGGCAGCTAACAGACTCTTTTGATGTCAGACTCTTTTGGTGTCAGGCAAGGTTGCATACTTTCACCTTTTCTCTTTATCCTGGTGATCGACTGAACTATGGGAACATCAACATCTGTAGGGAAGCACGGGATACGGTAGACAGCTGAAATTCAGCTGGACGATCTACACTTCGCAGATGATCTAGCTCTTCTATCGCACACGCAACAACAAATATAAGAGAAGATGAACAGTGTGTTGGCAGCTTCGGCAGCAACAGGTTTCAACACATATAAAGGTAAAAGCAAGATTCTCTGACATAACACAACATCCAACAACCAAATAACACCTGATGGAAATGCCTTGGAGGACGCAAAAACCTTTACATATCTGGGCAACATCATTGATGAGCACGGTGTATCTGATGCAGGGGCTGCATTCCTACAATTGAAATACAGCTGGAAAACTATACCATCAACCACAATTTTTAATATATATGAGGCAGAGGCCTGGAGAACTACGAAATATATATATATATATATATATATATATATATATATATATATATATGAATATATTGTATACAGCTGTAAACCTGTTTTTGCGGACTTTTATTCGATGAACATTTCCGTGAATGATCTGTCCTTATTTTTGACAATTGGAATGATCTTGACTATATTTCTGTATTATTTAAAAGAATACTTTCTTTGGTATTCAGTGTTCCGAGTTAGCTGATTTAAAATTACGGAACTTACAGTAGCACTCCGATCAATATCCAGTTTCGAAAAAGCAACACTACCTAATCTACAAAAGTCACTTTCTTTATTCAAAAGATATTTTCAGAGTAGTTGGTTCTACTTCTTAGTTTTGTGTATTACATTGTAATGCCTATTTTTACGCCCCAGTAGTGATCGAAAACAAGCTAGGGCTATTTTATGTGCAACTGTAGTGAACGAGAACACAGGTGGGGCAATCGAATTGTATTTAACGGAAATTACAGAGTTACTTAATAAAATCGGAAAACCATATCATAAATCGTTTATTTGCAAAATATCAGTTCATCATACTGAACTGGACTGTTCCTGTTGCAAAACATCAATCCATTGTCACTATTCATGCGTTTCATACAAATTCCATTGTGTTCTAACTCTTCGTTTCTTGATCTTCACCCATCTTCTGCTGCCAGACATTAGGTTGATACTCACATCATATACTACTTATAAGTAGATCCACACCACAGCACCACACAACTAGGAAGTCATTCATTTATTTTAGATCGTGATATTACTCAACGCGGAAACTCATAACATATCCTATTATTATTACTACTATTATTATTAGAAGTAGTAGTATTATTGTAACTTTGATGGATTTAATTACAATTTAAAAATTTTTAATCATCAACGAATGAGTTCATGAACTTATACTACTCATTTCCTAAAAAAATATTATCATTTTATTAATTTTGTTTCAGATTAATATCTTTAATCTTTCAACTAAGAAAGTGGAAAAAGACAATGATAATCTTTTAAAATAAAATAATCCTTTAATCTTTTGAAAAAGCATTACATCAAGACTAATCCCACGTAATAATAGCAATAATAATAATAATAATTTGTAATGATCGAAATTCCTTATTTTCTAAACAAACTCATTGATTGCTCATATTAACACTTGACCTGTTTTTCGTGTTAATGAGATCCACATAGTAATCATGAACCAATCACCATTATAAACCTGAAATCACTGAAAGACGGTCATTTCATCTTGGTATGGAACTCATCAGCAGTACACATCCACGACTCCTGCACCTCCGGTCTTGCGCGAGAACGCTTAACCTCTAGACCAAAGGGCTGGCATCCAGTGGTGTTAATGTATAACTCTGATTAATCTACGGATTATGCACAAACTCATCCATTTGTCTTCGGTTGTTACCGCCTACATTTGACAGGGTTGAACTCCATTGGTCACGTCTTCTCACTAGAACTGAGAGGATTTCCTCACGAAGATAATCATCAGTCAGCACATTGTACGATTTTTCAATTAGAGATCATTTTTGTTACGTATAGAAATCATAATGAGTCCCATATCAGGACAAAATGGAAGTCTTTCAGTGCTTCCAGGTTACTAACGGTGGTCTGACAATGATTGGTTCTTGATTTCTATGTGTTAAAACAATGATTTCCATAACTCTAATTGAAAAATATGAAATTCATCTTTATTTTAAAATTGTTAAGATTTTAGTTACAATTCTAAGTTAATAATTCGTTTACTATTTTCACTCATCGTTTTGTTTCAATTATTGATTTATTGATTTTTTTTTCTCTCTATTAGTTAACTCATTTCGATTTATCTTCAAGTCCAATCTATCTTGGTGGTTATAGCTTTGATGATCAATCAATATCCAATTATATACCGATTCGACATGGTTTATATGGGACAATTCAAAGAGTTAGTCTATTTATTTTCTTAATTTGATTGAATTTAACAACTTTTTTGAATAGGTAAAGAATTATTACACATTTGAAATCATCAATCAATCATTGTTAGACCACCATTAGAAACCTGGAAGCACTAAAAGACTGCCGTTTCGTCCTGGTATGGAACTCATCAACAGTGCACATCCACGACTCCTGCACCTCGCAGTATTCGAAGCCGAGACCTTCGGTATTGTGCGTGAACTCCTAACCACTGGACCACTGGGCTGGTATTCAACGGTGTCAATGTCTAACTCTGATTGATCTACGGATTTTGCGCGACCTCACCCATGTGTAAAAACACAAATCTCCAAAAACTCTGCCCCAAAAAGAATTATTAATCTGAAAATAGGTGATGTATTTGTGCTATACATTTCGAACAATCTGGTCACACACATATTTACTTGTCAAGGCATTTTATATGAAGATTAATAAAGGGTCAATTAAATAAAAAGTTCAAATAGACATAAGGTGATAATTGTAAATAAAGGATCGAGAAAATTAACGTAATATTGAAAGAATAAGAAAGGATAGGAACACTGTCACATTACCGTAGGTTTAAGGATGACCAGAGTAAATTCAAGGTTATGACAAGTCGTTCCTGCACACATAAGGGTAGTTTTAATTTTCTAATAGCCAAGGCCTCCATAAACCTCAAAATTCGTCCTTCAACATTTCTATACAATGTTTTGAAGGCTGTCTTGATGTCAATCTTATGACCTGTCTCAATTATGAACATGGTTTTCTATTTCCAACGTTAATCAGCTCATCTGACGTTAACTGATTTTGAAGCCAATTAGGTACATGTTCCATAAACCTTGGTTGCGAATTTCGATTACTCCTCCCTGTGTATGTGTGTCCACACAAACATGTAATGCCTTGACAAGTAAATGTGTGACCAGATTGTTATAAATGCGTATAGTGCAAATACATCACCTATTTTCGGATCAATTACGTCTTCTCACTATTCTATCAAAATCTATAAAAGGGACTAATTGTTTTAAATAGAATTATTAAAAATACTTTCCAGTTATCTTCTTTTTTTCTGAAATTATAATTTTCATTTTGATTAATTTTTGAGAAGTGTTTTGTTGGGTTAAAGTCTTATTAAATAATTACCGTATAATTCAAGGTCAGTTGAATAATCAGAAAGCGCACTTTTGTTTGAAGTAAGTGGCTTACAAAGACAACAAAATCTTCATAATTAAATCACCCAGTTTGTCGAACACTATATTAAAACAAAAACATCTAATGGAGGTTCAACTCATGTCTGTCAGATCAAGGTCAATATATAATCAAGCAATAACGTCTTTTAACAATCAAAATAGGTGGTTTTCTGTCAATTTCAAGAAGTAATCACTTCATGTCTATCCTATATGAAATAAAGAGATTAATTTTGAAATAAATCTAAGCAACTCAAACTATTCTGATGACTAAGTGACTATATATATTTTTCAGTAAAAAATCAACGATCTACATAAATCAGCATAGATCAGCCAAATGAAAATTCTCTGTGTTTATCCAATTGTGTTGATAGTATGAATCTTCCGTTTGATAGTTAGGACTATAATGAATCAGTCTCATTTTGCATATGTGTATTTTCGAAAACATCTGGATTTTCAGTAATGTAGCATTCACATAAGCAATCTCATATTCAGATTTGCTCGATCTGAAAATCTCTGATGCATTTCTTATATAGTGATACTCGTATTATTTACTTACTGCTATGAACCCTCATCGAGCATAGGCAGCGCACCAGGATTATTATCTAACCAACCCTGTCATGGACTCTACATTCCAATAACCTTCATTTAGGGATACTCTTACAATTTTTTATCTGAAGATATTGCTAATGATGTTGTTCAGAAGAACAATGAGAACTCTACAAGCAAAGCATCCAGCTCAGAGAACGAAACACCATCACAGTACCATTATACCTATTAATAAATGAAAATACGTTTTTTGTTTTAATAACCATGAGGGGGCGAATGATGACTCTGCTGTTTTGCTTGTTCAATAAAACTCTGAATCATTGTTAGACCACCATTGGAAACTTGGAAGCACTGGACGGCCGTTTCGTCCTGTTATGGGACTCATCAGTAGTGCGCATCCACAACTCCTGCACCCCGCAAAATTCGAACACGGGACCTTCGGTATTGTGCGCGAACGCCTAACCATCGGATCACTAGGCCAGCATCCAACGGTGTTAATGTCTAACTCTGATTGATCTTAAGATTTTGCGCGACCTCACCGATTGCTCTTTGATAGTTACTGCCTACACCCGACAGGGTTGAACTCCATTGGTCACGTCTTCTCACTAGAAATCAGAGAATTTTCTCACGAAGCTAGTCACTTGTGATCACTGTTACGATATTTTCAGTTAGATAGTTAGGTGTTCGCGCACAATTGTTTTTATTGATTGGGTTGTATTTTATACACAGTGTAACCAGTAGATTCAATGTGTAAAGTTCAAAAACTAAAAGAAATGTATGGTTGCATTGTGTTTCGAATATAGATTGATGTAGTTTACAAGTGAATTAGTTCAATGATCAGTCTTGTTGTGTTGTTGTGTGAGTTTATCTTAAGGCCAAACAATTGATACAGTAAGGTAGACAAACATGTAAACAGTTAGACATATGTAAATTTTTCAATTAGAGTTATGGGGATTATTGCATTTACAAACTGGAATCATTAATCAGTAAACTGTGCTCACTAGTGACTAGGCTTCGTGAGGAAAGTCTTGGAGATCTTGTGAGAAGACGTGAACAGTGGAGTTCAACCCTGTCGGGTGTAGGCAGTAACTACCGAAGACAAATGGGTGAGGTTGCGCAAAATCTCTAGATCAATCAGAGTTAGACAGTAACACCACTGGATTAATGGTTAGGCATTTGCGCGCAAGATCGAAGGTTCCGGATTCCTATCCTACGAGGTGAAGGAGTCGTGGATGTGCACTGCTGATGAGTCTCATACCAGGACGAAATGTTCATCTTTCAGTGCTTCCATGTTTCTAATGGTGGTCTAAGAATGATTACTTGATGATTTCAACATATATAAATGCTTAGAATTAATCATGTGAACAAGTAACAGGATTAAAATCATTCCTTTTGACTTATACATAAGAGCTCTCCTATATACCTATTCAAACTAATATAAATCTTAGTGAATTTGTGATGAATATGTTCCAAGTAGGTGATATGATCCTGCTATATCACTTTACTACAGTTTTTCTCCTTAACTTTTCTGATTGCTCTTTTTCTCTATTTTCCTCTTCTTGAATCAATCATAGATTAATATAAACGAGGCAGAAGTTGTCTTAGCTGGTCCATCTCATGCAGATCTAATGAATATCCCCGAGGAACATGGTAAATTACCACATTTATTTGAAAAATGGTCAAATGTAACACAATGGCAAGGATTACCATGTGGTCCGCAATATTCACCATGTCAATTGGATCAACCTGATTATATATGTCGTCCAAATATTCAACGTGCCACTTGCGCTTGTACAACACCATTACAATTAATGCATCTAATGAAAGGACGTTTAGATGAAGAAACTGATGAAATTGAACAACAAGCTTGTTTACAACGTAAAGTAGGTTTACGGGCAGAGTTTTTGGATGTTTTGTGTTTTTACACATTTGAAATCATCAATCAATCATTGTTACTAGACCACTGTTAGAAAACTGGAAGCACTGAAAGACGACCATTTCGTTCTGGAATGAGACTCATCAGCACTGTGCATCCACGACTCCCGCACCTCGCAGGGTTCGAAGCCGGGACCAATCATTGTTAGACCAACGCTAGAAACCTAGGAGCACTGAAAGACGGCCGTTTCGTCTTGGTATGAGGCTTACTAGCAGTGCGCATCCTCGATTCCTGCAATTCGCTGGATTCGAACCGAACACCTTCGGTCTTGCACACTGAAGCCCAACCTCTGGACCACTTAACCAGAAACCAACAGTGTTCATGTCTAACTCTGATCAATCTAGGAATTTTGTGCGATCTCACCTATTTGTCTTTAGCAGTTACTGCTTACACCCGACAAGCCGGAACTCCTTTGAGCAGTAAGTATCGAAGACAACTGGGTAAGGTGGCGCAATGAAATGCTTCTCTCCAGTTCATTAATGTATGTTTAAAGATATTTAATCTGATATAAAACAAACCTTTTTCGGAATTCTAACATTTGTTTTAAGTTTACTCAGTAAGGCGAATTACAATGAAATGTTGGGTAATTTTTGAGTAATTTTGGGTAATTATGTGTTATATATATAGAGAGAGTTTAAATGTAATTTAATTTATAAGTCATTAAGTTGTTACTGTTGTAGTTACATATTTGATTAGTATGAGTCATCTTCTGGTATGCTTGAATCCCCAATTTTCCCCTATTGATTGTAGTGGTAAATACATCCAAGAATAGTAGTTTGTTGTTTGATTCCAATTCTGGTGTACATTTTGTGCCATTGAAGACAATAGTGTTCAAACTGTTGATGACGGGTGTTTCTCCTGTACAAAGTATTCGAATTTTTATATCTGGGTAATAAGATTTAGACTTCTAGTCGTTATATAATTGTTTCTACAATAAATTCAGATATCAGCGATCTCAATACAGTTCCATCCAGCTAATATATACGGGTGAGTTTATTGATTGTTGAATTGACTATATTCTGAGTAGTGGCCAATAATGAAATTCAGTACAAGTTCATTGCCTTATTTCTGACTGATTAGCTGGGTGCAATTGTACACCGAAACTTTCAGAATAAATAATGTCTTGTCATGATTCTCTGTTTGAATTACCCTAAGGTTATATTGACTATTAATCTTAGTCTAATATATAGGATTATATGAGCACATGGATTCTCAGATCGTAATAATTGTTAATCGATTAATTTAAAACAATTTTTTTGTTTTTCTACTGTGTATCTATTTTTTACCGAAAACTAGATGGAATTATCTCGGTTAAATTCAGCATTAACATCTAGAAATGATGGTCAGTTACAATATGATGGTCCAAATCGTGTACCACCTTCCAAAGAAGAAGTATATAATGAACCAGAAGAAGATCTACCAGCAGCTGATTTAACAAAACAAATTTTAATCAACTTTGGTGGTTTAACAGTTTATGCATATCGTGGATTGATGAGATTCACGTAAGTATCTATTTCAGGTATAAGAATATATGTGAACTTAATAACTAAATGGGTTCTTATGATAATCGGTCGCTAAATATTATAATCCGCGATGTGGCTATTCGAAATTCTACTGACTGACCAAATCTAGATATTCCAGTACGACCCCAAATACTGTTTCCCAAATACCCAATATATCAGAACGCAACACCGTTTAGATGAAAGTTGTTTATGGGTTCTGAGTGGAGAAGAATAAAACTTGACAGACAATGCATATTTATACAATTAGGACGAGCGTAAGTATCGGCCAATAGGAAAACGACATGTGATTTATGTGAAAAATGTGGAAACATTTGAAAACATACGACTTCTCATCCAATGATAGATTGAGACTTACAAAATAATTTTTAGGATATTTTTATGAATATCTTAACAGTTCTACAACATTTGAAGAGATGAGGTTTAAGCTTAAATACCAAAAAGGAATAGCTGACTAGTTACATTGAATGAAACGAGAGTCGTGAATTTCACTACCATGATAAAATCAATATAGTACCTAAAGGTCTTGTGATGAGAGCGAAACATTTAAGTAGCTGAGTTGGAATCTAATGATTCACTTCTCCAAATTCATTTAGTTGTTAGCGTTGCGCGACCATCACACAAATTCATCGGTGAGTATCATTTTCACATTCAACATGATCAAATCCTACTAGTCACAGCTTTTTACTAAAACTAAAAGAATCCCGGCGTATAGCTGCATAATGCAAATATTACTTACAGCCAACTCGCTAACAAAAAACATTGGATTTCTTAGAGTTTCATTCTGAGGAATCCCAAATTATAAACAAACAGCTATTGAGTACTCGACTTAATACATGTTCCAAACTACCTTCCATTTGATTCATCTCCAAAAAACATTACTCCTAAAAATACTACTTTTTAACCGATAGGATTTGATGAGTTTGAACATTGAACGTAAAAGCTGATTACATTTGTAAAGATCATCAGAAGTTATTTTTGAAGAAAATATTTACCATAATAATCTCAGCTCAGATACAGAAGTCTCGATTGGCTTTTGCCAACCTGCGTCACTTATGGCGCAGGCAAAATATCCGTTCGCTAACCAAAGTACGGGTGTACTGTGCAGCAGTTCGCTCCGTCCTACTGTACGGATGCGAGACTTGGCCGTTAAGAGTAGAGGACTTCCGTAGGTTACTAGTCTTCGATCATCGATGTCTCCGAAGAATCGCTCGTGTATCATGGGACAACCGTGTAAGCGATGCTGTCGTTAGGAAACGAGTTCTAGGTAAGGATGGCAGATCAATAGATTAAGTAATGAAACTTCATCATTTGAGGTGGTTGGGACATGTGTTACGTATGGCTAACCACCGACTGCCTCGACGAGCTATGTTTTGCGGTGTAGGAGTCGATTGGAAGAAAGTTAGGGGCGGCTAAACCAAACCATGGCAGAAATGCATGAAGTCATTGACAAGTGGACTGAGTCATGTTGGTAGATGTAGGCTACCTGGTTTTGGTTGCGAGACGAGTCACCGATGGTTAGAGACCTTGAACGACATGGCTAAGAATCGTTTGTAATGGTGCAGGTGCATCCACTCTTTGTGTTCTATTTAATTCTAACCTTCTGCACTTCTCATAATCTCTACGTTTCTCCTTCTAAATTTATCTTACTAAATTGTACTTCTCGAATCATATCTTTGCTCCCTAATCTTCTCCATTACTGCTAATACTTCTATCATTGCTATCACTCTTGGGTTTGAACTGACAGTTGCGTCTCTGTGTTGATGGGACATGGCAACCTGAACTGATATACTTACGTACGAAGTTCTGAGTTATATCTGTCTGACTGTCTATAATATAAGTTTTGATTCTATGTGTAATTTAGAATTATCGAATTTAAATTTACCGGTGGAATAAACTTTTTTTCGTTTAAATAATTGGACATTTGAAATCTTTTTTAACTGTTCCATGAATTGCCGACAATAAAATTTAAATCAAAATCTCAACCATTTAACACATAATGATAGTTTCTTAACCTATTATTATCAACTTTATTAAAGTAAGCAAAAATCTCAGCACCAACAACCACACACTATAATGTCAACAAATTTTTTTCTTCTAACATAGATTCAAATTGTATTTATTTACACATATAAGTGTTGTAAATGTTTCATTTTATTTTTCAAAAGCCAGTATCATTTGTCAATCATCTTTAACTACAAAATTTTTTCTACCATTTCAACATTGTTCCAGTTATATTTTCTTTCATCCATCGTTTATGAAATCCGGCAATTCTAATGTAGTCTGCAATCGGTTTTTTTGGTAAAGATAGACATTAAAGGGAAAAACATATTTCAAGAATTGAGGTGTTTCTTTATGAGATTTACAGCAGTTAATATTTTTTCCGATTGGAGTTATGGAGATGAGTGATTTTAAACGTTGAAGTTGTCAATCAATCATTTTTAGACTACCATTAGAAACCTGGAAGCACTGGGCGGTCGTTTCGTCCTGGTATGGGACTTATCATGATTTCTATGTGTAAAAATAATGATTTCCATAACTCTAATTGAAAAATCGTACAATGTGCTGACTAGTGACTATCTTCGTGAGGAAATTTTTGGAGTTCTAGTGAGAAAACGTGACCAGTGCAGTTCAACCCCATCGAGTGTAGGCAGTAACTACCGGAGGCAAATGGATGAGTTCGTGCATAATCCCTAGACTGATAAGAGTTAGACATTAACACCACTGGATGCCAGCCCTGTGGTCCAGAGTTTAAGCGTTCTCGAGCAAGACCGGAGGTCTTGGGTTAGAATCCTGCGAGTTGCAGGAGTCGTGGATGCACACTGCGGTTGAGTGCCATTCCAAGACGAAACGGCCATCTTTCAGTGCTTCCATGTTTCTAATGGTGGTCTAACAATGATTGATTGATAATTTCAAAGAGTATTTAATATCATAATCACAATAAACGAACATCTTAGAGCTGTTATTTGATCAATGAGAAGTTCAAAAGAACTTGCAATACCTGAAGAACCTTCGACTTTAAGTCTACAAGCTATAATATCAAGCCCTAAGACTAATTGTAACAATACTTTGGTCATTTATCTAAATTTTAAAAAATCTAGGTGAACGACTAATGGCAGACATAATTCATTTCTACAGAATTCAAATTACTAAGGAACAACATGCTCCTTCTGCAGACCAACAGTGTGAACATAATTATTAGAAGAATTTTTCATCACATAAAAACATACTGACTTTAGAATCTATACACTTATCTAACCAAACAATTTGCACATATCTGTTACCTTAATCAATTCATTCACTCAACAACACAGAATTATTGAAATAGCGAATCGATCACTGTTGGACCATCTTCATATACCTGGAAGCACTATACGGCCGTTAAGTCTTACCACAGGACTCATCATCAGTGCTCATCCACGATCCCCACTTATGGGCTTCAAACCCAGGACCTTAGGCCTCGTGCGTAAATGCTTAACCTCTAGACTACTGGGCGAGCATCCGATGCTGTTATTGTCTAACAACGACCAATTCATTATTTCAATAAAACTCAACAATCTTCGCAACTCTATAATGAAAAACACTGAATTACTCATATGTCGACCAATTTATTACATATAACCTGAAATGTTTGTAAATTCTGCTTTGCTATTACTTGAATAAAGCTATTAACACTAACTAACGAAAGGTCATTATGGGGTTGTGAAGATTGTTAAGTTACACATTTGAAATCCGAAGATTCTGCCTTCAAATCCTGTGAGGTGTAGGAGTCGTGGCTACGCATTGCTGATAAGTCCCATACCAGGACGAGACAGCCGTCTTTCAATGCTTCCAGGTTTCTAATGTTGGTCTAACAATGACTGATTCGTGATTTCAAATGTGTCAAAATAATTTCGCCATGCATTTTAAAATTATACAAATTTCTAACAATCACAATAAATTTACTGTTAAACATTTTCTTTCCTCATTTTTATTTGTACTATCCTTCCTATACAAGGTCCGATTTCAATATTCGTCTTCGTTTACGTACAAACAAGCTGAATGGATTAATTTTATTGATGGTTGAACAACCTTCATCAGATCATCACCACGATATCTCATCATCATCGTCATCATCCATTTTAAATCAACCAGTAACACAGATTACAACAAATTCAGAATTTGTATCGATTGTATTACGTAATGGTCGTATTGAATTGCTACTGAATTTGGTTACATCAAAAAAGAAACTAGAAAAATCATGGGATATCAATACTAATGACAACAACAACATCAACAATGGAAATGATAATCCAGAATTTAATCGTCTTATGCCAATTCAAGCAAGACATAAAATAAACGATGGTGAATGGCATATGATACAAGCTATGGGGTTAGTTAGAAAAGTGTTTTGTAATTCTCTATTTTAGTTACAATAACTCAGCTATATTCCTATTGTTGATTAGTAGTATTGTCTGATAGTAATAATACACTTGACTCTAGTGCCCCACAAATTAGAACACAGTTGGACAAACAAACAAGGTTAAATGGAGAAGTAAGAAGTTGAAGCGAGAGTGAATTGGGCACAATGTTACTATCTTTACGTAGTGAACGAGAACACAGGTGGGGCAACCGAATTGTATTTAGCGAAATTACAGAGTTACTCAGTAAAATCAGAAAACCATATCGTAAATTGTTCATTTGCAAAATATCAGTTCATCATATCGAACTGGACTGTTCCTGTTGCCAAACATCAATCCATTGTCACTATTCATGCGGTTCATACAAATTCCATTGTTTTCTCACTCTTCCTTTCTTGATCTTCCCCCATCCCCCGCTGCCAGACATTACGTTGACGCTCACGTCATATACTACTTATAAGTAGCTCACACCACATTTATAGTGTTTTTACATGAGAAGTTTCTGGAATGTACTGCAAGTATTATTGACCAGCAGTTGATTGGATAGCAATTAGCCAATCAGCGTGCAGCTAACGCAATCATGCTTTAATCTATCTATGGTCCCGCTAACAATAAGTTGAATTATGTGTTATTTATACTGTATAAAATGATTTTTGTTGATAGACTCTGCTTTCACCTGTTCGGTGGTTGAACCTAAGTTCTACATGTAATTTAGTATCACTGTCAGAAACGTCACCAATGAACTATTCAGGTAGTGCATGACCTCATTTATGACTGAGATATATTTTACACGATAACTAGTTACTGAAAAAAAAGCAAACGATAGCAGACACAATATACCTTCTTTATTATTGACTTACAATGACTAGCCATTTCTATGTTTTAAATCCTTTCAGTTTATTGAGTGTCAGTAAATATTTTATGATACTTTGTTTGCATAAATTTCCAACGGAAATTCCAGTAAAATTGTAGTTGATTTCTAGGTGTTGTGAATACTGTTAACGTCATATCACAGAACCTGTATATATATATATATATATATATACATTGAAATCGTATTCTCCGAGTTTTCTCTGACCAAATTTTTTAGTGTAAAATTAGACCATTCTAAAAACCAATGAATTTTCATTTGAAAATTTAACTTCAATCCAATTTCATTGGCTAGATTCAACAGAAATTATAAGTGATATCTGGTTTTTGAGTATGTGTTGTCATTTAGCTATGAGAGAAACCGATTAGTAGAATATTCTAGTTTTCTCTAATGCTTAACATATATTACATAAACCGTGACCCCTTGATAAATTTTATTCGATAAACGAAAAGAATAAGATTTGAAAAATAATATAAATTCTTTTCATATTTCGAAAAATTGTTAGCATTATTGTTGGGGACGTTAGATCTTCAGAACTCACTTAATAAACGCCTTAATTTTGGATTTTATTCATGGACTGATCAATTGACCTTCAGGTCACATTTCTCACCAGGAAAATCCTTGGCCGTGATTGGTTACTGTGTTATTTTAGTGTGCTATTTTTGTGACTGTCCCAAGGACATTTCTATATGTAAATAAACGCAATTTGTGTGCTTGAAATCATTTTGTTTGTTGGGTGTTTGTAGAATATAGTTTCTACGCTATATCAGGACTTCTTTGTTAGTTCCTTTGGATCAACCGATCACAGTAGCCTACCGTGTCACTGATTCATTGTCGCGTTCTCGTTTATGGACTAAAGTGAACCCGTAATAGTTTCAAGCATATCAAGTGACGAGCACAGCAGAGATTGGTTAAGGTTCAATAATTAATTAAATAAGAGATAGGTTTCTGATAGGTTTGATAGTTTTGTATTGTTTAAGTCGGATGTTACAAGTCATTTCTTATTAATTCGTAACGTAGTTCCCATTTAAACAGTAATAACACAAAGTTCAGAGAACGAGTTGCTTTTCAATGAATTTTTTACGAAGCTGCACACATAAGTATAGATATATATATAGGAAGATTTTCAGTATGAATACCGTGGGGACACGTGACCAATGAGTCAACATGATAGTGTAAATAATCTGATCGAGTACTATAATATTTTTTCTTACATCGTCATGTTAATTCATTGTTTAATATGTCCCCATGATATCGGTACTTAAAAAATTCTTATATATATATATACATTTATACAGCTTTGTAAGGAATTTTCTCGGAAAGAAACTCCCTCTGTGAACTTTAGGTTTTTACTGTTTAAATGGGAATTTTATATTTGCCTCATTAATTATGACACTCAATCGGAAGTATCTGTTGTAAAGTCTAGAAATTATTTTGTGCATTGTTAAATGTTCGCATTAAACTAGTGAGTGTGTAACGTTTGTAAGTAATGCTTGTTGAAAAGATGGCTTAAATTTAACTTCCTTTATGAAATTACGGGAATTAGTTAACTAGCCACTTGCAAATGTTAACTTTTTACTTGGTATCCTATCGCACCTACTATTAATCTCAAGTTAAGATGCTAGTAAATAACATTTCCACACAGGAAAAAATTAAAAACTTTTTAAACCTATTCAGATTAAAATAAATTGTACAGGTACCAGAAATTACAATATCGAAAAGTTTTGAAGCAAATTAACTATCGTTTTCCCATTGCTCCCCATATAAATGACAGCGTACTATTTTTTTATAAAAATTTAAGCTACTAACCTAATCAACAGTAGTATAAAATATTTACCTAAAATATATTCATGGTTTTATTTATATCATTACGTCAATAAATTTCAAAATGTTTACCATTACTTTACAGGAATAAACAACGTGCAACATTGTTTGTTGATAATCATATGGTCTCTGGTGAATTTGCAGGTATTGCAGATTATGATACTACACCGGTGAGAGATGTTTATCTCGGTGAGTCAACAATAATTTCCGTGTTTAAGAACAACTTAGGTAATTCTTATTTTCATGATCAAATAGTCACATATAAATAATACTTAAGGAAACTTAATGTATGGATACAGAATTTTCGATGGAATTTTATAAGAGAGGCAAAAGAGGTTTTATTCTTGGAAGAGTCGTATGCTCATTGAACCATTTCCTCGGTTGTCAATGCATTGATTTGTTATTTTCATGATTCAAACTATCCATTACCCAGAATTTCGTCCACTTGACAAAAACTCTTCACACTCTTCAAAAATGTTAAATAATTTCGCCGAAGTAACTTCATGAGACAGTTCATGTTTCATAGGGAATTCAATCCCAAAAAAACTACTTTGTTGTATAGTTCGAGATTAGTATTTGCAACCAATAGAAAAACAAACTCTTAAAATGCTTTCTCTAAATGAACCGATGCTTTGGCATTTGACAATAAAGTGTCATGTTGTATTTAATGCGCCTATTAATCACCAATAAATACAAAATATAAGTGTAATGCTTAATTTTGATTAGTTTTTATAGCCTAGTATTTAATCAGTAAGTTGTCAAACTTCTTATCTGAATACAGTAGAAAATTACTCTCCACGCTTCAGAAACATTTTGTAGACTATATCATTAAATAGAGTACAAACAGTGTTGTTCAGTGTTGTTCAAATCTAACTAATCAAGTTACAAAATTGACCATCTGAAAAATTAGAAACGCTAATTTACTGATTTATTCTAGTTTCTAATCCTTTAGTAGTGTGTACCAATCTACTTATTACACCTACTAATAGATGTACAACCTCACAAAAGAATTCACAAACCAGAACGAAATAGTCATCTACTGCTTTAATGTTCTGAAGGACAAACTAATACTCTTCGAGATAAAGTAAGATAAACAAAAAGACATTGGAGTCAAGACAAGATATTATTTCGGGGTTGTAAAGATTGTTAAATAAACTCATTGAAATCACGAATCGATCAATGTTAGACCACCATCAGAATGCTCAAAGCACTGGATGCCTATTTGTCTCTTGGTATCAAATCATTCAATCACTAAACTTCTTATCTGAATAAAATAAAAAAATTACTCTCCACGTTTTAGTAATTTTGGAGCATGAATTGAGAATTGATTAAATGTAGTGTTGTTCATATCAAACTAATCAAGTTAAGAATTTGACCATTGGACAATTACTGTTACGCATCAACGTAAACATGTCATTTTGATATGCTTGAATTATTAATACGAGTTCCCCTTAGTCGGAAAACGAGAGAGAGAGTATCGAGGATTCGGCGACACGACATGCTACCCTAATCCCAACCCTCATTGATTGAAAGAAGAAGACTTGATATGAAGTAAAACCTGTATTCTACAAGCATCCAGAAAGTACGAGGTCCAAGTCCAGAAGAGAACTAGGATCCCAGACTAAGGATCCGGGTCCGGTCAATAAAGCGTTACAGATAATGCGTTTTTATACATTTAGGTCGAGAAGGAAACAGCATTAAAGTCTGTGACATTGACAGTTAAGACGACCAACAGGAAACAACGCCGTACGTGACGATTAGAAACGCTACTGGTTTACTGATTCATCTTACTAGTGAATTCAGTAGTGTACGCCAACGTTCCTACATCTACTAGGACCTAAAAACTCAAAAAGAATTAACAAACTCAAATGAAATATTCATCAGCTGCTTTAATGCTGTAATGACGAACTAATACTGTCCAAGATAAAGTAAAATAAACAAAAAGACATTATAATCAAAACAAGATATCAATTCATAAAATTGTTCAGTGTTTTTTTTTCTAAAGTACAAAGAGCGAAAAAACCTTGTTAGTTAGATTTTTTAGTTGACAATTTTAATATACGACTTTCAAATTTCTTTTAATTTATCACGATGGTATAGATATAACAACGAACAAACTTTTTCTGTTATTATTCTTGACTTCCAGTCAAACTATTCACATTCTTAATGATATCTAAAATAAACTTGATAAGTATACAGTTTAAGAATAAACATCATTAGGCAACTTCAAAATAGTTTTAAGACATATCAGCAGTGCGCATCCAGCAAGAGTAGAAGGATGCTGATGAGTGCCATTCCAGGACGAAACGGCCACACTTTCAATGCTTCCAGGTTTCTAATAGTAGTCTAACAATGATTCATTCATGAGTTCAAGGTATAATTGATCAGCCAATGCTATTTGGACTCAGTAGTTGTATCAACAACACTATTTGCAGTGAAAAGTACTTGGTTCGAGTCCTATTGGGACTATCGACACTAGAGAGTGTAGATTTCTTCATCTGGCGAGTCCCAACTAACACAGAATAGATGTTCACCGTTAATCTTCATCTAATTCTGTTCATAATTATTGTTTCTAAATTTTATTTCATATTCAACTTTCTCCTAATAGGTGGAACATTATTTAACATAATTGGATTATCAACTGATTATCAACAGAATTTCACTGGTTGTATTGCTGATATGCTTATACAAGAGAAAATTATTCCAATCTTATCAGAAGCAACAGAAATATACGGTCCTATTGAAAAATGTCCAACTCCTTGATAGAAAAATTCCTCTTCTTCTACTACGCTTTTCAAAATTGATTTAGGTTGAAATTTTATTTTGTAAACAGAGATAAACTGATTACATTGTATAAAAAAAAAAAACTAACAGACATTATATTTATTCCGTTTTCTTTTTTTCTTTCCATTCAATGAATGATGACACCTTAGGTTGTTGAATGAACAATTAAAAAATCCATATTTTTACTCAATAAAATTAATATTTTATTTTAATTCTCAAGAAAATATTTATTTACTTTTATTTACTCACTGGATTATTACTAGACATTATTATTTTTTTTCTCTCCTGTGGTTTCATCATATAATGATTAGCTTTCATCGTTATTTGTGCTGCTCGAATCGTGTTTGAAATTTTCGCTCATTCATTTTTCATTTGTTATTCAAACGTCAATGTTATAATGATGAATAGTAAGTACTTAGGCTCTCCTCGTACCACACATAATCTCCTGTCTGACACTTTATTTCTAATATAACAAATTGAAAAAAAAAATGAAATGTACTTACTTACTGATTGTTGATTCGTTTTTAAACAAACATTTCAATGTTCAATATTTGATTGGATAAAATTGTTTTAATCATTTACTAATTCATCAAGGTCATTCATATACTAGTGATATTTTTTTTAAACTTTGCAACATATATATATATATAAATAGATATATAAAACGCACAAATAAATATTGTTTGCAAGTGAGCATTCGCTTGCATTAAAAGATATTTATGTTGTTTGTTGTCTTCTAAAAAAAAATTATGTATTCATTTACTTACTGTGTGTCATTTTTAACTCTACACATGCATAAAATCAATCAATCAATCAATATAATACACATATCCTCCTATTTTTTCAATATGAATTTGCATATATATATATAATTCAATATCCCGAATGTCATGATGTAACATCATGTAACATAATATATGCGGAATATTCAAACAAAGAAAGTATCATAATACAAAAAGAACAATTCATTTTACTATAGACATTGTAGTTCTTATTTGTAATGTAACTTTAATGATCGATCATGTAACAATGATCAAAGGGGAAAAATAGAATCAAAATGAACGAAGATTTCTTTTTGATTTGCTTTTGATCATATCAACAATAATATTCTATATATATATTATTCATTATTTGTATTGGTTGCTTGAAACCATCCCACTGATGTGAAGGTCAGTCAGTCAGTTGCAACGTAGAACTTCGTACGTATGTACATAAGTTCATGTTGCCATACCACATTAGCATACAGACGCAAATGTCAAATCAAATCCTATAGTGATAGAGATAGTAGAGGTATTAACGGTAACGAAGAAGACTAGGGTTTGAAGATATTATTCAAGAAGTATAATTCAGTTAGATAAGGTTAGAAAGACAAAGGTAGAGGTGCTGACGAATCCAGAAGATTAGGATTTGAGAGAGCACAAAGAATAGATGCACTTGCGCTATTGCAAACGATTTTGAGCCATGTCGTTCAAGGTCTTTAATCATTGGTGACCTCAACCAGGTAGTCTACATCTACCAACATGACTCAGTCCACTTGTCAGTGACTTCATGGATTTATGTTATGTGAAGGACTGTTATTTATTAGGCTCTTTGGCTATTAGAACACAAGGTGGATGATAGTGGTTTGTTATACTTGTGCTAAGAGTAAGAAACAACTAGATATCGACAAGACGGAGAGTAAATCAGTGATATAAGAACAGAAAAGCTTATCTTTCCTTTTTGGCTCGGACGAACTAACTAGGTTAAGAAGTTCAAGATCAGTATAGGAAGATTTTATTAATCCACAAAAACGGCCTTGAGCGAGTAAATTAACAAGAATTCAATTTAAGTGTACTTTATTCAGTACAAAAAACGTCCTTGAAATAGTTACAAAGTAGCACACTAAAAGAGATAAGTAACCAATGAGGATGAGAGTCCTTCTAAATGTAAAACATAAACTGAAGGCTATGAGAGTTGCCTACGGAGTGAGAACAGGCAATTCAAACTGGGAAACTAGTATCTCTAACTTTATCCTTCGAATGCATACTTACTTTCAAACTGAATTCTCTAATATTTATTATTCTTGTCCAGATAACACTACAAGTTTTGTTAATTTTTATATCTCCGTGATTGGTCAGGTATAATAAATCGAACCGATTTCATTGAAATCACGAAATGACCAAAGTTGGACCACCATTGAAAACACGGAAATGCTGGGCGGCCATTTCGTTGCATCATGGGACTCCTCAGCAGTGGACATCCTCCATTTCACAAGCGGGAATCGAGCTCAAGATCTTTAGTCTCGCAGCTTAATGATTTAGAAATAAAGCATCCGCGCATAAGATGGAAAGTCATGGGTTCAATTCTTGGTTGCGAGTTGGTGGATACACACTACTAATGAGTTTTAAAATTTATCGTAGAATACAGATCAATCAAAATGTGATTGATAAGCTAGTTGACACCAGTCAAAATTCATAATTATTTATAGGAAGTATTAATGAATGACTATTCAAATAGTTGCAATAATGAAGGCAAATATGGATAATAGTGAAGTACAAAAATATCATTCAATAGATTGGCTGAAGTGGGGGTTATCGTCTCATCGACAGACTACATAATAAGTAATAAGGGTGTTCAAAAAGTTTATTGTGATTGGTCAAATATCAACAGTGATTATATATAAAGATAAGAAACGGTAAGTGCTATCGATGACCATGTTAGGAAGAGCGATTGTACACATTTGTTAATGTGATGGTTACTGATGAAATGGTGTATTATTTTATAGTATAGAATGATCAACCACAAGCAATGAACCTGCTAAGCCTTCTCATCAACGCTTATGGAAATATTGTGTTCACCATGGAACAGTGAAGAGATTATAAGTTCTACTTTCTCGATGTTGCCATACAACGGCGGGGATAAGATGATAGAATTCAACGATCAGTTTATTGAAAGCATAAGTGTAATAGTGTTTATCTGAATTTTAACAGCTTCTGTCGGATTTTGTTACAAAAAAGCACTTATCAAAATGTTATTTCATAGAATGGAAAGGATATAAATTATCGACTAACACATTTAAGGCAAAATTAATCAACGTCAGGAAAAATGAGTATCCAAAAAAATCTGTTGAGGAATATGGTAAAACTGGAGACAGGGAACCTAAAGAAATGACAAAAGACAAGAAACGTGTCTTCATCCAACTTGAATTCAAAGGTGATAGTGTAGCAGAAATAATAAACAGAAGGTTGAAGACCACACCAACCAGAACTTATCCTACAGAGACAAGTTCAGACTTCTTCAACTGACAATCACAGAGAACTGTCTCGCCCAATGAATCAATGGTGAAAATCCAAGTCTTTGAGTTCATAAAAGTCGGATTTGGAATTCGTACGTAAAAGCAGTTCTCCCTCTCCTTTGTGAAACCTATCTTTTTGTCTGAATGAGAATATCCAACTATTGCTTGAGTCCAGTTTTTATTATCTCAAACAATTTTCTACAGCCGGTGACAACACAGTACAACAATTCTGTGGTTTCGTTACGTACATTAAATTGAAGTGATAAGTGCAACCAACTTGAAGTCTCAGTTCGGTCGTATTTTAGGAATGTCACTCTAGGGTATTCCTTATCTCAGACTATTCTAGACGCTGAGGAAAAAGAAGACAAGTGATCAATTAGTGATGAAGGGTAGCCGTATTGTATTATCACTTAGTGATATTTCTATCAAGTGGATGAAGTTTATTCTGAATACGTCCCTTCATACTCTAACTGTATTGCTTGGTACATGTTAACCTCGTTTTTCTGTATCAAATGATGGTGAGATCTATTCATAGTATCACTGTTTAACGTTGCATGGCTCATTTCCCTGTCACGTTTTGTGCTGTTTCTTGTCAAAGTTATAATAAACCAATGGTTTTGGTTACATAGAACTGAGTAAAAGAAATGGGAACACTGACGTTTGCAAGAAAATCACAGCTATCTGGATTGAATACTAGGAATTATGTAACTCAAGATCTTATCAGAAATGCCTCAAAATCGAAGAACGTCTTAATTTGCCCGAGTACTCCTTCTCATGAATAAACCATGTTCATTCCATCCTCATTCTAACTGTGTTCCTTTATAATCGTTTCATTTAATACACAATTCTAACCTGACGCTTTCTTGACAAAACTTATGCATTACCTACTGCAACAATACTGTTATGTTCGTCACTAGGTACGCCTGAAGTTATTATGAGTTCACCTTAGTCGATAAACACGAACGAGACAATTACCAGCGTCCATATAGGCCACCTTGAATCCCAAGCTGAAGATAGAAGACTTTATAAGCGTAGAAAGTATATTCTACAAACACCCAGCAATCACAATAAAAAAAAAAAAAAAAAAAAAAAGAACGCAGCTCCACGGCTAAGAACCGCAGGCGGAATGACTAAAGCGCCGGTTTGGGAGTAAGCTTGGTACAGCCCTTTTTTTTACTTTCCCCCCGCTCAAACAGCAGCGACATACCATCAACCCACGTGAGAGCGGGAACAGGAGGCACAAAGGCCCCACCACCGGCCACGGAACCGTCGTTCACAGACCCTGAAACGAAGCTCTACTCACACAAGCTCCATACAATTAGCTCAATATAAGCTGAATTTATATTATTGAAGGACAACAGTAGTGATAATAATAATAATAATAATAATAATAATAATAATAATAATAATAATAATTAGGAAAGTGATACACAGAGAGAGAGAGAGAGATAACGAGAGTGAAAGTGAGACAGAGAGGGAGAAAGTAGTTGAGCAGCATGGATAAATGATGTCTTATCGTAAAGGCAATAATAATAATAATAATAGTAATATTCTCCTTCTTATCTCTGTGGCATCTTTCATAAGGATACTTTTGACGGAATATAATACACCCTTCTCATACGGTTTCTTTTTCATAAATCCCTCTCAGCTTCAACATCACTCTACCCCATTTATATTCGCATTTTCATCTATTTGAGTAGTATATTGCTGCTTATTTTAATGGAATAGAAATAAAATCTATCAAAAATAAAAGTAATAATAACTGAAAGTTAAAACCACAACAAACAGATAATCTGAATGAAGAGTGATGAGAGAATTGCCAGTGCTTCTTTGTTAAGAAAATTATTTATTGATTTCTGATAGATGAAACATTGTGCTCTTGTTAATACCCTCCCTCTTTCTTACAGTCTCTTCAAACTGGAAATCCAGTTGAATGACAGACATACTTTAAACATTTTGTGAATTCATCTATTCGTCTATTTGTAGGTGTGTAAGGTTGTTTCAGATTCATGTGTTCATATTGCAACAGTAGATGTGTGTATTGATTGATGATGACCTCGGAGGAAAACAGAACACAAATTTTCAAACATTTTTATGTGTTGTTATTCATGCATGTTGAATTGACTATTTAAAGATGAATGTAATCGATGTAGGCAAGAATCTTATAGAATTAAGGTTTCTCATTATCTCTCCTGTTTATTCTCATTAAAAGAAAGTAACAGGCACCTTGCTCTTAGTAGAATTCTGCGTGAATGTCAAATTTTATGCTCGATTAAGTCAACAAATAACTGTTTGAGTGAAATAAATCAGTTGAATTCTGTCTTAAAAATCCATTTCTGAACTAAATTTAAAATGTCTTCTCGCAAATAAATTGTACATGAAAATAAGTAGCAAGAAATAGTTCTTTTAGGTAAAACGTTTCATACTACTGACTCGGATTGTAAGTAGATGAAATTATAGCTATGCAACATTTTGTAACAGATTAATATGTGTCAAAAGGTTACAACTAATGAACTGTAATGGAACATTTTTGAACGTGACTCATAAAGAAAATTAGCAATATCATGCAATGTCAACGAGATCTCATGAGAATTTTCACGTGTTAGGCATATTTCTAAAAACTATATTGAATTATGTAGCTTCTCCTTCTGCTATAATTTCAGTGATCGTTGAAAAGATCAGCTGGAAACAGCTTTTGCGGAACAACACTATGATTTCTTTTTTAATATCAGTAGTCATAAGGAGTTCTTACTTCATGTGAAATATAATTTATATCGATTACAGACAAATTATATTTCATTCTGAATGGAGAGTATCCAACACTGAATCTGTTTAGAATAGCTACTCACTAGTGATTAGTTTCATGAGAAAATCTGTCGGAGTTCTGGCGAGAGGAGTTGACTAGTAAAGTTCAACCTTATCGTGTGTAAGCTGTAACTACTGATGACGATCGGTGAGGTTACACAAAATCTAAAATTGATCAAAATTAGACATTAATGCCATTAGATACGACCTTAGTGCTCTTGGAGTTAAGAGTACTCGCTGGTGCAAGAATCGTCCATACTCACTGATGATGAGTCCCATATTAAGACGAAACAAATGTTCAATGCTTCCAGGTTCTTAAATTCAACGAAACACGATAGTCTGCATAAATCTGTAATGAAAATTATAATTTATATGTAGAGTGTTCAGTATTGAATCTTTTCTTAGGTGGACGATGGAACTGAATATTATTATAATACATTGACATTGCCACAACAATCCATATGGTTAGAACAAATCTTACATTATTACTACTATTATGATCCATAGGGTGGAATAGCTACTACTCAATTCGCACACATTTCTGTTTCTCGCTATTTCCGAATGTCACTATATACTGTGATATCTATTTATTGCGTTCTCTCTCCTAAATGAAAGTAGTTTATCCAAATTCAAGATTGATCTGTCTCTATTATTATTGTCAAGCTATTGTAGTGAGAAAACTATGTTTCCTGTCTAAGCTAGATTTGTTTCATACCAGATAGTGGTGTCTCCATTGTTCTTAGTATGGACTCAATCAAATGAGAGCAAACATAAACATGTAATTTATCAACCACACTTAAACCGGACTCATTTTCAAAAGTTCAGCATTGCAAAAGATACTACTCATTTAGTTTGTTAATGGTATAATTTATTTAAAAAAATAAATGCCTGTATACAGTTTGTATTATATCAAGTGAGTTGTTGATATATTTTTCCGAAAAATTATGAGTGAATAGTGTAAATACTTGACTAATTAGTAATGGTCAACATCTTTATACCATGTTGATTCTTCGTAGAAATTTATATCCAACCACCATGATACAAGGTAATGTTATTTATTTAGTCAGAAAAGAAATCACCTTCTTTCTTAACAGTCAACTTAGTATCACAAAACATTTATAAGTGATCCAATCAGGAGTAGCTGGCACAAGACAAGAAGTTGTTTAACAGGAATGGATTCATCTTACGAAATCAATCGATGAGATCATATTGGGATTTGGTAGTCAGGGAAAGTTCGAGAACATTCCGTGCAATCAGCATACAACATAACATCTAGAAAATTGACTGATTATATGCTGATATCTAGTTGGAAGATTATTTGATTCAATATGTTTCGAGGAGTTTCTAGAGTTGAGCAGTTTATCAACAATCTTATAAATACTCTTGTTTCCTTTCTTATGTATCTATCTAATATACATCACAATGATGTGTAATGTTCTGATAGATTGAATAAAAGAATTTAAATTTAAAATGACAAGAAAGTTGAGATGACTGTTCAATTTAAAGGCAAGCTGTATTCCAAACTAGCTGTTTGGAGGACATGAATATAACAGTAAAATCGCCTATGATAAATTGCTTGTCATCCGAGTATTTACTCTCCCACCATATCATCAACGAGCAGAAATCGTTATCTGAACAAGTGATTGCCACTCTATGTTTGAACTCATTCAAATGGAAGCTCAGTCAACCGAGATATCATCATTGTAAAGACTAACACATACCATCAAACCTCCAAAGTTTTTCCATCTGAAATTGAATGTGAATTAAACCATTTCCAATGACTGTAGTAGTCTGAAATGGCTGAATTTACAAATATAAACAATCGGATGCCAGTTCACCAGTCTAAGGATATTAGCTGACAGTATTCAGTTTAATGCCTAATGATGTTAAATACTGAGGAAAATCTCAACAACCCAAAAAAAATCACAAAAAAAAAAAAAAACAAACACCCAGCAATCACAATACAATCAAGCAAACAACTCTCGTTTATTTATACATTATAGAAACGTCCTTGAGACAGTCACAAAAATAGCACACTAAAATACACAGCAGCCAATCACAGCCATGGATTTTCCTGGTGGGAAATGTGTGATCTCAAGTTCAACTGATCAACCCATGCTCGCAAACGTGAAATCCAAAATGAGGCATTTATGAAGCGAGTTCTGGAGATCTAACATCCCCAACAAATACATAAAGGGATTTTTTTGAGATCGTTAAATTCTCATATCCCATTTCACAGTATGATCCTAACTAGATAATCACTAGAGACCTGGAAGCATTAAACAGCTGCTCCGTTTTTTAGTATAAAACCTTATAGCAATGCTCACCTGAGACTTCACGACAGGGGGTCGAATCCTGGGACCCACCTAACCTCTAGACTACTACTGAGCTAGAATCCAATAGTATATACAATATGCCTAATTTCAATCAATCTTTTTTGGTTATTAAATAAATAAATATCTAAACCCATGAATATTTGACAGTTACAGTGCATGTACCTTCCACGGTGTGGACAGCCGGGAAGTGACAACCGCCCTCATACCCGTTACAGCACGAGACCAAATTGGTCAAAACCAAATCTTTCCTACACCGCCTAATACCTCTCTTCTCTCCACAACTACCTCTACTCACATTCCCTTATCTGACTACACAGCCAATGCAAACGATGACTGACAGTGCATGTACTTATTTCTCATAAAAATCTCTTAAAAATTCATTCAATCAGATGAAAAAATAAGAAAGAAAAGTACTCAGTTCAATGAAGAAGAAATTTTCCTTTAAAAATTCCCATTCCAAGTTAAAAAAAAATGTACATCTCATTGAGCCAAATACATCATATATATGCAATACACATTTGTGAGGTCAGTTTATTTACATAACGCATTAGCATATAATATATACATACATAAGTATATACACACACATACTACTTATTAACAGATTAACACAATGTCATCATAATGTTGATAATTTGTTTTCTAAATGGATATAAAAAAAAATAGTAATTTCCAAAAAAATTATGATACAGTTTCATTTCTCTCTCAGAGCTGGGCATGTTTTCCTGTTGTGGAGCCTTCAGTGTACTCCACCGTCTGAACAACATCATCAGGCACAAACTTCAAACTTTTCTATCTGACGCTTGTTCACAGAGGAAGAAGAACAATCGAAGCTCCATAACAAAAAAAAACATTCCCTGTAGTGAAACAGAACACAGATGAGGGCAACCGAATTGTATTTACTCGGAAATTACAGAGTTACTCAGTAAAATTGGAAAACCATATCGTATACATCGTTAATTTGCAAAACATCAATCCATTGTCACTATTCATGCGTTTCATACAAATTCCATTGTGTTCCCACTCTTCCTTTCTTGCTTGATCTTCCCTCATCTTCTGCTGCCAGACATTACATTGACACTCACATCATATACTACTTATAAGTAGCTCACACCATAGCACCACACCCAACTCAAGGAAACAAGAACCCTATCATCACAATCATTCCCCAACTGAGCTAGAAATTTTCCGCATTATTACAAAAAAAAATTGTTTACAGATAGTTCATGTGTCACACACACACACACAACTCAATATGATTTAATCACTGTTTTGCAGTTTTTTTAGATGTAATCAGAAAAAAAATAAATGTAAGAAAATAAATAAGGTTGTTTATACAATCAATGAGATAGATGATAATCAATCACATAAACGAAATTGTTGAAATGTTTGTTGTTAATTATTAAAAGTATTCATATTAGAAGTTGTAATATTACTAGTAACAATAATACTAGTTGAAGTAGGAAGATTATTATTATTATTATTATTATTATTATTATTACTGGTAATAGTTGAAATAGTGGAATTATTCACTGGAGTACTACTACCACTAATACTACTGATAATGACATTCGCATTACTAGTAGTTGGTTGGTGATGAACTGGATTGTTAACAATAAGTTGAGCAGATGTAGTAGTAGTCGTAGTAGTAGTACTGGGAGTGGAAGTATTAACAGTAGTGGTTGTTGTTGTATTAGTATTACTGTTATTATTACTATTATTACTACTACTTGTAGTAGTAGTATTAATAGCAGTAACAGTAGTATGATTTTGATTCATAACAAAAAGGCATTCAGCCATACATTCATAAGCAGCACGATAATCTTCTAGTGTAACACCGTATCCTTGACGTATACGCCAATCATTAAGTAAAGGTGCAATACGATTCTATGAGTAGAAAGAGGAAATGAAGAAAATACTTTTATAAAGAAAAACTTTTTAATAAGATTGTATGTCTATTGATTTTCAGATTAATTCTTTGTGTGTTTGAGACGGAGTTGGTAAAGTTCAACTGTATGAATAGTGAAATCAGCAATATCACACAGATATAGTATTGGATGATTAAATATGGCAAATCAATTGGGAAAGATCCGATCGCTGGTGATGGTCATGGACGTACATTGTTAAGTTTCAAACTTGGACGACAGACAGACAGATAGAACGCAGAACTTCGTACGTACGTACGTACATCAGTTCAGGTTGCCGTGCTCCTTCAGCACAGAGACGCAACTGTCAGTTCAAATCCAAGAGAGTGGGGGGTGTAGGAAGGATTTGATTTTGACCAATTCGGTCTCGTGTGCTGGTACGGGGTATGAGGGCGGTTGTCGCTTCCCGGCTGCCCAAACCGTGGAAGAGACTTGGATGAAATCATAAACTATTAGGTTGAATACCGGTAACGCTTGTAATACTCAATAAATCCTGTATATTCTATGCTTTCAGTTATTTTTGTGTACATTCAATAGATAAATACTGGATATTAAAATGTAGTTTTTACTACAAACTTAATTTCAAGCTTTCAGAATCATTCACAACTATCAAGTCGTAAGGTTAGGTTACCAGACCGCATTGGCACAAAGACGCAACTGTCAGTTCAAATCCAATATTGGTAGCGATAGTAGAAGTGTTAGCTGTAATGAAGAAGATTAGGGTTCGAAGATATGATTCGAGAAGAATAATTGAGTAAGATAAATTTAGAAAGAGAAAAAATAGAGATGATGAGGTATGCAGAAGGTAAGAATTTAAGAAAACAATAAATGAATGCACCTGCGCCATTGTTGATCATTATTATTGAGTAAATTCCAACAAGATAGTTTACATTTGCATGAACATCACTTAGAAAAATGGTCAATCACTTCATGAACTGATAGCATGTTTTGATTTAACCTCTCTTAGCTTTTTTTCCCAATTTACTGCTGCAGCCATTTAACATTATCTGGCAAGGTAGATGATGTTTAGATACAAATAGTAACACATAATTCAATTGCCTTAACTGATAACAGATTCACAACCATATTTAATCTTTAACACCGCATCATTCATTCAGTTTATACTAGGCTTTAATGATTAATTGTTTAAATTATTCGATAATAGTATTTCGAACATTTTTTTATATTTGTAATCAATTCGATTACACTATTTTGACTATTGTATATTTGAGAGTGTCTGTGTGTATGCATGCATACTTACTTGCTCATTACATGTCTAGCCTAATATAACCTGACTATAAATACTCTTAGTCATTGATTCAGTGCATAGGAGTTGGCTCACTCACACATTATCCAATTTGCTTCGCTTTGCTTTGCTTTGCTTGTACGCTTTTCATTCTCATGTCTGTCTGCTTAAATGAACGCATGAAATCAATTCATCCTCAAAAACCATATTTAGCTTCTTATTACCGCTGTCATATGAACGGGGTTTGCCTAAGTATGGAAATGAAGATTTATATGATGGCATACTCGATCATTCGTCTAAATTGAAGTCATATCACGGGCCATTAAAACTCAACTGACCATGTTTACGAAGTACTCCTATAGTCTAACCTCAACATCACTGTATTTAAAAATGGATCAAATTTAGCATTTAATGGCATCACAAAACAAGCCCTCACTCACACTTTGAACCCTTAAGACCAAAAGAAAAGAAGAAAACCAAAACGCCGATTATTGGAGACAGACATGAGAAGAATGAACACCGGGTGGATAGGGACTATAAAGGAAGGCGCAAGACAAAGTAGGTTGGAGAATGCTGGTCCACATTTTATGCTCCATTAGAGGTAACAGGTGAGTAGTCAGTCAGTCAGTCAGTTGCAACGTAGAACTTCGTACGTATGTACATAAGTTCATGTTGCCATACCACATTAGCACAGAGAGATGGAATTGTCAGTTCACACTCCATAGTGGTAGAGATAGTAGAAGTATTAGTGGTAATGAAGAAGATTAGGATATGAGGATAATATTCAAGAAGTATAATTCAGTGAGATAAGTTTAGAACGACAAAGGTAGAGGTGTTGACGAATCCAGAAGATTAGGATTTGAGAGAGCACAACGAATGGATGCACTTGAGCCTTTGCAAACGATTTTGAGCCATGTCGTTCAAGGTTTCTAACCATTGGTGACTTTCGTCTCGCGGACCCCAACCAGGTAGCCTACAACTACCAACATGACTCAGTCCACTAGTCAGTGACTTCATGGATTTATGTTATGTGAAGGACTGTTATTGATTAGGCTTGATGCATTTGTGCCATGTTTTGGTCTGGCCACCCCTAGCTTTCTTCCAACCTACTCCTACACCACAAAACATATCTCTTCGAGGCAGTCGGTGGTTAGCCATACGTAACACATGTCCCAACCACCTCAACTGATGAAGTTTCACTACTTCATCTATTTATTTGCCATCTCTACCTAGTACTCGTTTCCTAATGACAGCATTGCTTACACGGCTGTTCCAGGATATACGAGCAATGCCTCGAAGACATCTATAAACGAATATTACTAACCTATCAATATCCTCTACTCTTACCGACCATGTTTCACAGTCATATAGGAGAACGGAGCGAACTACGGTGCAGTACACTCGTCCTTTGGTCAGCAAACGGATATCTTGCCTACACCATAAACGGCATAAACTGGCAAAAGCCAATCGAGCTTTCTGTATCCACGTTGAACAGGTGAGTAAGCAAATAAAGTGTACATAAGTAAATCAATCAATCAATAAATCGAAAATCAAACTAACCGTCATCATAACTTTAAGAAAATCAAATGAACGTTGATCAACTGGTAAAAGTTTTGCGCCTAAACTTAATGAAAGTACTGGATGTTGTTGTTGTTGGTGTTGGTGTGGTTGTTGCTTTAAATCATTACTTCCAGCAGTGGTCGACTCGTTCAATTCATTCATTGTTGTAAAATTATTCGATTCAGTTAATTTAGTTAAACGATGACATAATGAAGATAATAATGGAAATACCATCATTCGTAAACATTGTGCACCGAATTCAGCTAAAGCAACAAGGATACCATATAATGTATTCATTGAATGTATAGCACTGCCTAAACTTGGTCCATTGTTATTATTACTATTATTACTATTGCTAGTAGTAGTAGTAGTAGTAGTGACAGGAGTAGTAGTAGTGGTACTAGTAGTAGTAGTACTGATAGTATTAGTTGTTGTTGTGGTTGTAAGTGAATTATTAGTTAAACTATCATTTTCAACTTTGCACAGTTTCATTTCAATCGGTTTTTCATGTTCAGAATATTTTGATAGATCAGTAGTAGTAGTTTTCATCATCATTGGTAATTTTAAGCAAGTTTCTGTAGTACAGCCACTACTAGTAGACGATGTGTTACCACGACCACCACCATCAATCCAACTGCATAATGCACGTGAAAGTTCACGTGTAACACGTCCGTATAATTCATTGCTAGATGTATTGTGCCTAATGTAAATGTACATTATCATGTAATAAATAACAAAGATAAGATAAGAAAAAAATACCAGATTAATTATATTAATGGTGAATTGTAATTATTATTTGTGATAAAGGAATGTGAGAAGAGTTAGTCGATTGGTTTATGTCAACTTACGTCACTTATGGCGTAGGCGAGATAGTCGTCCGAAAACCAAATGACGAGTGTACTGTGCAACAGTTCACTACGTCCTACTATATGGATGTGAAATATGGTCGGTAAGAGTAGAAGATATGTGTAGGTTATTAGTTTTCGATTATAGATTTCTTAGAAGCATTGCTCGTATATCGTGGGACAACCGAGTAAGCAATGCTATAGTTAGGAAACAAGTACTGGGTAGGAATGGCAGATCAATAGATGAAGTATTGAAACTTCATCAGTTGAGGTGGTCTGGAAATGCGTTACGTATACCTAACCACAGATTGACTCAACGAGCTCAGGTACAACCTTTCATTGTGTTCCCTCAAATTCAAATCTTCTGCACTCCTCCTCACCTCTATCTTTCTTTTTCTAAATTTGTTTCAACGAGTTATACTTCTTGAGTAATTCCTTCCAACCCGAATTTTCACCTTTACTTCTACTATCTCCCCACTATGGGATTTAAATTGACATTTGCGTCTCTGTGCTAATGTGGTATGGCAACCTGAACTGATGCACTCACGTACGAAGTTCAACATTGTAACTGAGTGACTGACATTATGATTACTATCATTTACTGTTCAACGATAAGCCCTGGAACACAGACACTAGCGGCGGCTAAATCAAAACATGGCACAAATCCATGAAGTCACTGACAAGTGGACTGAGTCATGTTGGTAGATAGAGACTATCTGGTTGGGGTGCGCGAGATGATAATAATCGATGGTTAGAGACCCTCAATGACATGGCTCAAAATTGTTTGCAATGCCTCAAATGCATCCACTCTTCGTGTTCTCTCAAATCCCGATCTTCTGGATTCGTCAACTCCTCTACCTTTGTCGTTCTAAACTTATCTCACTGAATTATACTTCTTGAATATTATCCTCATATGCTAATCTTCTTCATTACCACTAATACTTCTACTATCTCTACCACTATGGAGTTTGAACTGACAATTCCATCTCTCTGTGCTAATGTGGTATGGCAACCTGAACTGATGTACTTACGTACGAAGTTCTATGTTGTAACTGACTGACTAACTGACTGATAACCCTGTTCACAACGTGTATACCACAATAAAACATACAAACATTATTAATTCGACTTCTCTAGACGAGTTTCTTGACTAGACCACTATTATGAACCTGGAAGCGCTGGGTGGCCATTTGGTCTTAGTATGAAACTCATCAGACAGAGGTGAACATGGGCCACCGACCGGAGTCGGGTTGGAGAATACTGCTCAACAGCCTATGCTCCATTGCGAGTAACAGGCGTAAGTGTAATTAAGTAAGTATGCAACATACTAAAACGTACAAAGCAAGTAATACAAAGTGTGAGTGTGTGTGTGTGTGTGCATGTGTACTAAACACTTGTCATCATAACTTACCGATTACATAAAGTAGCTAATTGTTTAGCAGCAAAATCTCTTAATGCCCAATGATTATCTGTAATTGGTTTAGCACATAATTGACGATTCAATACACATGTAATCACAGTAGGCACAAGTAAATGTAAATATGGTTCCAAAGATATATGTGGATTATCAATTAATGCTTTAACTAATCGCATTAAATAAATTAATATAGCAAGATTATGATTAGTTACATTGATTCTTACCTGTATAATAGAAAAAAAATAGTTAAATAAAGAGAAAAAAGAAAATTACAAATATATATAGATTTTCATGATAGGAAATGAAATTTTAAACAAAAGAGATTGATTGTAGTGAGACATGCAAATCATTGGATAGTAGTAATTTAGAGATATCTTGAAGTTAGGCGTTTGTGAGCGGGACCGAGTCCTTAGTTTGATTTTCGGTTGATAAGTTGTGAATACGCACAGCTGAAGAGTCACAAACTAGGACAAAACAGATGTCCACTGCCTCTAGCTTTTCAATGGTTTATGATATGAACAAGAAAATAGATTGCTTGTTGACTAGTTAGGAATGGAAATTATTCTGTCATGAACTGTGAATTTTAAATTAACAATGAATAGAATAAATGTATTTTTTGTTAGCAATGGAATTCATGACACATGTTTCATCCTATTTTGGACTCATCAGCTAGAACTAATTGCATTTTAGTCTTAATGTTCACAACTGGAACTTGAGTTCAATATATATTCCGCTTTAAACGCTCAATGCGTTACCCAATCAGCTGCTACTGAATTCAGGTAGCCGTTAGATTGTTTAATAGGCTCAATTTTAGCATGGTTTTTTTTTCATAAATTGAGATCAACTGGAGAAAAAATCATTAAAAACTTTGTAACCGCTAAACAAATATCCACAAACGAGTCTCAATAATCATATGTTGATTGGTGATTAGGTTTGAAATGGATTTGTTTTTAATCTTATTCAGACGTGACCTATAAATCTAAACATATCGTCAAGTGATGGCCCAGGGTTAACAGATACGACTTTTAGACACTAAGTTTCAGGTTCAAACACCACAACATCTAGCTCGATCTGGACAGATGTGAAGCATCACTAACCGTTATCATCTGAGGGTGGCAAGTCCATTACAGTAATCTACATCTGGCAAATGAGTTTAGTTGACAGTAAAGTACTTATCACCGATAGAATCAGACGATTACATTTCTTTTCTACTACCTGACAATTGCGTTTCTGTGCTACTGTGGTATGGCAACTTGAACTGATGTACGTACGTACGAAGTTCTGCGTTTTAACTGACTGACTGATTGAATTCTCAACTTGACATACATGGATTTATATAGACAGTTATAAAATCAAAGATCGAGCTCATACGCAATGTAGAGCCTGGGTATATGCATTACACTAGTTTAGGGCGGCATACCTCATCGGTGCAGAGAGATGACATTTTCAAGGCAAATACCAAACTTATTGAAGTAGAAACAGTATCAGTGGTAATAGAAAAGATTAAGCATAGAAGATATGATTACAAAAGAAAATAAATTCATATTAAGACATCGTATTAAAACATGCAAGCAAAAACTAATACTTGCAACATCGCCATAGAAATTGAAGGGGTAAGAATGTAAAAACAAATTGATGTATCAGTTATAATCGAGAATATCATTCTATCTACAATGCCTTGATATATTTGCGAGACAAATTTACATCCAAATCAATAGGGAAGCTGAAATTAAGGGCAACAGTGAATCCTTTTTAATTTACTATGGAAAGTGATCAAACATTTGCAGTGGATTCAAGTGAACATAACTCACTGGCTACGAATCACCATTTCATAAAGTTCCACACCAATTTTAATCGACAGAAAATTAGTTTTTCACTATTGTATCATTCTCATTGATAGTTGTGCATTTACTTAGCGTTTAGACTTAAATGTTTTGAAAACGTGTCAAGAAATTCACTATATGAAATTTTTATAAAAGTTACTTTTTTTAAATAACTAGCAAAAACATACACCCTCTGTGATGAATGTCATAAGATGAGGTAATATTGGTTGAAGTCCTGGATCTAATGTAGCATTGTCCAAAGCTTCATGTCGTCGAGTTTCATTAGCACCAACACATGCTTCAGTTAATTCACGAAAATAAATCATTACCTCTTGACTGATTTCATGAGAACGACGCTAACAATAACAGAAAAAATAAGGAAATAAAATATAGTTAGTAGACGAAAAATCAACCATAAATGTTAAATGTATGTTAATATTGTACTCACTAATAAGTATATCAGGAACTCCTGACCGCAGCTGCTAACTTGACGTGTTGGTCGGGCTGGCCTATCGTGACCATCCAACCTAGCTATATTGGCTGTAACATATGTTCCTGAAGGTTCTACCATGCCAGGCTGGTCGATTGGAGAACGATCAGACTAAAAACAGCTATTCAAGGTCTGAGGGCGAAGTCGTACTGTTCACTGCAGAGGGGTGTGACAGCTGTAAGGTGTTTCCCTTGGACAACCAGCATTTGCAGCAGTGCTGCCTTCTCACAACGAAGGAAGGGGTCAGAAATGATCAACCTTAAAAATGTCACACCTCACCTTACCTTACGGAGTTCTGTCTCCGGTGGTTAGGCCTTTTAAACAAGAACGGAGCCAACTCTTTAAATACTAGCCATAAAAAGGCCGTGCGTGACCGGCCTCAAGAAGTTGTCCCTTGAGATATGCGGTCACGCTCCAAGGTCACTAAGACCAACACCAATCTACCTTCCGTTTCAGGTTTCTTAACAAACGCTCATCCACAGTGTGGGCAGCCAGGAAGTAACATCCGTCCTCATACCCGTAATAACACACGATAACAATCAGAAATTAGCCGAAAATATAGGATATTGTAAGTACTCTGTCAGCATTCGATCACTGAATTCTATGAAGCGTTGCCTGTTTATAGTAGAATCATTGAATAATTCCGATATTAGGCGTGAGGATACAAGATAACGATGATAAATTGGTTGATAAGACATTGAATCTTCACTGATCAAGGCAGTTGGATAAAACTTACCAGTTATGCCTAATCACTGCATACCTTAACGTGTAATGATAACTAACACACAGAACAAGAAAAGTCGAATCAAAATACAGTGTTTATTCATGAGGTCATGAACAGTTTGGTTTGAGTCATATTGGAAAGTAGAAGCCTCTTAACTTGGATCCTCAAGATAATGTCAATCCGTGGTCAAGTATCTTAGATGATAAGATCTTGAGTCTGGTATTCTGGTAATTCTCATTTCATTAATTGTGTTTTTCCCAATCATTTACTATTATTTCGACTTCGTTGATTTTAAACTTGTCAATCCGTTTTCTTTGTGCTAATATTGTGGTGTGTACTACTTATACGAATGATATAAGTAGTATCGGAAGGGACGTGAAAGAAGAAATCTCACGGTCACAAGAGGAAAACGGAAAGCAAATGGGGCAAAAGCAAGAAGTAAATCGAGTACCAACAGGAAGGAAAGGAAGCAACAACAGGAATGGAAGAAGGATGGAGCGTTGGAAGTCACGACTCAAAGATAGTGTTCAAATAGAGTATTCAATGTAATGTTTTCGTCTTGTTGGGCAATTCCTCTTCCAATGCCCGGTTCCTCCGCAAATATAGCATTTATTATTTCTTCCACCCTTTATTCGTAACGCTGCCACCTCGCGTTGTAATTCTTCTATCTTCTTCGCGACATCATCAGCCTGTCTCTCACACGCAACCGAGGCGACTGTCTCGTTACTTTTGCCAGCTCGGTGACGTCCATTGGTTGTGCCGCGTTCACCAGTCTCAACTGTTGGGTAACCTCTGCAGGCACACTTTCAATGAATTGCGACGCTAGCAGCTGTGCTTGCGACTCCTCATCTTCATCCCCAGCGCAGCAATCTTGTCAACTCCACAGCCAGCACGAGTGGGTCGCCATCCACCGTCAGTCTCACCTCTTGGAACTTCTGCAGTGCGTCCTGCCTATCCGCCGGGCTGTCGAACTCCACCAGAAGCCTTTCCGTCACCACCTCCCAGTCAGCGTCCTCCACACCATCGTTCACCGCTCTCGCCCTGCCTCTTAGTAGAGTCCCCAACACCACCACCCTCGCCCTCTGCTCCTTGACTCCTACCAGCTCCGCCACGGCTTCGAACTCCTTCAAGAAGCTCCTTACATCTCCGTCTTCAAACTCCCAAAGCCATGGGATCTTCATCCTGTGTAGAGGCAGCGACACCAATTGGGACGACTGAGGCAGGCGAGGAAGATTGTATTATGCAAATTTACACTCTGAGTCAATTAAAAACGAAAAAATTACATTGAATACTCTATTTGCACGCCAACTTTGAGTCGTGACTTCCAACACTCCATCCTTCTTCCATTCCTGTTGTTGCTTCCTTTCCTTCCTGTTGGTACTCCATTTACTTCTTACTTTTGCTCCATTTGCTTTCCTTTTTCCTCTTGTGACCGTGAGACCTCTTCTTTCACGTCCCTTCTTATACTACTTATATCGTTCGTATAAGTAGCACACACCACAATATGATAAATACGGTATGGAATTGTTAGCTTACTATGATGTGATAGTGATTTATTTGAAAATACATTTCATTATAAGAACAACATGAATGACTTTCATAAATCAAGAATTTACCTCAACAGATACTGCTAAAACTTTTCTTGGATGAGAGTTTGATGATAACAAATCGAATTTATCTCGTTCATTATGATGTAAACCAATTTTAGGACGTTTTTCCACCAATGAATTTAGATCATCCATTTTTTTATGACTCATTAATCGTTTATTCTGTTTATTTGTCGATCCAAATGAATTATTTAATAAAGCCATTCTTGCTAAAAAATCCGGTGGAGGATTCTGTGGTGATGTAGGCTGTTTTCCATTGACTGATAACCAATGAGCTGAAATGAAGATATATGTAGTGGTGGGTCATAAATGTAAGAAGATAATTTACCCTATATGATTAGATCAAATATACAAATAGTCCTGTGAGTAAAGGGAGTCGTGAATGAGTACTGCTGACGGGTCCCATGGCAGGACGAGACGATGACTTTCCAGTGCTTTCAGGTTTCTAATCGAGGTCTAACAATCATTACTTCATGATTTCTATGTAAAACGAAATCCTTCTTCTAAACTTATCTTACTGAATTATACTTCTTGAATCATATCTTCGCTCCCTAATCTCCTCCATTACTGCTAATACTCCTACTATCACTATCCCTCTTGGATTTGAACTGACACTTGTGTCTCTGTGCTGATGTGGTATGGCAACCTGAACTGATGTACTTATGTACGAAGTTCTACATTGTATCTGTCTGTCTGTCTGTCATAGCTCTATAATGACAATTATTGGTACGGAGGGACCCGCTACACATTCATGCACCACATAAGTTATTGAGTTTCTATGTGGGCTGGGGTACTGCTCAGGTATGCGAACCAAAGCAGGTGTATTCTTGGGGAGCCACTCACCAGACCTTTGATCAAGAGGTCTCATCAATAAGGCAATGGAGCAACGTTGGGAGATGCAATCTCATGTTAGTCTGTGACCAACAACAGGTTCATATGCCATTTATTCCCTTATGATTCTAGGGTCTATATGCACTCGTGATTTGGAGTAAGGGTTTTTCAACTGCCCCACCTAGATCCTCCATAATCACCAATCCGGTTAGCACGCCAATAGTAATCGGAGAGATTAGGGTTAGAAGATATTATTCAAGAAGTAAAATCTAGCGAAATAAATTTAAAAAGATAAAGATAAAGTGATGAGGAATTAAAAAGTTTGGGACTTGAGAGAATACAAAGAATAAATGCACATGCGCCATTACAAGCGATTTCGAGCCATGTCATTCAAGGTCTCTAAGCATTGGTTACTATCATCTCGCGGACCCCAACCAGATAGCCTACATCTACCAACATCACTCAGTCCACTTGTCAGTGACTTCATGGATTTGAGTCATATTTCGATTTGGCCGCCCCTAGCTTTCTTCCAACCTATTCCTACACTGCAAAATATAGCTCGACGAGGCAGGCGATGGTTAGCCATACGTAACACATGTCCTAACCACCTCAATATAGGGGTTGTGATAGTTAAATGTCGTTGAGATCACAAATCAACCTAAGCTAGACACACATTTTAAATCTTGTAGGGTTGAATAGACGCTGCATCTTAGTATAGAGCCCTAAGTAGTGAGTAGTCATGACTCCAAGGAAGACTGTACTCAGAACCTTCGGTTTCACACACGAGAAGTGTCTATGAGGGAACTCAAATAACCCACTTCTATCTGGAGTTTGTGTTGATCATGTTTTCCAGAAGGACTACAAAGGCTCCACAATCAAACCATTCAGTACAGCGAAACAAAAGTGACACTGAACAATAATGTTTAACCATTTGAAAGTAGCCAAAATTAACGTCATTTGAAGTAAAATAAAAAGTACTCGACTACTTAGTATACATTGATTGGTTTTTTATGGTAACAAATTATGAATTCAGAGAAATAACACAGAAATCAAATTAATTGGTAAGGTGGATACTTACTTACTTACTTACTTTCGCCTGTTACCCCAAATGGAGCATAGGCCGCTCACCAGTTTTCTCCAACCAACTCTGTCCTGGGCTTCCCTCTCCAGTTCTGTCCAATGTTTGTTCATTTCTCTCATATCTTTCTCTATTTCACGGCGTAATGTATTCTTTGGCCTTCCTCTTTTCCTTTTGCCTTGAGGGTTCCATGTGAGGGCTTGTCTCGTGACACAGTTAGGTGCTTTTCGTAGAGTGTGTCCTATCCACTTCCAACGCTTCTTCCTGATTTCCTCCTCCACTGGAATCTGGTTTGTTCTCTCCCACAGTTCGTTGTTGCTGATGGTGTCTGGCCAACGAATACGAAGTATTTTACGTAGACAGCTGTTAATAAACACTTGTATCCTCTGGATGATGGCTTTGGTAGTTCTCCATGTTTCCGCTCCATACATTAGAACTGTCTTGACATTTGTATTGAAAATCCTTATTTTGGTGTTGATTGATATCTGTTTGGAGTTCCAGATATTTTTCAACTGTAGAAATGCAGCCCTTGCTTTGCCAATCCGTGCCCTCACATCTGCATCCGATCCACCTTGATTGTCGATGATGCTGCCCAGATATGTAAAGGTGTTAATGTCCTCCAAGGTATCTCCATCAAGAGTGATTTGATTGGTGCATGTTGTGTTGCATCGGAGAATTTTGCTCTTTCCTTTATGTATGTTGAGACCTATTGCTGCAGAGGCTGCTGCTACACTGGTCGTCTTCTCTTGCATTTGTTGTTGAGTGTGCGATAGAAGAGCCAGATCATCTGCGAAGTCCAGATCGTCCAGCTGCGTCCTAACTGTCCAGTTGATACCGTGCTTCCCTCCAGCTGTTGACGTTTTCATAATCCAGTCGATGACCAGGAGAAAGAGAAAGGATGAGAGTAAGCAACCTTGCCTCACACCGGTCTTTACCTCGAAAGAGTCGGTTAGCTGTCCTCCGTGCACGATTTTGCAGTTGAATCCATCATAAGAGTTCCGTATGATGTTAACTATTTTCTCAGGCACACCGTAGTGTCGAAGAAGAGTCCACAGTGTTTTCCTGTCCACGCTATCGAATGCTTTCTCGTAGTCGATGAAGTTGATGTAGAGTGGTGAGTTCCATTCAATTGATTGTTCCACAATGATCCGTAATGTAGCAATTTGGTCAGTACACGATCGATCCTTACGAAATCCGGCCTGTTGATCTCGAAGTTGGGCGTCTACGAAGTCCTTCATTCTGTTTAACAATACCCTGTTGAAGACTTTGCCTGGTATTGAAAGAAGAGTGATGCCTCTGTAGTTCTCACACTTGCTGAGATCGCCTTTCTTTGGTATTTTGATCAGGTATCCTTCCTTCCAGTCTAATGGTACTTGTTCCTCATCCCAAATCTTCTTGAAGAGGATGTGAAATATTTTCGCGGTTGCTTCTACATCTGCTTTCATTGCCTCTGCTGGAATGTTGTCTGGTCCTGCTGCTTTGCCGTTCTTGATTTGTCTGATGGCCATACTGATCTCCTCAATCGTGGGTGCGCCAATATTAATTGGGAGGTCCGTGGATGCTGCTTCGATGTTGGGTGTCTTCAGAGGAGCTGGCCGATTCAATAGTTCCTTAAAGTGCTCCACCCACCTATTTCGCTGTTGTTCAGTGTTGCTGATTACTTTGCCTTCCTTGTTTTTCACTGGTCGTTCTGGTTTACGATAGTTCCCGGCGAGCTTCTTTGTAGTTTCATACAATTGCCTCAAGTTTCCGTCTCTTGCAGCCTTTTCCGCCGTCGTTGCTAGATCTTCCACGTATTTTCGTTTGTCAGCTCTGATGCTCTTCTTCACTTCCCTGTTTGCTTCTGTGTATGCAGCTTGTGCGGTAACTTTCTCCGCTCTTGTTCGGCTGACATTGATTGCTGCTTTCTTGTTCCTCCTTTCTTCAATTTTTGCGAGAGTATCAACAGAGATCCATTCCTTATGATGCTGCTTCTTGCGACCAAGGACCTCCTGACATGTTGAAGTGATTGCCTCCTTAATCCCTTTCCAATTGTTCTCCAATGTTGTGTCCTCTCCATTGTGTAGATCCTGAAAGGCCTGGAACCTATTGGTGAGGGCTATCCTGAATTCGTTGAGCTTTACAGTATCCCGAAGAAAGGCCGTATTAAACTTGTGCGATGTTGTCTGTCCCGTTGTCCAGTGCTTCTTTAGTTTCAGTTTCATTTTGGCGATTAGCAAATGGTGATCTGAAGCTATATCAGCTCCTCTCCTGGTTCTCACATCCTCCATAGTCCTTCTGAACGTTTTGTTGATACAGATATGATCAATCTGGTTTTGAGTAGTGTGATCCGGTGAAATCCATGTAGCTTTGTGTATGCGTTTGTGTGGGAATATTGTGCCACCGATGACCAGTTTGTTGAAGGCACATAGGTTTGCAAATCTCTCACCGTTTTCGTTTCTTTCTCCCAGTCCATGTCGTCCCATGATGTCTTCATATCCAGTGTTGTCCATTCCAACCTTGGCATTCAGGTCTCCCATAAGAATCGTCAAATCCTTTGGCGAACATTTATCGACGATTGACTGCAGCCTTTCGTAGAATTGATCTTTAACGTCGTCATTGTAGTCATTGGTAGGTGCATAACATTGGATGACGTTCATTGTAATGTCCTCTTTCTTTGTTTTGAAGGATGCTTTAATGATCCTGGGTCCATGAGATTCCCATCCTATTAGTGCCTTTTGTGCATGTTTGGACAGCATCAATGCAACTCCTTGTGTATGTGAAGCATTTTCCTCTTCATGACCAGAGTATAACAGCAGTTCCCCTGAAGCTAGTCTCAGTTGTCCTACCTGTGTCCAATGTGTTTCACTGATTCCAAGCACCTCGAGGTTGTATCTTTTCATTTCTGCCGCAACTTGAAATAGTCTTCCAGTCTCCCACAATGTACGAACGTTCCATGTACCTAAAAAAATGGTTGCTCTAGTTGTCAGAAGAGGCATCAGCCCCGTGACTTCCGAGGGAACTCGGCTTTCATCACGAGACGTCATAATTCTTCTTCCAACTCCCAGGGCAGAGTTAAAATGGTTTGAATTATTTTTTCTGGTTAGCGTTTTTTTGGCAAGTTAGTTTTTGACGGAATGGGGTCGCCAACCCCATGTCCAACCCTCCTCCTTTACCCGGGCTTGGGACCGGCAGTAGCCCCGAAGGTTTTACTGGCGGAGTTAGGTGGATACCCACAATATTAACTTTCTAACTGGGCTTTAGATTCTAATAGTCCAAGACCCCTGAAATCTTGAAAGGAACCAAAATACGGGATCACGACGAATTTAATTCCCTAAGTGAGCTTGATGGCTGAAACTAAGTAGTAACTGTATGACTACCGGTCACTCTGATATCCTAGAACTCTCTAGAAAAGGTATAATATTAGTAATAAGTTAACAGACCTAGTTTGACAGGGAAATAAGTTAACATACATGATTCCAAATCCCATAAATTTTGCTTACCAACTAAACTAACATCATAGACAACACCGGCTGGTTCACGGAGTAATAAAGCTTTGATATCAATTTCTTTATCTGGTCGAATGAAAAAAACTTTTCCACCAGGACCTGAACTTGCAGTACGACCACCTGTACGGATTGGGAGAAAATTCGCTGTAGTTGTTCCAAAAGGACTCTGTGAGAGAAGCAATAATAATAATTGGAAGTACTCATTTATTTCGGATTGACAAAAATTGATTAAAAAAGAACTGATATGAAACTAACTACGAACTGTTTCAGTTATTTAGAGGCGATATTAAAGCAGATGAATTTAATAAACCTATACCCTACATTAATATATATCCGATCAATAATAGTCACAGGTTTTCATTACTTAAGCCATTTATAGTGGTCGAGGAGGATGAGAATAAATGTTTGTATTAATTCTCATAGGTCCATGATATTAAATTTTATTTGGTGATTCCAAATGAGAATAATGGCAAGCTCGATTGGCTTTTGCCAATCACATAAGGCGTCGGCGAGATATCCGCCTGAAAGCCAGGGCAGTTCGTTCTTCCTTACTTTATGGCTATGAAACATGGCCAGTGAGAGTAGAAGATATTCGTAGGTTACTGGTTTTGGATCATAGGTGTCTTCGAAGCAATGTTTGTTTAGATGGGACTATCGAGTAAGCAATGCTTTTGTTAGGAAACGGGTACTAAGTAGGGACGGCAAATCAATAAATGAAGTATTGAAACTTCATTAGTTGAGGTGGTTGGGACATGTGTTACGAATACCCAAATACCGACTGCCTCGACGAGCTATATTTTGTGGTGTAGAAGTAGGTCGAAAGAAAGCTAGGGGTGGCCAAACCAAAACATGGCACAAATCCATGAAGTCACTGACAAATGGACTGAGTTATGTTGGTAAATGAGGTCTGCGAGACGAAAGTAACCGATGGTTGGAGACCTTGAATGACATGGCTCAAAATCGTTTGCAATGGCGCAGGTGCAGCCACTCTTTGTGTTCTCTCAAATTCTAATCTTTAGAGTTCCTCATCATATATCTTCCTCTTTCTACTCTGAGCTAATGCGGTATAGCAACCTGAACTGACGTACGTACATACGGAGTTCTACGTTGTAATTGACTGACTGACATGAACAATTTTATTCGGATCAGTTAATCTTACAATTGTATAACTTTGTAAGAATATATTACCTTACAAATTTTATTATGAGATAGCTATTGTAAAGACTTACTTCAAGTCCGATCAAAACTGAGGCCAAATCGATATCGGATGCTTGAGGGACACCTCGACGACTTTGTTCCATTACACGAAGAACTTCATGAATTAAAAGTCTAGCTATTTGATTCAAATGTTTTTGAAGTAGATTAGCTGCAGATTGTGACAAGTTAGAAACACCACACATTTCAGCGCACAAAGTAGCAACATCAACATTAATCTCCTGTTTGGGTACTTTTTCAGATACAACAGATGCACATTTGGCTTGTTTTTGTGAGTTACGAGACAATTTTTGTCTCAAACCTAGAGCTTTCCCAAGCGAAGATGAAGGCTTTCTTAACAGTTTATTTAATCTTCGTTTTTCTGCAGAATCCATTTGAGTATATCAAAGGCGATGAATGGGAGAAAGGTTGGAATTAAATCACACCTAAAAACAAAAGAATTCAGAATACAATGAAGTGAGATATTAGGTAACAGACTGAGAAATGTTAAGCAAATAACCAATACTTCAACAGCTTTTAACGACATATAGGTTGCAAGAATATCCTTTTAGTGATCAAAGAACCTGCGGATTTATCTGCTTATTATATTGACCAACGAATAAGTACTTAGGGATTTTATACTCCATCATTTAATCAGGGCTAAACAGATCTTATAAACTAAGCAGTCAAATGACAAATGATTATCGCACACTGATGATCGTTTCAGACCCATATAACTAATTCAGACAATGTCCTCAAACCAAACCAGATTAATGGGACTACAATCTATGGACGAAAAAATTAGATTAAACGCAACCAATCTTGGATTAAAATGTGAAATTCACCAGTACAAACGACTTAATGGCATTGACACATTATAGATGATACCGGTTCGTGATGAAAACCACCAACTCTAACTCTTAGAAATAACTCTTGACTACATAGCCCAGTTTTGGTTCTTCACACTAATTTATAACTTTTTCGATCCAAGCAGATGGATGATGTTTCCTAATAGGGAACTTTGATACCGTTTAAAGGTCATTCAGAAGTTAGGGTCTCACCCCTGTATCCGCTTAAACTGCCAGCAAAACGTGACGAGGTGAGAAGTAGAGGGAGTTGAAATAATATGGTTGAAAAAAAGAAACTTCACCAATAAATCGAATCTATGCAATCATATCAGTCCTAGTATTTAAAAACGGTTGACAGTCAACTCATCAGTGCCCCTGTAATCGACTTTCTCTATACCCTACAATACCCCCCGCCTAAACTATAGGTTTTAACCACGTAGCAAGCTAATACAAGTCAAACAGTAATTTTCGAAAGTCCCATACATATTATAAAAATTTCATACCACAAAACAGAAACGTTAAGTCATTGCCTGGACCACAGCTGCTACCATGCCTGGTAGGTCGATTGGAGAACGGTGAGACTAAAAGAAGGCGAAGTCTGACTGCTGACTAAGGAGGGGTATGACAGCAATAAGGTGTTTCCCTAGGACAACCAGCATCTGCAGAGATGCTGCCTTCTCACACGGAAGGAAAGGATCACAAAAGTCTACTCTAAACATGTGACACCACGCTTTACCTCACAGATTTCAGTCCCCGTCGATAAAACCTTTTGAAGGGTAGAGCTAAAACTTCCAAAACATCGCATAAAAATAGGTTCGCGGCCGGCCTCAAGACGTTGTCCCTTGACCTCTGAAGTCACCCTCCCAGATCGCTAAGATTAACGCTTATCCAACTTTATTTTCAGGTTGCTCAATAAATACCCTTTCACGGTGTGGGCAACAGGGAAGCGACATCAGCCCTCATACCGCTAACAGTACACGAGAACAACACGGTCACAATCAAATTCCGTCCTCAACAGTTAATAATTCTCATCTCCGAGACTAACCCTTCTTGCATACCTTTATCACCTCGCGATACTAATGTTGACGATGTTATCATTGGCCGCCAGAAACCCCACTCTAAACTACATGTTCGATCTTTTGATGCCCGGTCCTTGTGCTTCCGTAGCAAGAACTTTAAAATTTTGCAACATTGATGTATGCTCCGTCTCCGAAATGCACATACAGGATCCGAGCAGTGTCAATCATTTAACCTCACCATATCAAAATGAAGAATCATCGCGATTTTTATTTCATGTGTTAGGAAGCCTCACTGCTACTTTCTGGTGTACTTATACCATTGAGTTCTAAAGCAAAACTAGCTTTCTTAGACTGGATCCCGATAAACAGTCACTTGTGCACTGTCCGACCAAACGGAACAGTAAGAACTTGGGAAGACATAGACACTCGAAATTACCTCTTCGTCGTCTCTCCTTACGCTCCTAGGAACTGCAGCTCAGATGAGTTCCACAGGAAGCTTTCGGATCTCCTCCAAAAGGTTAGGCGCTCTGATATAGTAATAATAGACGGTGACTTTAATGCTCAAGGAGGTAGACTAAATGAAAAGGGAAGACACCTAGGTGGATCTTATGGTGTCGCGGCTCAGAGAACAGACAATGGCGACCATCTGCTGCAGCTAAGCTCAGGTAATCGCCTATTTATAGCAAAAACTAACTTAGAGGATAAGTGAAAACATCTTTTGACCTGGCGACACCAAAAGTCGTCACAACACTGGACCCAACTAGATCACATTGCCACGATCTCCAGTCATCCTAAATGGCAAATCGACTTAGGTCCTCCTAGTTTTTATAAAGTTGAGAAAGCGTTAGGAAATCTAAACGGAGGTAGAGCAGCAGGTCCTGATATGCTTACCCCTGAGACATCTAAGGATGGCGGTCCAGTTTTATCAGCTAGGTTGACTGAGATCTTAGGTAGAATCTGAGAACTGGACATAATACCACCCGACTGGTCTCAATCACTGATTGTCCCAATCTATAAGAAAGGACATAATTCTTCTTGTAGCAATCACAGTGGAATAAGTCTAACTAATATAGTTTCTAAATTGTTAGCCTCTATTACACTTAGACACCTTACTAGTTCTCGTGAAGAGCAAACTCGAGAAAACGAGTCTGGTTTTCGACCTGGACGTGGTTGTATAGACCACATTTTCACACTAAGATAGGTCCTGGAACACAGACACACATTGGGGCGTCCTACAATAGTTGTCTCCCTGGACCTAAAAGCGGCATTTGACTCAGTGGATCGTGAGGTTCTGTGGCAGTGTCTGTCATTGAAAGGTGTACCAAAGTAGTACATTAACCTCATACAAGCTCTCTGCTTGAACACCTCTGGTCGAGTGAGAGCTTATAGCGAACTGTCACCGGAATTCTTCACTTCAAGTGTTGTCCGTCAGGGATGTCCACTCTCTCCATTCTTGTTTAATTTTATCATAGACATGCTCCTAGAAATAACCTTATCCTCATCTGAATTTTCAGGAGTAGACCTTTTACCAGGTGGCTCGCTAATTGACTTAGAATATGCCGATGACGTAGTCCTACTTGGTGAAGATGCTGACAAAATGCAGTCTTTTGACTACCCTAAGCAACAATGCAAACATGTTCGGGATGCGGTTTTCCCCCTCGAAATGCAAAATGTTGCTTCAAGATTGGGTTGCATCGCCACCTGAACTGGTGATAGGGAGTGAAGCAGTCGAGAGAGTTGATCACTTCACTTATCTCATCAGTGCTGATAGCCTGGTGACTGACGAAATCTCAGCACGGATACAGAAGGCTCGATTAGCTTTCGCCAACCTGCATCACTTATGGCGTAGGCGAGATATCCGTTTGCTGACTAAAGGACGAGTGTACTGTGCAGTGGTTCACTCCGTCTTACTTTATAGCTGTGAAACATGTCCAGTGAGAGTAGAAGATATTCACAGGTTACTGGTTTTCGATCATAGGTGTCTTCGAAGCATTGCTCGTATATCGTGGGACACCCGTGTGAGCAACGCTGTTATTAGGAAACGGGTGCTAGGTAAGAATGGCAGATCAATAGATGAAGTACTGAAATTTCATCAGTTGAGGTGGTTGGGACATGTGTTGCGTATGCCCAACCACCGACTGCCTCGAAGAGCTTTGTTTTGTAGTGTAGGAATAGGTTGGAAGAAAGTTAGAGGCGGCCAGACCAAAACATGGCAGAAATCCATGAAGTCATTGACGAGTGAGTGGACTTAGCCATGTCGGTAATTGTAGACTACCTGGTCGGGGTCCGCGAAATGATAATAATCGATGGTTAGAGACCTTGAATGACATGGCTCAAAATCGTTTACAACAGCGCAGGTGCATCCACTCTTTGTGTTCTCTCAAATCCTAATCTTCTGGATTCTTCAACACCTCTACTTTTGACTTTCTAAACTTTTCTCACTGAATCATACTTCTTGAATATCTTCTAATCCTAACCTCTCCAATTACTTGTAATACCTTTACTGCCTCTACTACCATTGGATTTGAATTGACAATTATATCTCTGTGCTGATAAGGTATGACAACATGAACTGATGTACTTACGTACAAAGTTCTACGTTGCATCTGACTGACTGACGGACATTGCCATCAGCCACCAATAGAGTGGTTCGATAGAGGACTGCCGCTCGTTCTGGGGCACACGTTTACATTCAGATCAGCCTCTAGTGCGAGCGCATATTTGTTTGAGACTTACTGTAAGTAGGAAACACACTACTTAATGATAACAAAGCTAAGAATATATTTCAGGAACAATTAGAAAAACAGTTAGGTAGCGATGTAAGTGATTCGCGCCCTAAGGTAACCTGAAATGATATCCAAACAGCTGCGGAAACAGCATTGATATCTGCTAGCAAGGTAAACTATAAGGTGGATCTCAGTAGCATCTACCCAATTGATGAATGCTCGGAAACTCATCCCATCTGGTTTTGAACATCATGAACATCATGTAGACTACCTGGTTGGGGTCCGCGAGACGAAAGTCATCAATGGTTAGAGACCTTGAACGACATGGCTCAAAATCGTTTGCAATGGCGCAGGTGCATCCACTCTTTGAGCTCTGTCAAATCCTAATCTTCTGGATTCGTCAGCACCCCTACCTTTGTCTTTCTAACCTTATCTCACTGAATTATTTTTTTTTGAATAATATCTTAAACCCTAGTCTTCTTTATTATAACATTAATACCTCTACTATCTTTATCACTATGGGATTTGATTTGACATTTGCGTCTCTGTGCTAATAATGTGGTATGGCAACATGAACTTATGTACATACGTACGAAGTTCTACGTTGCAACTGACTGACTGACTGAACATCATGAAGAGCGAAGTTAGCTTAGGCGCAGGCTGATAAAATGCCTACACAATGATCGCAAAGTGGTGGGTAAGGAAAGCAAATGAGACGGAAAAGACAAAGGTGATACGTAACAGTATACAACTATTTAAACTTATCAATGAAACCGGTATTAGGAATCGGACTATTGGTGAGGCTATCTATAAAAAGGATGGAACTATCAACCATTCATTTCTTTGAGGGTCTCTAAGGAAAAAATATAAGTTTCAGTAAATTTAAACAGTTTCATGTTCACATTATCATATAATCCGTTCATATGTTACAATAAAACACTTTATTGAATTTTTTCTATTATTCAGCCTCTCCCAAAATCTGGGTGGCAATACAGTAGGTTATTCATTACTAATGGATGTACAAGTCTTAACTATAACTCATGTCACTGTCAGTTAACTGCACATGGTATGAGTGAACGTAAACAAACTTCAATCCTACGTTATGTATATATATATATATATATATATATATATATATATATATATATATATATATATAGATATATATAAAGTAATGGTCATTCTAATCTTGAGTTTGTTACAGAACACCATGGAAGTAACAGTAATAACAGTGTTTACGAATGCTCAGTATCCCCCAAGAATTGTTAGATTTAAGCGTGTCAAATAATTTTTCTCCTATACAAATAATTTATTATAATAAACAATGTCATTGGTTACGAAAATCTTATTTTGACCGTAAGATACGGAAAGCAATTCGATGAAAACTACTAGTATTAGGCTTAGTAACTCAGTGATATAAGTTCGTTCGATAGGACAAAGTTTTGAAGACATTGTCAGAAGATAAATCGTAAGCGAAAGCTAGTTTTCATTGTAGTAGCTAGTAAGCGATGATCCGTTTATATTGACGGCATCAAATCAAAAACATTATTTCCGTCCACATTTTCACCACCAATTACGCAACATTCCGAGAAAATTTCTACATTTGTCTGTATATTTAGATGTTTTATAGGAAGACCATAGCATTTAAAAAGTTTGAAAACTTTAAGTAACCTTTCTTGACCTAGAAAAACCGAGAAAATCACAGAGAAAAATCCTGCAATCAGTAAAACAGGACATTTGACCAGCGATCTATAGCATTTCTCCAATAGGCGTGAAAATTTACGGCTAAATCTCACACCTACGTGTATTTTGGGTTTTTTGATTGCATTTTTCCAAAAATGTTTCAGAAATTTCAATGATACTGTCCCGAGATTTACCCGAAGTTGATAAATCTCGTCTCAAATTTAGGGGGCAAGGCTTGGTTATTCTAGCATAGCTAGAAAGTATATACATAAACCATCATCGTATAGAAACGTCTGACATGAGTACTCCCAAATTAGTGGGATGCTATGTTTAGCCTTTAATAGATTTGCGTCTAACCTGAAAGTATTACGTGAGCTGGGGAAGTGTGAAGACCAATGTGAGAAAATTCGGAAAAGAAAAAAACAATATGCACATGTGAACCGACGATACGATGAGAACATAAACGCAATTACACATAGTAATAGGAGCGATAGACAAAAATCTGTGAGACCATGATTTATGGACGAACCAACCACATTTGAAATAGCAAGTCTTGGATTTTATAGCAGAATTTACCAATCTATAAGGCATAATAACACTATAGCATTGGAGTTAGCGTTAGCCTATGGCGAGAAACCCAGACCTAATACCTAAAACTTAGTTGTCTCAGAATCCCATTAAAAATTCCTTACTACTTTATAACCCTCCTTTTAACCGTAGTAAGCAGGTACACATCTCCATGTACAATTTAGAGTATTTCAAAAGTCATCCAGGATTTAAAGTTTTTTTAAACAGTAAAAAATGATACAAGCTTACTGATAAACAAATTGATATGCTGAACCAGTTGTTCTAAAGCTCCGAAGAAGTTACAAACGCCTAGACTTGAAATACCGCTGTGGTACAAGGACATTCCAATATCCGATATCCAATATCTTTTTCACGAGCTAGTGTAAACCAATTTGATTTCTTCGCGCTCGATTCTTGTTCTTTCGGTACGGTTCCAGGTGTTCGGTAATGTCCAATGGATGGAGGTCTAGCCACTCGACTGTCTAATTCTAGTCAGTTGGCAGTTGGTTGTGAGTTTGTATGTCTCGGGATTTGAATGAAACGTTTGTTTCAGGGCAGTAGGGTTTCTGGATACTAGCAGCCGTCACTTTACCAAACCGGAGATCAGTTAGTTGCAATGTGGAGAGTAATAAGGGTAATAAGGGTAAATTAAAATGATAATATGAGTAAAATTTCAGAACTGAGTAATATATAGATGAATTTAGTTTATTAATTGGTAGTGAAGATTGTGAGAGAGGACCGAAGTGTAAGCAAGGGAGAGGAATAGGCGAGTTAAATTAATTAAGTGATCTGAGGAGATGGCAATGGTAACAACTAGCAGGTCTCAAGATATGCATCAGGCACAGCTTGTCCAAGAGGGAGATGATAGTCCGCATGTGAGTACGTGATTATCAAGTCTCTTCTTAAAGCAGTCCACTGAGGGGGCTGTAACTACCTCGGCTGGGAGAGCATTCCAAGTTGCGACGACTCGCAATGAGAAAAAGTGTGCACGAACCTGAGTGTTTGCTCTTTGATGTGCAATCTTTTGAGGATTGCCTCGAGGGGAGTGGTGGTGATGCATCGGTAAGATGCTCACATTGGGATGGTTGGGCGTGTTTAATATGGTGTACGCCATAATCAGGTCACCTCTGATTCTCCTGTAGCTCAGTGGGAATAATCCCAAGAGCTGGAGTCTATCGTCGTACGGTTTATTTTTCAGCCCTATCACCCATTTGGTTGCTCGTCTCTGCACTCGATCCAAGAGATTAATGTCTCTTTTAAGCATAGGGGGTGCGATGACGTTGTGAACCTCCAAGTGTGGGCGCGCGTACGTCTTAAACAGGGTTAAAAATAATTTCGGGGTTATAGCACCAAGCTGTCTTCGCATAAAGTGAAGAGTCGCATTTGCCTTGGCTGCATCCCCTACATAGTTCGGACTCGTGTGGAGGCTTTCTGTGGTTATTAAACCAAGATCGCGCTCTGAGGAGACATTAGGGAGCGGACTTCCATTGAGAAAGTAGGTGGTTTGCGTCATATGAGGCAGGAAATGCATGACGTGGCACTTCGGTTGGTTAAGTTTTAAACCGTTTTTCACTGCCCATTCCTCAATGGATGTAAGGTCCTTTTGAAGCTCAGTCGAATCCTCTTCGCTTCTAATGGATCTCCAGATCTTCGCATCGTCCGCGTAGATCAGTGCCGGTGAGCTAACTAAGCTAAGCAGGTCGTTAATGAATATCAGGAAGAGGAGTGGGCCTAGGATGGTCCCCTGTGAAACTCCTGAAGTGGATACTCTCCAACTCGCATGCACCCTGTTTACCTTGGTGCGAAACTTTCTATTCTCAAGGTAGTTTCTGAGCCAAGATACGAGCGGGTCAGTGAAGCCCATTTCCACAACCTTTTCGATTAGGCGTGCGTGGGGCACTGTGTCAAAGGCTTTTGCGAAGTCGAGAAATACTACGTGCACTGGTATTTTACGGTCCAAGCAGGATGTCCAACTGTCCCATGCGATGAGAAGATTAGATGCACACGACCTGCCTTTCCGAAACCCATGTTGAGCTTCATGGAGTATTTTAGTCTTATCCATGTACTCCCTCATTTGTTCGTCCACTAGCCCTTCCATAACCTTTGATAATATAGGTAGTAGTGCGACTGGTCTGTAACAGGCTGGGTCCTTTCTATCTCCTCCTTTGAAGATTGGAGAGAGAGTAGCTTGTTTCCATTCCGCTGGGAATTGATGTGACTCCAGTGTATGCCTGAAGAGGTTGCATAACGGTGAACAGAGGGCTTCAGCGCACTGTTGCAAGACTATAGGGCGAATGTTGTCACAACCTGGTGACTTACCTGGGCGTAAGGATTTCAGTTTCCTTAATACTAGGTCAGGGGTGATACGGATGTTCCCTAAGCCGTCAGCTGGCATTGGGTTGGCGTAATACTCTGAACATGTAGGCGCCTGGTTTAATTGATCAGAAAAATGGGTGTTGAAGATCTCGGCCATTTCTAGGTTGGTGAGGTCTTCTCCGTTAGGCCCTTTTAGGGGGCACAACCCTTGATTAGTAGGTTTTCTTTTGGACATGAACCTAAACAGATGTTTCGGGTTTGCCTCTATTCTGGCGGCTAGTATCGTCTGGAATTGTCTCCTGTCGCTTCGAACTTTGGTATTGCATCTGTTTCTCAATGCCAAGTAAGAACTGCGATCGGAATCCTTCAAGGAGACCTTCCACTTGTGCCAGGCTTTCCTCTTCGCCTGTAGCAAGCGTTCCGTGCCGCGCCTAACCCAGGTTCTTCTGTTCTGGCGTTTTGGGTGTGATTGAGGTACATTGTCTACGACAGCGTTTTGGATGATATCTCTCACTGCTTGCCAGTGATCATCTACTGTCAGCCTCCGCCACTCCCGTGGCCATGGGGCATGTAGGAGCACCTCTCTCATGCGTGTGTAGTTTGCCCTACTGTAGCAGAGGTAAGGCTCGTTATTGTCCGGTGTCAGCATTTCGTTTGTGACCATGTTAAACAGGACTGTGCCATGATCACTACTACCTATTGGAGCGCGGATGTTAACATCCTCAACCAGGAGCTGGTCGTTCGTTAACAGATAATCTAGGTTTGAGGACTTCCCTTCCTTAGTCCACCTAGTGGCGCTGCGTACATGCTCAGTCATGCCAGAGCTTCTAATGGCTGTACCAAGTTGTCTTTGGAACCAACATTGAATTCAAATTCCACGGTCTAGAATTAGTGAAACTTGTAATCTAACTTCCACGAAGGTTCTGTTACGGAAGTAAGTAGTTAACTTTGCTTCACAATCTCAAAACTCCGAAATTATATCGGTATCACATGATAGTCTTGTAGAGGTATACTATTACGAAGAGAACACAATTTCTGAAATGAAAACACACATTGTTGTAAAAATTTAAAACTGCAACCGTTCTATTGTACCACTTTTTAACTTTACTAGACGCCACAACTCGTGCGCCAAGCTTTTGTCTACCATTTCTCGTTTACCCTCGGTGGTTGTTTGCTGCTGTTTTATTCCGATCTTGATTTCTTGTCGATATCACGAGACCACGAATCAATACACCTTGCCATCCAGTCATTGTCTTCCTTCTGATTTCTGGATTATATGGGATTTTACTTTTAATCTCGCGACAAGGAGTTCCAATCTCACCACAGTCTTTTGACTGTAAAACAGATATCGAATGAGGCACAGTGTCATATAGGATGGTACTCAGGACCTAAAAGATGTGGTCCTGAGATCTCCTGTAAAATCTTTGTTTAAAGTCCCACTACTGCTCACCATCGAAACTTCGTATTAACCAGTCTTCAAGAGAGTTACATTACGCATGATCTCTTCAGATCTCAGGCTCATTAACAATCGCCCAAATGCTAGCGAGATAATGAGTGAGTAGTAAAAAGAGTCATCACGGAACCTCTTGATACTCTTCTGCATATTGTGGATTAGTCGGATACAGCTGATCGAAGTCCAAAATCTTGAGTACCTCCTGTTAGTTATTCACATACTCTGTTTATAAAGTAACAGTTCGTATATATTAGATGTCATATAAAAACACGTCAAAAATTCAACAACTGGAATGGGCAGGATCACCAAACTGATACTTCATGATTCGTTCATCTTTACGTGATAACTAAATGTAACTTCTTCCTTTTCATACTAAATATAGTCACCACCCTGGATGTATTCCTTAGGGATTCTAAAGACCAGATTAGTGACTATCACAACAGAATGATACTTTGCAGACAACTTTGTAATTTAAACTTAGGGTCTTACAGTTTAGGAAGTCTTCACTCGCAAAATAGGTTTATATTTATAGTAACATTCATAAGTAACAAGCAGTATCAAAAACTTAGACCCGAATTCTACAAAGTCAGTCTAATATCAAACAAATGAGGAGTATGTTCAAGTTAATTATAATGATTCTGTTTATAACGACTTCATTGTCATCTGCGATCAGAGGTAAATAAATGATTTTATTAATTGACAGCAGGAACATTCATACATTATGACATTTCAAAAGACAAAAATTGGAGTCAAATCTCGGACAACTAAAGGGATGAGCCCAACGTCTAATTTAACCCAACCGCTAAAGACTGTTCTCGTAAACCAATTGAGAACAAGAGCACCCGATCGGACTACCGAATAACAAAGCACACACTGTTGTAGACTACCTCAGGATAGTTTTCCCTGCGAAGCCTCTTTTAGATAAAGGACTTGATCCCAAAACAAAATCACCGGATTGGCTGTTTTCTGTGACCCTAGCGCGGGCCGATTTATTGAAGATCTCAAACATTTCAGATACAGAAAGACCAGTGGGACAAGGTGAACAATACCTAAATATTGTGAGAACTCCATAGCTCACTGCTACTGTGTCGCGTACACTATTAGGTATATCGCTTGGCAAAGTTAGGCTAACCACGAACTAGAAGAAATTATTAGTCACAGTAATTCATAAGGCAGTAATAAAACAATTACCACCAAACTACAGATCTATCAGTTTTGCGAGTATCCTGCTTAAAATACTGGAAGGAACGATCAAACAGAGTTCGCATATTGGAGGGAAAGTCGGAGTAAGAAGCTGCTAAACAAAGTTGAAGGCACAACGAGTAGAGCTTATGAAGACATTGGCAACTATGTCGTCTATCACCTGTTACTGTTTTCATAGAATACCTATTCCTAGGTCATACAGTAAGAGCCTGAGTAAGTTGTAGGTTATCTTGATGGAATAGCAATCCCAGCATGGAATAAGAAAGATGAATCTCAGGAGTAGCAAGTTTATGAGAGCAACCCCAGTATCACTTGCAAGTCGCCTCAAACAAAAAAATGTCCTGCTCACAAACATGGGTGAATTGAAATCATCGCCCTGACCACCTGTTTTTGCTGGTATCGTGACTGTACCATCAGATACGATTTCTTGATGGGTATAAATTAAAACCAAGCGTCTGTGTAGCTTCGTTTTAAGGAACCTCTCAAATAGTATATGCGCATTTCACAACTGCTAATAGCGAAACCTCTCATAAAAATACTAATTAAAGCAGTTTTGTCCATTTGCATGATCCTCGGAGTTACGAAGAAAATGACAGAAGACACGGAGTATTAGATGAATGCAACTGGGTTTTCACTGGTTAAAATATTAACTCAACTGTACTTTAAGTCGGCTTTTATGTATTTACGTTCTCGACACTAGAAAGTATACGGATTGACCAGGAGCATACTAAAGTGTATACACGGAACTACATACACCACAACCACGAGGCCTACTAGCAGGATCTCCTGCTATTTGTCTCCAACACCTGGACATGGAAAATGATGAGCGAAATCCCGAACTACGCAGACCAGCGGATACACTGCAGGTCAAGAAACAGAAAATTCGACCAAAACTGAAGTCCAGATAAACAAAACATTGTTCATTAATTGGATAAACACGGTTTAGGTAAGTGATATATGTAAAATCATCCAAAAATAAAATGACATTAAATAAACTGAAGCACATAAACATTTACAAACACACACGTACTACAGCAAATTGACATATTCTGCATTACTACAATAAGTTTTTATCGAAAAGAACGAATACTAAATTGACATTTTTAAAAACTGTATGAAACGAGCATTAGAACAGAAAAGAAACTACACTGGCTAAAAACCAATTCTTTCATAATCAGAAGATACATTATTGTCGGACAAACATTGGAAGGCAGAAAAAAAAAACAAAATAAATGAACAAATGAACGTAAATCAGTTTCTTTTTTTTCATTTAAAGATAAATAAAAAATAGTTTCTGTTCATCACATTGTGAATACATACATCAAACATGATTTATACATAAAAGTGATTATCATCTTGTCTATTCAGCTTTTCTTGCTTTCGTTGTTGTGCGTTTTGATGCTGAATTCGATGAACTTGTACTGGCACTAACAGTATTACTAACAGTGCTGTATTGACTTGAACTTTCAGAAGTACTCGCACTATTCGTAATTTGACGATGCTTTTCTGAAGATTTTCGTTTATTGATTGATGTTGTCTTCTTATTATTTCCACCAAATAAAGATAGTGATGAAAGAAGCTGAAAAATGAACGAAAAATAAAATTACCCAAGAAAAAAAAAGATTGTGAAAATACGATGAGAACCTGACAGACAGACAGATAGACAGATACAGCGCAGAACTTCGTACATAAGTACATCAGCTCAGGTTGCCATATCACATTAACACAGAGATATAATTGTCAGTTCAAATTCAAGAGTGATAGCGATAGTAGAATTATTAGCAGTAATGGAGAAGATTAGGGTTCGAAGATATGATTCGAGAAGTATAATTCAGTGAGATAAATTTAGAAGGAGAAAGATAGAGATTATGAGTAATTCGGGAGGTTAGAATTAAAAAGCACACCTAGAGTGGATGCACCTGCGCCATCGCAAACGATTTTGAGCCATGTCGTTCAAGGTCTATAACCATTGGTGACTTTCGTCTCGCGGACTCCAACCAGGTATTCTACATCTACCTACATGACTCAGTCCACTTGTCTGTGACTTCATGGATTTCTGCCATGTTTTGGTTTGGCCGCCCCTAGCTTTCTTCCAACCTATCCCTACACCACAAAACATAGCTCCTCGAGGCAGTCGGTGGTTAAGCATACAAAACACATGTTCCAACCACCTCAACTGATGAAGTTTCACTAATTCGTCTATTGATTTGCCATCCTTACCTAGAACTCGTTTCCTAACGATAGAATTGCTTACTCGGTCGTCCCAGAATACACGAGCAATGCTTCGGAAACATCGATGATCGAAGACTAGTAACCTACGGAAGTCCTCAACTCTTAGTTCATGTGCCGATGCAACCCAATCTTGAAGCAAAATTTTGCATTTCGAACATGCTTGCATTGTTGCTTAGGGTGGTCATAAGACTCTGATGATGAGAAACATTCTGACATGATGATGAAATGAAAATATTATCTGTGTTAGTTATGATATGAAACTACCACTAGACCAGATACTTGATAAATAAGCTGTACATAGACTGGGATCACATTTTAGCGGATAAACGACTTACGATCAAATATAGAGAACATGAATATAGGCCAGACAATTTCCTCTGTTCAACACAGACAGTCTACACTCACTGAAGTCTGGGGTATAAATTAGTGATAGGAAGTAAGTCGTGGATCAAATTTATCACAGAATATATAAAATAAATCTTAGAATTTACAATAGCCTGAAATCATTTTAACTAGATGCAAATGAGATAATGATTTAGTTGTGAAAAAAATAAATGATATTGTTTGCTTTGTTGACGTCTAGTTAATGAATTTGTGATATATATAAAGTGTGACCTTCAGTTAAATCGTGAACGATATTTTACTGCCACAACTTGGCCGAATCTACAGGCAAAAACGTGTACTCATTAAAAAGTTTAAACATCTATCTTGAATCTGATCAACAGTGAATACCGTGTTATTATTATTTTTAGGTTTTTTGGAAATTTCGCATAGTAAGAACATAGTTTTTATTATCACTGTTATGAAGATCAGAATTGAGAGCGAACAATATTTATTTCAATAACCCGAACAAAAATATATGTATATAAAAAACAGCTTATATAGGATTTATGTAAGAAAATTCTTTCTTGACTTGTCTACTAGCGCTTATTCGGATCTGATCTTGATTTGAGTGTGAAATAGTTATGACTCCATCCTGCTAGCAATTAAGAAACGGTGTCAAATAATAAAAAATGACCCCGAAATATAGAATATAATGCGTTGTTATATTCTTAGGTCCCTCAATCTTGTGAAAGGCATGTGAAAGTGGCTTCGACCTAGAGTGATTCAGTGCAACTGTTGATAATTTCCGGATATAAACTAACTATCTATTGCTCTGTCTCAGGCTTTCAATTGTTTTCTCCAGTTTATGATGATTTGTAATGAAAACTACATACAAAATTACATTCATACATCATTTATCTCTTTAGGAGACCATTTATCATCACACTCAGTCAGTCAGTTTCAACGTAGAACTTCGTACATAAGTACATCAGTTCATGTCACCATACCACATCAACACAGAGATGTAATTATCAAATCAAATACAATAGTAGAAGAGGTAGTAAAGGTATTAGAAGGAATCGGAGAGGTTAGGATTAGAAGATATTATTCAAGAAGTATGATTAAATGAGAAAAGTTTAGAAAGTAAAAACTTGAGGTGTTGAAGAATCCAGAAGATTAGGATTTGAGAGAACACAGAGAATAAATGCACCTGCACCATTGCAAACGATTTTGAGCCATGTCATTCAAGGTCTCTAACCATCGATTATTATCATCTCGCGGAACCCAACCAGGTAGTCGACAACTACCGACATGGCTCAGTCCACTAGTCAATGACTTCATGGATTTGTGCCATGTTTTGTTTGACCGCTCCTGGCTTTCTTCCAACCTATTCCTACACTACAAAACAAGGATCGACGAGGCAGTCGGTGGTTGGGCATACGCAACACGTGTCCCAACCACCTCAACTGATGCAGTTTCATTACTTCATCTATTGATCTGCCATTCTTACCCAGCACCCGATTCCTAATAACAGCGTTGCTCACACGGGTGTCCCACGATATACGAGCAATGCTTCGAAGACACCTGTGATCCAAAACCAGTAACCTATGAATATCTCCTACTATCACTGGACATGTTTCACAGCCATAAAGTAGGACGGAGCGAACTACTGCGCAGTACACTCGTCCTTTAGTCAGCAAACGGATATCTCGCCTACGCCATAAGTGACGCAGGTTGGCAAAAGCCAATCGAGCCTTTTATCATCACACTAATCTTAAGCAGCCTGACTCTCCTTATAATAATTCGGACATGCATCACTCAATTTCACAGTCTGTAACATTACCACTGAGCCACTTACGCTGCGAATACCTTATTGTAGGCATAAGGTATTTTACAATGATTGATCAATGAGTGGTGACATGATTGTTTAGTCGTTTAATGCTAAAGTCTTGAGTTTCTCATAAACCAACCAACAACTGAACATGGTCCACATCCCTGTTGGAGTCAATAACACCATTTAATAACTTTACAGCTTGATCAATAAAATCCGACCAACAATAAAGAACTAAGCAACTATGATATTGATCATTTTATTCAATGATCATCAAACAATTGTTTAGACTTGCTACATTTGCTGGGTTATACGCATATTCAACAAATAAATAAACTCACAACAGTCATCATCAAATCAAATCAAGAGAATCGAACTTACTTCACTCATATCAGGTAATTGTTGTTGTGGATTAAGTATATTCATTTGTTGCATTTCTTTTTGTACAGTTGGATCATTAGTATTTACTAATTTTGTCAATAACATAACTAATAACAATGGTACAACTACATATAATACATTTGGATTAAATAATAAATCTAAAGTACGTAATTGTTCACGAGCCTTTGAATGAAGTTAGAAAATTGAAATAAAATAAAACGACAAAAAAAGATTTAATATTTAAGATAATTCATCAAGTCAATTGAATATTTTAGGTTGATTGTTCAAAATAAAACAAAAAAAACTGTATATCCACAGATTAATTTGTATCCGATTAAATCTGCAGTTTTCTTGTTCAATCTTCATTTATGTAAAAAAAAATAACGAAGCAACTTCCTAATAATCACAGTCAGTCAGTTATAACGTAGAACTTCGTTCAAGTTGCCATACCAAATTAGAACACAGAGACATGACTGTTTGTTCAAATCCCATGGTGATAGAGATAGTAGAATTATTAGTGATAATGGACAAGATTAAGGCTCGAAAGAAGATACTATTCAAGAAATATACTTCAGTGAGATAACTTTAGAAAGAGAAAGATAAAGATGATGAGCAATTCTTATTATTCGAATTTCAGAGAACACAGAGAGTGAATGCACCTGCGCCATTGCAGACTATTTTTGAGCCATGTTATTCAAGGTCTGTAACCAACGGTTATCCGACCGTAGCTGCTACCTTGACGTGGTGGTGGTCGGGCTTGCCTATCGTGATCACCCAACCAAGCTACATTAGCTGGAAAATATGTTCCTGTAGGTTCTACCATGTCAGGCAGGTCTATTAGAGAACGATCAGACTAAAAGCAACTACCCAAGGTCTGATGACGAAGTCGTACTGCTGACTGCAGACGGGTGTGAAAGCAGCAAGGTGTTCCCCTCGGACAACCAGCATCTGAAGAGATTCTGCCTTCTCACAACGAAGGAAGAGGTTAGAAAAGGTTGACCTTAGCAATGTCACACCTCACATTACCTCACGGATTTCCGTATCCGGCGGTAAGGCCTTTCAAACAAGAACGGAGCTAACACTTCAAAAACCTCCCATAAAAAGACCATGCATGACCAGCCTCAAGCAGTTGTCCCTTGGGCTCCGCAGTCACGCTCCCAGATCTCTACGACCAACACTAATATACCTTTCTTTTCAGGGTCCTCAAGAAGTACCGTTCCACGGTGTGGGCAGCCGGGAAGTGAAATCCGCCCTTATACCAACAAAAGCACACGACACCAAATTGTCACAATTAGACCCTAATAATCACACTGTACAGCTAAAGAATTTATAAATCAAATAAGTAATAGCTATGCATTCTGTATTTTATTCCAATAATCATCATATTCATGTTGAACATATTTAAATAATTAGTTTTTTGAAAAAAAAAACTACTTCAACTACTAAGACTACTGATTAATTGAATCATTTCATATAATGTTAAACGTCTATTGTGTTAAAATACATAATTTTTAATGTCCAACGAGCTTGAGCAAGCTTTCAAAAAGTCCTATGGAACCAGTTTAACATTATGTAAAATATTCTAACGGTGGTCTAACAATGATTGCTTCACGATTTCTACGTAAAACAACAATCTCCATAACTCTATAATGAAAAATCATAAAATAAGCTCACTAGTGACTAGCATCGGGAGGAAATTCTCGGAGTTCCAGTGAAAAGTCGTGACCAGTGGAGTTCAACCCTGTCGAGTGTAGGCAGTAACTGCCGAAGACAACGAGTGAGGCTATGCAATGTCAGGGATTGGATTAAAGTTAGACATTAACACTAATGGACCCCGGTTCAGTAATATAAAGGTTAAGCGTTCGTGCGCCAAACCGACGGTACTGACTCCAATTCACGCGAGCGGGGATCATGGATGAGAACTGCTGATGACTCACATACTAGGACGAAACAACCGTCCAGTGCTTCCATGTTTTTAATGGTGATCTAACAATGAACCACAATCTAAGTGTGAAAGCTAGTGATACTTAACGGTTGCCGAAACCGAAGTAGGTGTGACAAGAGTTCAAACATGGGATTTAATGGATGACAGTTGGACTCTTGAGCACTAACCCACATCTACATACATAGACAGATAGACTTTAAATCATACATCTACTCACCAATCAATCTAAAATAACGAACGAAAAAAAAAGATATTAAATAATATTGTCATCGTTGATATTTCTGTATCACATCTAAACTTGCTCAAATTTTTAACATTGTTTAGTCTAATATATCCCCCTTTAATAATTTATTTGTTTACTCATCAGTGAAACAACTACCACAGTAGTGAAGAGTCAGAAATTTACAAAAGTAATTCTTGGTAAACTGGTGAGCGGCCTATGCTCCATTGGGGGTAACAGGCGTAAGTAAGTTATTATTGGTTAAAAATTACTACTTATAACTAATGCAAAAGTATAACTATAAAGCTTAGTTTTAATAACCTTACTAGTTCCCTATCATATTAAAAAATTAATAAACAAAAGAACAAAAAAAAGAACAACAATAAATTCTTTTTTCAGGTTCTAAAATAATATATTCAAATTGATAATCCTAAAAAAGTGGTCAAGTTTAAGGCAAAACTACAACGTTTCAATCAACCAATCAATCAACAGCAACGTAGAACTACGTTTGTACGTACGTACATCAGTTCAAATTGCCATACCATATTAGCATAGAGATGTAAATGTCACTTCAAATCCCATACTAGTAGAGGTAGTAAAAGTTTCAAATTATTAAATTACAAAAAAGTAGTGAATTTCGTAAACATTTAAGGCAAATGATGAATGTTTATTCTAGTAAACATTTTAAATACCCATTAAATAAACAAAACAATCTCATAATCGATCATTTGTATCCTCCTTTAATCTGGATGGATTGTAATTGATTGTAATGTGATTAAGGGAAAAGCAAAACCTGAATCATCCTAATCTTCTGGATTCATCAGCACATCTACCTTTGTCTTTCTAACCTTATTTCACTGAATTATACTTCTTGAATAATATCTTCAAACACTAGGTCTTCTTTATTACCATTAATACCTCTACTATTGTGGTGCGCGCTACTTATAAGTAGTATATGACGCGAGTGTAAACGTAATGTCTGGCAGCAGAAGATGAGGGAACATCAAGAAAGGAAGAGTGGGAACACAATGGAATTTGTATGAAACGCATGAATAGTGAACTGTCAGACAATGAATTGATGATGGATTGAAGATTTGCAAATTAACGGTTACGATATGGTTTTCCTATTTTACTGAGTAACTCAGTAATTTTGGTTAAATATAATTCGGTTGCCCTCACCTGTGTTCTCTTTGACTACACTATCTCTATCACTATGGGATTTGATTTGACATTTGCATCTCTGTGTGCTAATGTGGTATGGCAACCTGAATTTATGTACATACGTACGAAGTTCTACGTTGCAACTGACTGAGAACCTGAATTGATGACAAGCGTAATAAGATTCATTAATCAATATATCTTTACAATGATTGATTTTTATTCATTGTAAATCTAGTCATTACGGCTAACTTCATAAAATTGGCTATTACCTTATTTATTTATTCATGAAATTATCGAAATTCTACACCCAATATCTCTGTGATTTAAAAATCTATAAACTTGGCTTTATTTTTGCTCATTTATTTATTTCTCTTCTAGTAAAATGTTTATTTACACATTTTAGGGGTATTTTAAAACGTATACATTAAGTAATGGTGTTGATAAGATTGTTTATGCTTATCGCTTTTATATCTGAAATATAGACAATTACAAATTTGCACTAACGTACATATCAAGCAAAAATAAGTTATCATTCATTATGAATACTAGTAGTAAAATCCTATTCCTACTATAAAAACCATGAGGTGAGAATTAGGAAAATTAATGAAACAAGTTTCCCAAGTTGTACCATGATTATGACAATCTAGACAGTATATGCAAATAACAACGTAGAATCCTGAGCAAAAGCGGTGAAGTGGATAGGACACACACTATGAAAAGCACCGAACTGCATCACGAGACAAGCCCTTACATGGAACCCTCAAGGCAAAAGGAAAAGAGGAAGGCCAAGGGACACATTACGCCAAGAAATAGAGAAAGATATGAGAGGAATGAACAAACTTTGGACAGAACTGGAAAGGGAAGCCGCCCAGGACATAGTTGGTTGGAGAAACCTGGTGGGCGGCCTATGCTCCATTGGGAGTAACAGGCATAAGTAAGTAAGTAAGTAATCCTGGGCAAAACCGGACTGGTTAAAGATATAAAGATCCATAACAACATAAGAAGGGACATCTTTCTAATAAAGAATAAGAGTTTTATTACTATTCTCATGAATTCATAGGTGAGAAATGTCAAGGAATCTAGGAATGAAATAAAACAAGTATTCAATACTCAATAATTATTTTGGGTAGTACCGACCACTGATGATGTAAGAATTAATTTTTTTTAACTCTAAAACATAGATAATACAGCTTGAGTGACACAGAATTACTAACCTTGAAGTAGACTGCTTTTCCAGAACTGGAAAGACGTAAAGGATATGGGAGTTCTTTCACGGCATTGGGTTGTGGAGCATTTAGCTGACGCGCCCGAATTCGGCCTTTGGAACTGATGTCGACACGAACACCCTAGAGATTAAGACAATAAAGTAACCACTATTTAACTTATATATAAATTTAGTTTGTGTATTACGTAGACAGCTTGTAAAATTATTGATCATCAGAAAGAATCTATGAAAAACATAATGTTAAAACAATGCCCAATTTTGGGACAAAAAAATACCATGTTAGACAATCAACGAAAGTTACCCTCAATAAACGGCTATTGTTAGTCAGATTTGTTTCTTTAGCTGATGCGATCGCCTCCCACATAATTAAACCCAACATTTGGGGGAGCGGATAAGTTATTCATGTTCCTTATTATTGCCGCAGTTTACCACAAAAAAACGAACATAAAACATCCGTATAAGAGTTTTTAAAAGGAGGTTTTTGCAGTAGTTATCCTTAATTTTAGACGGTTCTAACAGTATTATAAAAACAACTTTGCTTATTTCATTATCAATTTTTAAGTTTCCTGATATGACAAGCCGTTCTGTTTACTATTTTAAAGTCTAAAAAAGATTTATCAACATTAAAGAACAACTTCTAATGTCATGATGTTCAATCCAAGTCTCGAGGATGGAACACAGAACTAAGTAAGGATGGTCGACCAATTGAGGATATTCGTAGGTTACTGGTTTTCAATCACAGGTGTCTTCGAAGCAATGCTCGTATATCCTGGGACAATCGAGTAAGCAATGCTGTTGTTAGGAAACGAATACTAGGTAGCAATGGCAAATCATGTGTAATGTCCCAACCACCGACTGCCTAGACGAGCCGTTTTGTGGTCTAGAGGTAGGCTGGAAGAAAAATAGGGGCAGCCAGATCAAAACGTACCACAAAATCCATGAAGTCACTGACAGCCGGATTGAAAAGTGCAAGTGTAGACTATCAGGTTGAGATCCATGAGACAATAGTAACCGATGGTTAGAGACCGTGGACAGCATGGTTCAAAATCGTTTGCAATGGTGCAGGCTCATCCACTCTCTGTGTTCTCCCAAATTCCAATCTTTTGAATTCCTCATCACCTCTGTCTTTCTCTTTCTAAGTTTATTTCACTGGATCATACTTATCGAATAATATCTTCGAGCCCTAATCTTTTCCATTACCGTTAATACTTCTACCACCTCTACTACTATGGGATTTGAATTGACAATTCCATCTTTGTGCTAACGTGGTATGTCAACTTGAAGTGATGTACATACGTACCTAGTTCTACGTCGTAACTGATTGACTGGCAGCCCAAGTAGCTAGTGATTGGTCAAGGAGTACAAATAGATGTAACTGATATCACATATAAGTCAACTACATCTATTTTAATATATGCAGTCCCATAGTGATAGGTGATCAACAACAGATTTATATGCTATTTTCCTCCTTAGGATCCTGAAGCCCTGCTGCACTATTAGCTTGGAATCAGGGCTTCCTGAACCCCGTAGGTGGATTTGTTAAACATACTCCTTTCATCCTCTCAACTTTGAAAACAACATCCTTGTCGCATAAGGCAGCAGCTATACATACGTATGGCTATATAAGCATTTAGAGGTCGAATCATTCTTCTCTTGGCCGCAAAAAAAGCATTTGTTACTCCATCAAAAAAAACTAAATGAAATGACCGTTTGTATCCGCTGACTGTGAATACTATTTTTTTGTAATGGGATGAATATTAAGGAATTTTAAACCTTTGGAGTAAGTTTTTAGAGTATTATTCTATATTACACTATTACTATAAGTTCTCGGTGGACCTACTGACTATCGTATACGCTCTTACTGTTCCCTAATTATTGCTGATTAATTATGTTTTGTTTTGCTCCAACGTCTACCACTTGTAGAATGATTTCGTTTAAGTTCGAATTTTTATTTGGTGTGCTATATGGTTAAGCATTATTGTACGAGTTTTGACCTATGGTTGAATTGAGTACAATAGAGAACTAAGCTGATTCCTAAATGCATCTTCTGATTGGCTACTGGATTAGGAAGATTTTGAGGACGAGCAGCTTGTGTAAGTTGATTAAATTAAATGTGGTTTAGATCCAGAGAGGAATTATTCCATCACCACTCACCTGGAAATAATAAACTGGATTGATGACTTCAACCATATATGAACCAGATGGGACATTAGTCACTTCAAAACTACCATCTGCCTTCACAAAACCAATGTACTGATCACCAGCTACGTTAATTCGTGTGTTAACATGCCAATCCATAGGAGCTTCAGGAGGAACTACGATAGTTCCTTCGATAACGTAGCCATAAGACTCGCCCAGATGAAGAATTGCAAACAAACAAAATAGATATTGCAACATGAAGAATCAACCGTACAGAAAAACTTATGAACAGCTGCAGATAAGGAACGCGACCTAATTATATTATCTCCAAGTTGGTTTCAGATGTGATACACCTAGAATAGGCACGAATAGAAATAACATGGTTAGGAACAAGACAGTGTTGCAAGCAATGTCTCACACTTACCATATATTTACCAGAAACTTCATAAAAATTGATTATTAGAATGAATCCGTGGTTCATTCAGGAAATACAAAAACTAGATATATTATAATCTTTCTAACACGGGCATACAGCACTATCATTAAATACTATTTGTACATTTGCCTATTTTAAACTTGGCACCCGATTTCTGTCATACAATTAAATTTCGAACACTTATAAAGAGCAGCAGACAATTAATGGAAAAAGTAAACCTATGAGGGAATAATTAGAAAATTCAGCCAATAACAGTGTATAAATCCCAAAGTAATATCGAAAATGAATAGGATCGTGTTTTTGATATCAGTCTTCAACTCCGTTTAGTTTACAAACATATACCATCGAATAGCCAAATCAGAGAACTTGAGTAATTTCAAACAATTCAGAATGGAAATCAGTTACTACCTAAAATTTTGTCTTATTTAGAACTGTGGTTATTTAGGAGTCTCCGATTGAACATCAACACTAGGATGGTGCATCCAGCTGTCGCGAATCGGAAGATGTATATTAAGGATAGTAAATAAATTCTTTTCTATGACTTTGTGAAACGTGGGAGCTCTCATATGTACTTGTGAATAAATATTAAATGAACCAAATTAGACCAAACACTAACTCGTCCGAAAGACACGAAAAGGTGTCGCGAAAACTCGTAACACCCGCGTTTAGTCCTCAATATCCAACATGCGTATGTTGCTCAAATGTTTGTGAATAGAATGGGAACAGCTTCTGCCTAATGACTTTTCACATATAACGACATTGGAACCCACACATTTCAATAAGCTAGGAAAGTATTGATATGTTAGTATCAAATGATGCTCAAGTCCTTAAGAATATGTGGTCACCAAACGAAATATTGCGGAGTCGATTGAACCACCCCACTCGAACCTTAAAGTCTCAGAAAAGTCTTGCATTACCTCACTTCAAGTAGACCCAAATGAAAGTACACCATAACGGATAAATTAAAACATTTTTATCTACTGTAGACTATACCAATACGACAAAACTGTCATAAACGTGGACCGGGTGACGATAAATAAAATAACAAAGTATTGGATCCTCGAATAGTACACTGTGCAAAGACTAGATGACAGTACGCAGAATGAATGGTTTACGATCAATAATAGATTACCAAAGAAAAGACTAGACTACACTGTAAACAAAACTCAGTGAGTCTGAAGTAAATATCAATAACAGGGAAGAAAATGGCATATTTAATAGTCATTGAGTCAAGTGCATGTTTGTTCCCTCATACTTACTTATGGAATTTCTCCTTCTTATCACATACAGGACTTCAAAATCAGAAGAAACTTTCTACCATCAAACTGGCGACAAATGCCTCGCAAAAGCTATAAGTGCAAGATTAGCTTTAAAGTAATTATTAAGACAGTCATAGTAAGATTCGAGATTGTAGATAACCTACATGAATGATATACGCTAATGATCGAGATCTACCTGGGTTGGATGGGAATAGTCGGACATATCTTTGCCATAACTCACACCTTACTATCAATAAAATAAACTAGAATTATCCTTCCGTTGTATTTAGGTGCTATGATCACTTTTATAACGGTATAAAACAGACATAGAGTTATGGCGTAAGGTATTTTTAAGAATATTTAGGGAGGCGGAGCGCGACTACTATTATCAAGGATAACCCAGGCGTTGATTCGACTGTTGCGCGTTGGTTACCCCTGACCTCTATCCGGATTGGTGACTCGTTCAACATCATATAGCCTCTCTGTCAAGTGATTTTGATTGGAAACGGTTGAATTTCGCTGATCTTATAATATTTTAGGGTACCCAGACACAAGGGTATTGTTCAGCATGAGAATAATCAAGGTTTAAATATTCCGAGATGTATGAGCAGAATGAAGAAAGTCTCAGAAGACTTACTTTAAGGTTTTAAGTGTTGCCAGAAAGTCCTCTGTCATCTACCCAACTTAACAGTCAAGTTGAACCTCCTCAAGTAATACGTCAGGTAATACTCCCTGAGGGAAAACCAATTATATAAATAAGAAAAGGGAGGTTATATTGGTACTGAAACCTTAAGGACATCTCTAAAATACTTTGTAGCCTGAAAAAATGCAGCGCACATAGTAATATTAAATCCCGATTTATTAGAACCGTAAAACCAGTCTGTTACAACGTAGAACTTTGTACGTACGTACAAAAGTTCAGGTTGTCATAACGTATTAGCACAGAGACGCAATTGTCAGTTCAAACATCACAGTGATAGAGAGAGTAAAAGAATTACTGCTAATGGAGATTAGGATTTGAAGATAATATTCAAGAAGTATAATTCAGTGAGATAAGTTTAGAAAGACAAAGGTAAAGGTGTCGATGAGTCCAGATTAGAATTTGAGAGAACACAGAAAATGGATGCATCAACACCATTGGAAACGATTTTGAGCCATGTTGTTCACGGTCTCCCAACCATCGGTTACTAATGTTTGGCGGACACTAACTCGATAGTCTAGAATTATCAACATGGCCCAATCCGCTTGTCAGTGACTTCATGGATCTGTGCCATGTTTTGGCCGCCTCTAGCTTTCTTCCGTCCTACTCCTACCCCACAAATAATATAAAAGGAAAGACAGGATAGTCCAGATGAAATAATTATATTTGCTGGCGATTTCATCATATCGAGAAAATAACGAAACATGTGGAAAATGGATGAAGGGTACAAGGCATCGAAAGCAAGACAGCGACCGCGCAGAAACAAAAATATGAAAAAGGAAAATGTTCCGTAAAACGTTCACTGTTTCAAGTGGTTATGATAATGACTATTTCTACTTAACCAATCATGTTTTCTTTCTAAAAATGAGGTCACCGAAACCTTTTAAAATGAGACATGCATGAACAAAGGAACTTTCATTAGGTTGATACAACAAGTTATTCTGAACCTCCAGATGTAAAAGTTACTTGAAAGACTTCTGCCTTTAGGGAATTTCAATGCTTAATTAGTTAACGTTAGTGGGGAGGACGTCTTAATTCAAGAAGCATTCCAGAGAATTCTCATAGTTGTTTACGATGTGTCGATCATCAACGATTCTCTTTCCTATGATCGAAATGATGGATATCTAATCCTTTAAGACGTTCCTTGTAAGATTTGAACTTTTAATATTGGATTGTTTCTGTTCTCACCTTTTTAATATACTCGTCCTACACGTGTAAATGAGGGTATGTTTAGTTTCCATAGTGCAAATGAGGTGTAATCGTATTTGGGACAAACCTGAAATGCTCCTGTCAGTTGCTATTGCACATCTCGTATACTAAGACAAGTTTAAAAATATTTAATACTCTCGCCCAGTCCAAGTCTAAAAATGATAAATCTGGGAAAGAACGGTTCTATTTTTAATCAAAATGGGAAATACAGACAATTACCAAAACAATATTACACCGAGTTTCTAATCACAACAATAAGTTCCGATACTGGAAGAATAAGTGCTTCCAGTTAGTTGCAACGAGCTGCTGCCAGAGTACCAAATCCAGAAATGGCCGTAGCCATATTAAGTATCAATTTTAAACAACACATATATAGTTCAGAAGGAAACACAGAAACTTCAATATAAGTACAAGATTTAGAAATAATAACAAGATACAAATGATAAGATCCCAAAATGGGATCAAATAAAGTACCAAAATATCGAACAGAAAGAGTCAGTCAGATCATAACACAAATATATATACATGGAGGGGTTTTCCAAAAACAAGGCCTTCAAAATAGATTCTACAACAAGGAAAAATTAATTTAAAGGTAAAGGCTTGTAACCAGCAGTAAAATTTATCTACCTTTATTTGAGGAGCTGTCGAGTCAGTTACCGGGACCTATTAAGTTATGAAAGCCTAACTTACTCCTCAGTACACTCAATACCAGTCGAAAACGTAACCGATTAAAGATGGATGATCGTGCTATGTAGTGTCATTAGCTATCATGTGTGCATCAAAAAGAACATTTTTTTGGTGGTGCAAATTACAACATACATTTTTAAATATATAGTTTAATAACAGTCACAAAAATGAAAAAAATGCTTTACGTAATTAAATAACATGTCATTCATAACTAAGTAAAAGCAGATATTACCGGTTTCAAACAGGATCTCTCAGTAAGCGAGCGTCTTCTTGAATACATGTAATAGAAGAGCTGTAACCGGATTAATTAATTCATTAACATCAACATACAGAAATCAGTCAGTTTTCCATCACTATGCATAAAATTCAGAAGCGTCGTTTTGAAACGCCTTATCTTAATAGCACTACCTACAGATGATACTGAGACATAATCGTATATTATATCCTAATCTAGCAGTTACGTACGAATAGGAAAGAACACTGTGAGCCCAGTCGAACATAATGTATTTCAAATCTGAATCAGGCGCATAATAATACTGTTGTATCCAAACGTCATACCACACTATATAATTAGACTCTACTACAGCAGATAATAGCGCACCGAGATTGTTAAGAATATTTTCAACAAAACTGGACCAAATTCCTATCTGAGAGGATTCGAATAACCGATCCTAATAAGCAGTCACAGCAGGATAGCGATCAGTCATCCTGTACTGTAACCTTCTGTTCAATCAATCAGAAAACCATTGCCGAATTTTTTTTATCACGCAGCTGCGGAACTGAATAATAAAAGTAAATCTTAACCAAAGTCAGATAATAAAAGTCTGTTCTAGGAAGACTGAGAGATCTGAAACCACAGTTGCATCAGTCTCGAATGCAAACAGAAATGCAACTCAGTGAAAAATACTTGTAGGATTTAGGTCTAGTTTGGTATTACTTACTTACTTACTTACTTACTTACTTACTTACTTACTTACTTACTTACTTACTTACTTACGCCTGTTACCCCCAATCGAGCATAGGCCACCCACCAGTTTTCTCAAATCAACTCTGTCATGGGCATCCCTATCCAATTCTGTCCAATGTTCGTTCATTCCTCTCATATATTTCTCCATTTCTTGGCGCAATGTGTTCCTTGGCCTCCCTCTTTTCCTTTTACCTTGAGGGTTCCATGTGAGGGGTTGTCTCGTGATGGAGTTAGGTGCTTTTCGTAGTATGTGTCCAATCCACTTCCACCGCTTCTTCCTGATTTCCTCCTCCACTGGAATCTGGTTTGTTCTCTCCCACAGTTCGTTGTTGCTGATGGTGTCTGGCCAACGAATCCGATGTATTTTGCGTAGACAACTGTTAATAAACACTTGTATCTTGTGGATGATGCCTTTCGTAGTTCTCCATGTTTCCGCTCCATACAGTAGAACTGTCTTCACATTTGCATTGATTTTGGTTTTGGTTGAAAGTTGTTTGGAGATCCAGATATTTTTCAACCGTAGAAACGCAGCCCCCGCTTTGCCAATCCGCGCCCTCACATCTGCATCGGATCCACCTTTCTCGTCGATGATGCTGCCAAGATATGTAAAGGTGTTAACGTCCTCGAAAGCATCTCCATCATGAGTGATTTGGTTGGTGCATGTTGTGTTGCATCGGAGAATTTCGCTTTTTCCTTTATGTATGTTGAGATCTACTGTTGCAGAGGCTGCTGCTACACTGGTCGTCTTCTCTTGTATTTGTTGTTGCATGTGCGATAGAAGAGCCAGGTCATCTGCGAAGTCCACATTGTCTAGCTGCGTCCTAACTGTCCAGTTGATACCGTGCTTCCCTCCAGATGTTGA